ACTATTTTGATAGGAGTTTAAATGAAGACTACCATCTAATTTCTACACTTAATATCATGAAGCTAGCGGATTATTTGCATTACTGTACACTGTCACGACACAGCAGAACGTCAAAGCTCCCATCAATTCGATCGTGGAGAAAATGAACTTATCTATCTATAGATTTGATCTTGCTGCCCTCCGTCTAGAATCGAGGGTCGTAGGCTCCAACGTCTTGGAACCTCTCCAAAGATATATTGATATCTGTCGAACAACTGTGACAGGGTTGTTACAATGGTCTCAGACAACAGAGCGCTACGGAATTTCCCGTTACAGGGATACTGGTGGTCATATTTTGATTCCATTGTAGTTAAGGTTCAATCTAACCCAAGGGACCTGGTGCAGCGGGCCTGACTGCAGGGCGGTCAGAATTTCTTAACTATGGGCAGAATTCGCCCCACCACCCTGGCTGCAAGCAATTTTTTCCGTATAATTACTTTGAAAATTTAGTAAGTTCTAAGTCTATGTATATTCTCTACCGTATTTAAATTTTAGAAGCTCTAAGCATATATAGCAGTCGTACAAGTCAACCCTAAATCATCCAAAACCCCAGGATTTTTTAGTTAAGGTACAACCGGGAAGAGAGAGAAAGAGAGAGAGAGAGATACATTATACACCATTTATCAGCTCCCGAAGAGCTCTTCCGGTATCACTGACGGCCGCTACAGCTCACTACTAAGGTGATTTTTATACAGAAAATACTATACATGTCATCCACCTACACTAGTTTTGTACTAATATATCCTCGTAAACTCACCAGTTATTAGTTGTCTGATATACATGATGTCTTACATACGTGTATTTCTCCTACACACGTATAACTCTAACCTAAGGGACCTAGAGCAGTCTACCTAACTACTTAGCAGTAAGGGTTTCTAACCCAAGGGACCTGGGGCTTTGGAGCCCAAAGCTCAGCGGTGAGATATAACGGGCCAGGGCCCGGTTAATATCACGTGATAACATGTAACCTTTTTCCTATAGGAAACCAAGGTAGACCGACATAAACAACTCTCCTTCTCCAAGATGATTGTAAACAGTATGCAGACCTAGCCCCAATTAAACGGTTCTCGCTACAGCCCTTCATATCTGGCAAATCAATACACGAAATTTGGTATTAACATAAAATGATTTGTGGGCCTAGAATTCGGTGTCCATATTAGATATAGAAATATATAACTATCAAGCTCATTAAGCCCACTTGAACTCACTCCCTTTATTACATCCAATGCAGTGGCAGTCGATTCATAGAGTTGGTCTCGAGGGCAAAGCTCGGCTTGAGCGTCCATACTGACCAAAAAGTCAAGAGACGTGCGGGCTAGCGATTCATGTTCTTAATTAGAAGATGGGCTCCAAATCGCATAAAACAGCCCAGGGTCCAAGAGTCGTTGTTTATGAATTGGGATCGGTTATCCTTAGGCGAGGTCTGCTGCTAAATACCGCTCCGCACGAACTTTCGAACTATTCGAAGTTCGCAAATTTCAACGAATCGAGTCGTGTTAAAATGGATATATCGATTCTGGTTAATTATTATCTATTATAGGGTCGGGATGCCTCATGTTTGTTAAAATAGATATGTTGATTCTGGTTAATTATGTCTATTACAGGGGCGGGATGCCTCATATATATCAGAACCCAATCCCTGCCATATGGTTCAGCGACCGTGATACTCAACATTGATATTAATTCAATTCAATTCGAATCTGGGAAAAGTTCGATTCGATTCGATTCGTGCGGAGCAGTATTTCTTTTTACGTATTCATTCGTTGAGAATGTAACTCTATATTTGTTCTGACTCCTCAGATAGGCGTTTGCCTCTAATATGGGTGAAATAGATTCAACTTGGACCTAGCCGCTGTAATTCCAAGAGTTGGGTCTCGGTTAGAGTGAACAGACTGACGGTCAGCGTGAACGGCACACCAGAGCAGGCAGAAACAAGCAGAAGGAACCTTATGTGGGTAGATGTCTCGGGTTACCAGAGCCAAGAAATAAATCTCTCATGAGCTAGAATCGTTCGTAGATATAAGAGACCTAGGCAGCCTGAGGCTAGATAGCGTTTCTAGTCAGCCGATCACGGAGCCTCTGATGTATCCATCAAGTTGCAATCCCTTCTTGAGCCTCTTCCTAGCTCATTCATAACTGTTCAACAACTCGATAGTCAAGTATGCCTCCCCCGCCTCTTCGTATAGACCATCTTTATAAAAATGCCATCGACTCGTCTTCACATCCGACGGTGACATGGACAACAAGTGGATGGCCTCGTTACTTAATGTGTTCAGCCTTGGATGATTGTTTACCAACTTCCTGGTGGCTGGCAAACCGCGGTGTGACATTTAAGACGTTTCTGCCTCGATAAATCGTGCACATTGCGCGGTCCCAAAACGTGAACCAAAGTCCATAATTTGTCTACAGCTCGCCCAGGATTCGCAATTATGGTGTCATAACAGGCCATAGCTAGATATAGACCCCTGAGATCGTTCAACCGATCTTCAGACCTTCAGTCAACTAATCAATCAATCATCTGATTCTATTGGACATGTTCAGTACTAGCCAGTACCTCGATTCCTCATACTGACAAGATATTTAGTTCGCGCGATAGCATTCTAGAAATACACACGTCTGTCAAGTGTCATATTCTGTCTTTTCTTTTCCTCCGGCGGTAGCAGTATCGGTGTACTGCTCATGAAGGCTCGAATGCCTTAGGAGGTTATATCTCAGTGGTCATGACTCATCGCCTTGCCTACTCTCCTGCACACTGCGTGTGTGGAGGTTTTGTCTCTCTGCGATCGACCCGTCTGCCAACGCAGACAGCCAGCGAGCATTCCCATCTTTCACTATCTAAGCTTCCTAAAGAAGCTAGAACACTTTGCATAATTCTCCAAGCTCGAGACTACATCTCCCCACTACACTAGTTACCCTTGATGAGTATACAGCTTTAACACCTGATTTATTCCTATAAACTGATAGCGGGTTATCCGTATGCACTACTACAAAGGAGGCAACCAAAGCGAATTAGAACTAGGATCGGGGTTTTGATTCTCATACACGAAGCAGGGGGTCGATAACGCTGAATAACCATATCTTGAAGAGTGCTGGTGGTGTTTGACCACTCCCACAAGTCACAATATATTCTACCATAGAAAAATTTGAAAATATGCCCAACCATTGACCTATATTTTTTGAAAGAAGTAAAGGTATTTAATTAGCCAAGAGCTGATTTTGACCGAACGCGAAGGTATAGGAGATGGTTGGAGATGGTAATTCAGGGCTCTGAAGAGTTCAGTCGTTCGAATTGCCTCTGTATTTACTATATGGTATAGGGGAAAGTTCTTAAAAATGCCATAAAACCCATGGTAAGAAAAAACAGAAACACATTAGTGGCCGTGCATCCTAACAATTCTGCCCACCCGGTGATATCAAGTACCTCATTGTCTCGAACGACGTAGTCGCCAGGCTTTTCGAAAAAGGGCAACACTCTTCTTGTCATAGGCAATCTGGATTGTATTGAGGCGATTACGGACTGCACTTAATTAGCACCTCTCCCAATACCACAGGGTTAAACGTGGAATAGGTGTGCGAATATTCCGAAATTCGATCGTTAAGCGTCCCTCTGTGAGCATACGAGTCGCACTTCCCACGTTCGTACGGGATAAGGCCTTTGAACCACTTCTATAGGTGACGCAACCGGTTCGGATTAGGTGTGCATGACGCGATGGGAGTTGCCGTCAAGAGGAGTACAATACGTATGATACCCGCCTCTTTCACCAAAAAATACTGAATTGGATTACTACCGCTCGTCTCCCATTTCGAATTGTTGAACATCCAGCCGTCCATGACCTCCTTTAAACTGCACAATTTGCCGAATCAAGACTGGAAATTCCCTCCGTGCGTACTGTTCAACGTCCTCTCGATGATAATGTGAAAGAAAAACGGCCCACTGTGCTGAACAGACTACCAAAAGGAATTAGTCTATCAATCCCGCTACATTGCTGGACATATCCTTTCTCACAGGCGTTTATGGCGATAAACGGATATTTCCTTGATCAAGATTGGAATTATTGTTAGATTCTTCTTGGACTTGAGACACTAGATTGTTCGCATCATGGTGTCCATCTTGGTGAAACTGTGACCCAAGTCCTTCAGCAGCACGGCCATGGACAGAGTGCTCTCAGTCACTATTGGTAATGCGCCAAATAACAATACAAAGTTAACAGCTGTCCAGGATGTTGGCTAAACTCTAGCACTTGATGGGGACCAAATACTCCGCATTCGATGAATTACTCGTGCTATGCAACTGGGTCTCAGAGAGCAACTTGGAAAGCTCAGAGCAAATACAGTGAATCATGAGATAGAGTCTACATGGGTAGATACACCATAGCATCCATAGGAGTTGAATCCCTAACGATTTCCAAATATTGTTAGGACTCTTAGGAAGGCAGGAGAAAGATTCCCTACCGGCGGCATATATGAATTCATGTTCGGAGTTATTAAACCAACGGATCGCAGTCCATGAATATGAGTGCCCATTAGTGTGTGCATCAACTGTGCTGGGTCGGTCCCCCATGGCTAACGTGATGCCAACAGCCTTTTCCCGATTTTGTCCCGGATGATCAAGATTAAGCGGGTTATGGTGGTGCACGAAGCGGTGTGGTTAGACCTTAATGTGAGCGCCATTATGGCATATTTACGGGGTCATACAAGTCGGTTGGATGTTCGGTCAGAGAGCGCATTAGACAACATGCAGTATAGAACTCCTGAATCATTCAACAGACCACACACAGGAATCACACAGGAAGACACTCAATCAAAAACCATTCCACTCTCGAGAGATCATACCCATTGCATACGAGCTAGTACGGATATCTGCAAACTTGACATCTAACGATTTTTCAATCCAACAAGGTATGCAACGGGTATAAGAAACGACTTCAGTCCATCCTTTAAATAGAGAGCCCAAGCAATCATTAAAGCGTCTGATGTGCAGCATTCGACCGTTCATCACGATCCCAATCACTCATAACTGCACAGCCTGAAGTCTGACAGCCCGTCTCCTCACTGGCGCTTTCAGTTTTCTTCAGCCCCTTCGCAATGGACACGACATCAACCCAGTTGGGCGGACGGCTCTGCCTACCCAAACAAACTTCCTCGGCATCCAAGCCAAACCTAAAAAGTGCATCTTCAGAGCACCACTCACCCGTGCCCATAAGGCCGACAGGCACCTTGCCGGGTGTGTCGGCGCCCGCGGGCTTGTCCCCGTCGACCTCATCCTCAGGCGGCGCAAAACCCGCCGGCACGCTTATGCTAGGCACCCCACAGAAGTTGGCCAGCCAGACGTACACCATCGACTTTATGGTCTGGTCGCCGTCACATATGCCGTACATGAGTTCCGACTCATCACGAATTGGCCAGCCAGCGGATGCGGTCGTCGGCGTCACAATGATCATGCCCGGGTGTTGCTGCCACAACCATGCCAGGTGCTGCATGAGGACATGCCGCAGCTTCTGCGCGAGCTGGTAATCAGAGGCTGGTGTCGTGCGGCCGAGCGCTAGCAGGATACGATTCGCCGGGGACAGGCCATTGGTGTCGTGCAGAAGGGTGGCGGCGTCTGTCAGAAGAGTGATGGCGTGCGCTGTTTGGCCTTCCTGTACAAAGGGAATCTCAATTGGCACGACTGTGTAGCCCTTTTGATCGACTAGGCGGTCAATGAGGTTCCAACAAATCTTCCGGACAACAGGTGTGGCGCACTCAAACCAGGCCTCGGAGATACCGAGGAGCTTGGGCCGCATTCCGTCATTATCGTACGTCGGGCCCAATGGTTGAGGAAAGCTCGATCGGGGGTGCGGTCTGCTGACAATGTCGTACAGAGCAATGAGAGATCGCATGTCGGCAGCCATTGGGCCGTTGACGGCGGCCGTGTTGCTGTGGTTCTGGGTCGGAAAGAAAGAAAGCCGGCCATGGGTAGGCTTGAGACCGTATACAGAACAGAAACCCGCAGGGATACGGATGCTACCGCCGCCGTCGCTGCCCAGCGAAACAGGGACAAGCCCGGCGGCGACGGCATAGGCGGAGCCGGATGAGCTTCCTCCGGTATAGTAGGACGTGTTGTAAGGGTTCCGTGGAGTCCCGTACGTGATGTTGTAGCCAGCTGTGTCTTCACTTGGATAGGAACTTGATTAGTGGGCGTGTCCAAAGGCCAATAAAGCCCTGGCAGATGGGCGGCAACTAACTCACCCATGCCAAACTCGTGCAGTGAAAGTTTGCCCAAAACTATTGCGCCCGCCTCCTGCATCTTTCTCACGCACCAAGAATCCTTCTTCGCGTCATCCTCGCTGCTCACCTGGGGTACATGGAGATTCGCGTAATCGTTGCGGGAACCTAATGTCGTTTTGTAACCTTCCATGTCATATTCGTCCTTCACTGCGGTCGGAATTCCGTCTAGCAGGCCCAGCGACCGCTTCTCTTTGTATCTGAGCGTAGAGGCCATGGCCGCCTCAAGCACCAAATCGGCATGCACCTCGAGCCATGCCAAAGAATGCTCGCTGGGTGGTGACTTGTCACGCCGGATAAGGGGTAGGATGGCCCGGACCACATCCACTGGGGTCAGTTCGCCCGAAAGGTACAAAAACCGGTAGAGTGCAATTGAGTTTTGGTATGTCGATGAAGCGCCAAGTTGCTCGTCCCCTTTCTCGTTGAGATATAAGTTTTCCTCGGCGTCAAGGTTCAAATTCGCAGCGTCCGAACCGTGTTCAATAAATAAGACTGTGGGGTCGTACCGTGGTTCAGTCAAGGCGAGGTGCTCCCAGATGAGGCCTAAACTCCCGAATCCAGCGTTTTTCCAGGCGCTTCTGCGAATGAAACCAACCCACTCCATGCTGCGATGGTTAGTCTCTGCAAGAGGAGCGGGCTGGAAGCATACAGAAAGGCAGCGATCACAAGAAACCAGCCACGGAGTCTCGGATTGGTCTCTCTCGTTTGTTTAAGTGGAACATCTGGACTGTGTCCTCAGTTAGCTACTTTATGGTGGCATCATCAGAAGGCTTCCGTAACGCAACTTACGCGCGGATGGGTTCGGGATAGAGAAGCAGGCGTTGGCTGGAGTGAGTTGTAGACATGGTCAAGATGGCGAATATGACGAAGGCTGAAAGCGTAAAGCTTCCGTTTTCGAGATGCAAGGGAATCACTGTCGCTGGTGATTGTTTGTGGTCGCAATAGTGGACAGAGGCAGCTAGGGGCACGTGCACGTGCACGTGTATGTATTGATGACACGGAGAGTATGTGGGCCTTATCTATGTGCGACGAACGGTAGAGAAGAAAAAGTCTGAATTGCAACACTAGATGGTAACGTACAAATTGAAGTAATAACAGATCTACAACGTTACAAAATGCCTACATAAACACTTGGCAAACATGAAACATTACGCGTCACGTAATCAAATTCCAATCCACCCACTCATTGTTACAACCCAGTACAGTAGACTGCGGCATATTGTACGATACCGATGATAAAAAACTATCGTCTGATATCATACAGATATCGGACTATCAAGCTGGTCTATAACTATTCAACGTTGAACTACAGTGTAATTCTGAACTGCTCCATAGTTAAGAGAGCGGGAGCTAGGCTGAAAACCGACTAGCGTACACTGTTATTCAGAACTCTCCTCCCATCACTCACATACTATTTTTACTTTCTGAAACCTGCCTGGAAATCATAACAGTTTTAATTCTAATCCTACAAGTTTTGCAGTCACTGTATTCAAGGCTTAGTGGTTTTATTCAAGACTGCTATTTCCGACCGTAGAATGTCTAGCCTTCCGACTCTACTTACAACCACCCAGCACCTAACTATATTTCTGACCACAATAGTAGAATATTAAGCTATCATATCAGCCACCCCCAGTATCTCCCCCCTATCAATACAGTTTTAAGAAAGATTTAGATCTTATTCGTTCTAAACATATGGTACTCCGTATAGCGACTTGAGCAGTCGTACATTATTACTACACTGCCTTAATGTCTAGCAATATTCGATTGCTCACATTTCTAACCAGTGTTATTGTTACGCCAACCATACAATGAGGCATAGGAATTGCGGAAGAGGTGCCTAGGTATGCACCACCAGAGTTGATACATCACCTCGCTTACCTGCCTACATACACACGCAGGTAGACCTTGACACAACCCGCGGGTTACCCATCACGGGTCTACCCGAAACCCGTAATGGGTCGGGTTCGGGTCAACGTCTTGAACCCGCGGGTTGGGTTCAGGTCCTGAGTGTCAGCCCGTCCGGGTTTTACCCGAACCCGCGGGTTTATAAACAGTGCAAACAAGTTGGATCTCGTGGCGTGCACAATTTATGCGATATTAAGCTGTTTCTTTGAGTATCCTGATTACAGGTAAAGCTGCAAGGTTGCGAGGAATTTAAATATTCATTTCAATTACTTATTAGTTTAGTATTCTATAAAATAATCATCATCACATCTCGGACGCTTTCGAATCCTCCCCGAAACTCGCGTTTGGGTGTCTGGAAGGGGAAGATTTGCCTTATCATCAGATTCCATACCTTCTTGAGCTTCTACGGGATCAGACACTCTACATTACTGCTGCTTTTCTCTAACACGCAGCGTGGCAGTCTGAGTGAGAGCTTGGTCTTGAGAGGCCATTGCGTCATCTTCTTTATCGTCACTGATAGGCTCAAGAGTGTCCTTGAGGAGACCTGTATTCTTCTCTTCCCGAATTGCTTCAATCTCTTGATGCGAGAGATATTCCTTCTGTAGATCCAGATCTTCAGATTCTATATCAAACTTTGTTGTGAATTTGTACATTATGAGTTCTTGGATTGTTGTCGCGCGTAGTGACCCTCGACGATAGTGGTATATGTCACGGGCAGAGTTAAAGAGACATTCAACGCCAGCGTCAGTCGTCGGGATCGAAAGAATATCCTGCGCGAGGCTTATAAGGGCTGGATACTCGTACTGATGCTTCTTCTACCAAGCTCGGATTAACTTTGGAATAACCGTGCCTATACTTGGGGTCAGTGAAGATGCTTGAGTATCTAGAATTTTACAGTACCGACCTACGTCAAGATATCTTGTCAGCTTATCTTGCTGGTGTGCCTAGACCTGTACATGGCCCATGGGCCGGCCCAAAACGGCCCAATGGCCCAAAGATAGGGCTTTTTCTAGGGCTAACATGCGTTGCATAAAATATGAAGATTAAGCGAGATCTTGGCTGTAATGCTGTGGTTTCGATAATAAAGTGATTCTGTGATACAGTAGTGATTTTTATATTGAATCAGATACAGTGAGAACAGAGATGTGAATGAAATCATAGATTATATTAAGTAGTATATCCCTGTAGCCGTATCGAAGGTATCCGGGCCCTCCCTGAAGTATGCTGAGTATTAAATTACTTAGGTAGTAGAGGCTCTTCTTCTGTAGAGCCTCCTGCCTTATCTAATGTATCCTCTTTAGCTTTATAATTATCTCTTTTTTGTTTTGTATAATACTGTAGAGAAGTCTTCTCCTTCTCCTCCACCTCCTCGTCCCCCCCCCCCCCTCCCCCTTACTAATCTCTATAATCTTCTATAGAATATACTTTGTAGTATTCTTCTGTTAAATATCTATCTTATACTCTAATTTATATTCTTATATAAAAGTAAGTTACTCCTTCTTAATATTAAATTAATTAGTATATATAAGTAGTATAAGATCCTAAATAGTTGTTATATAGAGAGAGCTATAGTAATAATAATAGATATTATAGATAGAATTAAATAAATACTCTATACCTACACTAGTAACTAGGACAGAAAGTATATCTTAAATAATTACTATAAGTACTAGGAACTACTATTTATAGTCCCTCTAGAAATTAAGTAGAGAAGTAAGTATAGTATCTATTAAATAAATAGTTAGAGAGGTATATATTTAAACTATTTCTTAGAAGAATACTTATCTCTCTTTAGATACTAATAGAGCTCTAAGAGTAGTACTATAGATTAAGCTCTATAACTATTAAGTAATATTTTAATCTCTTAAATAGACTATAGGTAAGAAGGCTCTTTAGATTATATAAGTAAGTATTATAAAGTTAAACTTTATAGGTAAGAACTTACTACTTAAGTACTACTTTATATTTACCTATAAAGTTCTTATCTTAATATTTAGAAATCTAAAAAAACTTAAACTAGATCATAAGCTCTTCCAGCAAGGCTTTTGCCATGAAGTCTCTACCCATGCCAGGTCCTGTATGAACTGCAACCACAGTGTCTAGATAGGACGCAAAAAGAGAAGGCTAGTAGGAATAGCCAATGTCGTAAAACGTCTTCATCTTTTCCGCAGCTTGAAAAGCGGATGTAATGTTGATCCCCTCACTAGAAGCAGAATTCCATACTGCATGGAGTGTTACCTCAATACCACTAGTCACATCAGGGGTATTTACATCCGTCTTTCCATCAAGAAAAATATCAGAAGCTTTGCAGGCCCGGATAGTCTTAGACAGATTAGAATCATCGACATCTGTGAAAATAGCGAGATCTATCATCATTTGACTCTGGCATTGGGCTAGAAAATCAAGATCATGATATGTTGTCCAGTTGCTAGGATCATTGTGGTAGGTGTCACAAAGAGATGGACAGGGATCGTAGCTCCAGCCCTCCAACAAACCCGAAGCCACGCCACCAGGAAAAGCTGCGACCATTACTACTGCACACAGAACGCCCTTTGTCCCTCTTATCGGTCTCATTTTTCAAGTGTTGGTCAATCAATCAAAGAAATTCGAATAAGGATAATAAATCCAAGAGATAAGAAAAACGAAGTGAGCGTTTGTAGTGAACGACCTTGAAATTGGAAAAAAAAAGTTTAAATGAAAGTATGCCTCGAAAGCTTTTGCCAAAAGAATGAGTGAGGGAGTCAAAACGTTCCTCGTGGAAGGAGTACTCTGCGACAAGAAAAGGCAACGAGCGGGATTTTATGAGCTTACTCTGTACTTTACTGACTATTTTAAAAAAAAAAATCCTTTTTCTAGGGTGCACTCGGAAGAGACGGGATATTAAGGAGTCCAAAAAGACCCAAACCTATCCTATATCTAGTTCGTGGTCTATGAGTGAGCCTCATTGGTGTAAGACCCTTGTTCCTATGCAGAGACTGCTGAACTGATCGCAGAATAAGCGATGTTACATTGTCTATTCGTCTAGAGACATATTGCTATTTTCGCCCTCTACGGCGGCAGTCAGGAACACCAAAGTCAGGTGAAACTTTACTAGTAATTGGCCAACTTGAATGTGTACGATAGTTGCATTCCCCATATATAAAACCATTGTAAAGTCATTCATAGAATAATAACATTTCCCCTCCCATCAAGGAAGAGAAACTTGGACCTCATTTCAAAGGTCCTCAAAAAGGGACATTAGCAAGCATACTACTTAAATTTTGAAGCATTTAGGAACCAAGTGGAGTTGCTGCAGGGGCCCAAATCCTGCATACAGTAGCGTCCGACGGTTCCGGTTTACGACATCATTCTCGGCAACTTCGCTCTCGGAATTTACTGGAGACAATTCAAGTAGAAGAAAACTAAATTATAGACTAGATAGATCCTGTGCAACACAGTGGTAGCATATCAATAGCAAACAGTCCGCTCCTGTTGGTGTTAGCAGCGTGGGGTCCGCTCCGTCGGAGAACTTTTGAACGAAACTCGGAGTCTCGGACAATACCATTCGTCCGTGTCACATGATTAGAACTACACCCCCTCGGGTTGACACCACCGTCACCCAGAACCCGCATCTTGCGAGTATGTGTATCAACCCTGTCTTCCAGATGAAATTTATTTGGATATTCACTCTTGTTGCTTTTTCAACAGTCACTTGTCATGCCTTTTATGACTGCCCTCGTCCCCGGTGTGAAACATGCCTTCCAGCTGAGATTTATGACGCCCCAGGAGTCGGATTCGATCTAACTTCCTCATACGGGTGAGTGTCTAGATACTTCAGTGACTTGACTACTTCTAACTACCTTTTTAACAGGACATCCGCTGTACATTTCTATAATGGAACAGTCGTCGAAGTTGTCCAGATCCATGGCAAACCCGAGTATCTTGAGCTTATGACACGTCTTGCCAAAGGAGGCAAGCCTATATTACTTGAAGATCAAGGAACTCTCCAAAAGTTCTACTTCAAGCTGTTCTCTTTTTTGGACACTTTCTTAGGCATCTCCTTTCCGGCGCGGGCAGGTTGGCGTTGGTTGAATGAAAAGCTCAAGCGGCCAGTGGAAGTGGACGACATAAAAATTGTTAGCGAAATGCTCTGGAATCTTAAACTTATCACAGAGAAGCATATACGCCAAGATCTGAATAGGGTGGCTATTACGTCTCCCGATATACAAACCTTTAGTCCAGAAATGATCAATACTGCTCTTCAAGAGCTAGATCTACAGACCTGGGCAGGTGATTGTCCATGGTACCCCAAACGTCTGATAGAGGCAGATGCTGTTTATGCCGCTAGCGGCTATGGGCTGTGCAAACGCTATCATGATCTATGGCAGTGTACAGACGAGTTTGAATGGAACAGTTCTCCGACAATCCTTTTCGTTTCCTTCACTCGCCATCTGTTATACATCAGCATTACTATTCCCAATCGTGGTGAAGCTTTCGTGCGCTTCGCAAACGATGAGATACAAACCCTTGACTTTGAGCTAGGGCTAGATTCAATTCTTGAAGCAGATAATCCAGACTTAGCATGGGCTCGTCTGCGTGAGCGAATCACTAGTTTTTTTCTGTCCTCCGAGTTTCGAATCACCGATTTTTCTCTAGCTGGCGAGGGCACGGAAAACCCTATTTTTCTGGCTAATTTGAAAGACGCCTTGGCTGGGCTGTCAAAACTTCATACTGAACCCATAATAGCCCCTTTTGGCTTGATGGGATTTAACCATGGAAAGGAAGCTATGAATCTGACTTTCGCAGCTGCTCGGGGAGCAGCCTCGTATGCAAGGAGGCGACAAGAAGTACAGTGCGACTGTTCAGAGCTTGAGGATTGTGAATCATCTCGACAAAAGGAACGGTCAGGAGGCCAGGTGAAGTTAGATTTATGATGATAAAGAATGGAGGTCTATGTAACGAACGGCGATTTAGTCGGCAGCATTTTTAAGATATTTGCGGAATTAGTTGGAAGGTCGAAGACAACGATGATGTTGGTATTGACACTTTGTCATTCACTCGGGAGGTACCTAGCTCCGTCTATCCACGAATCCAAGTTTATGTTAGTTCTGTCACGGGATTGGAGAATCCCTAGATTTTGGTCCGGGGCTGATTCGTGGATAAATCCCCCCGCGAATCGCTTGTGTGCCGATACCCACCTGAGTACTAGCCTATATAAGATCCCACAGATATGTTGAATTACAGGATGAAGGTACCTATGATGAAGATGACAATGGTTTTACTTGAAAAGGCATTCTATTATATTCAACTGTTCAAGTCTGCTATTTAGACTGAGGGGAATCCTGAGTGTAATATCATATTCTCGATACTCCAGTACCGAGGCCCAATCTCCTTATCACGCTCACGAAGGGGCGCTAAGGATGATGGCGTCCGTCAAACCATAGTAGTGTGAGGGGATGCAACTCTTCGGCTGATAAGAAAGCACCCAGAGTAAAAGTAAGTAGAAACCAGTTTGTACAGTACCTGCTTGAGGCAGGCATATCATGCACGAATATGCACTGTTATAGGAGTCTTTCGGCGAGGTCAATATCGTTGCTCATGGCAGTAAGGCTGAGTAATTTGCTGTTTCGATATTCAACGTTGATTGTAAGTATGATTGGCTGTAGTCTAGTTTGGAGATTTCGGCATGATCTCGCAAAAGTAAGTATCTCACTACCATCCCACCCGCCCGCAAGTTTATAATACAGGTAAAAATACAGTATTACGGGAAGATATAATCACTATCACTATATTGCTTGGTAAATACTATATTACTCCTACCCTGTTTATATTACTGTCACGGGGCTCGTGTCAAAGAGGGTGAGCTTCGGTAAGAAGCAACTAACTCTCTTTGTATTCCCTTTGGCAATCCGATCTTGTCTCAGTCACGCTAGGGGTTCGTGTCCGATTCGATGTCGATTCGTGCCTGATTCACGTGATAGTCAGGATGAATGACTTGACGCAGTGTTTCCTTATTCTTGAAATTTCTTCAAGAATTAGTCTCTGTACTATTCATACATTTTATTGGTTGATTCTCCTATTCTTTAATTACCATTTGAAGTCTTGCCTAGTCACAGATCTCTAGCCTATCCCTTAGTATTACCATTACAAACTAATAGTATATAAAGAAGAGTAAAAAACCCTTAGATAAAAGTAGAAATATTAGTTTCTATAGTTTAGAGTTAAAAGATAAGAGTAATCTAAAAATACTAGAAAATAACGTTAAAAATAATATATATATATATTTAGAGATTATATATTAATATCTTTTTACTAAGTTTGTTAAGTAGGTCGAAAATTCTAGAGTAGAGCCTCCTGGTCACACCCTATCAAAAAGATTAGAGAATTTTAGACTAATTAGGGTTAACTTCTACAACTATTATAAAGGATAGTAACTTCTTAGATTCAAACTAGTAGTAGTAGAAATATCAACTTAAAACTTATGAAATTTTCAGAGTATTCGTACGATAGAAGCTCTGTACAGTTAGGTCCTAAAATATATAAGCAGTGAGGGTAGTGGGGCGAATTCTGCCCATACTTAAGAAACCCTTACCGCCGAGCAGTGAGGCCCACTGCTCTAGGTCCCTTAGGTTAGGGACTAGGACTACTCTAGGAGGATAGTAGGGCAGCTAGGGGCATTACTAATATATGTTTATTGTCGTTGTCCAGCGGGCTCTTAAGTAGGCATTCTAGTAGGCTATCTAGCCCGAAATCAAACTAATTTACACGACCCTATAAGTAGGTGATGATAGTATCGGACTAGAGATTAAGCAACACTACTTTGTATACCATTATGAACTGTGTAATCTTGATCATCCGGGACAAGATAGGCGGGTAGTTGTTAGTATTGTGCTCCCGCTCATGTAAAGACTAGCATAGTACGATAAGTCAACGCACACTTATATTCGGGCACTGTGATGTACTGGTTTGATAGCTCTACATAAAGATCTATATATACGGTGTGGACCGGGGTCTACTTGGGATCAGTATCCCTGGGGGGCTAGGGACTCTGGTTTCCAGCCGGAAACTAAACCTCCTCGGTGGCAGTTATAGCGGCTACCCAGAATCGGTCCTACATACGATGCTGCCAGCAGGTGAACTAGTACGCGGGGCTGGTCTAGTCGTGGGGTATCTGCGTACGGGCGAAGAACAGTACGATCTGTCGCTACGGCTCAACGTGCTTCTCCACGCTGGCCACGTCCATATATGCCTATAGTAGCTTGGTGGTGCTGTGGGCGGCCTTAGTATAGGCGGTGTCGCTCCAGATTGTATTACTGGCACCCTTACTGACCTCTTGGCTGATCGCCGCCACCTTGCCTATTATATCCCACAGCCAACGTATAATAGCTTCGGGCCCGATGGTATCCTGGGCCGGGGTCGTGATACACTCCTAGAGCGGACGGGGGTCGATGCCCTCAAGGTACTCCGCCCACTACGTCCGATGGAGCTACGGGTTGGCTTTGTCGATAGGGCCAGGTCTAATAGTGGTAGGATCGGTCTCGGCTCGCCCGGTCACGTATAGCTTCTGGAGCTGCTGTGCAAGACGAGTGGTAACATCGACGGGGGCGGGGGGCTCCTTCGGCTATTGATTGTCCGGTGGCTGACGAACGTAGATGTAATAGGAGCCCTTGCGGGATAGGAACAACCGCTGGTATGTCACACGTTGCATACACTCTGCCTGGAGCTCGTGGAGGATAGGAAGCTCACATTGGGGTGGCCGGCCATGTGGGTTGAGCCCTAGGTTATGTTCTACCTTGATATGCTTACGTATACTGTCGATACTACGGCAGACATAGTCACAGTTCTCAAGAACCGTACACGATAGGCCGTCGGTGTAGACAGCTAAGCCAGGGATCGGGTATATGACGGAGTGGGGGAAGATGAGCCCCTGCGGCTCCTGCACGAAGCCCTGCCACGTGGATACGGTATACTGAATATACTGTGCATCCAGAGTGGGGATACGGTGGTTCGGATGCCGGAGATGGGTCACGATCTTAGTAGGCTGGATCGCATGTTGACACTTGCGGCCAACAATGACTCTATACTCCGGGAGTTGAAGGAATAGCTGTTCGGTAGTGGGTGGCGCCATAGCGAGAAACTACTAGTAGATTGTAAGCTGGGCAAGATATATACTACCGGGCGAACACTGCGTATCTGGTAGACTGGTACTATGGTATAGAAAGCCTACGAAGGGAATCGTGAATTCCGATCAAGTGTTGTCTGGTCCTTGAACCATCGCCCCTGAAGATTGGAACAGGCTAGGCGATGGGTGCGGTGGAATCGGTCAATATGATAGATCATATCAGGCCGGGGTCCGTAGCCTGAAAACCCTAATCCGACCGAACGGTCCCGCCGACCGTACCCCATCAAAATCCGGTCCGGTTTTTCACCCTCGACAGATGGATGTTCTGCAGGTCACAGTACTCTCAAAATTAGGCCGGTGATAGACCAACGACGACAGAACAACGGGTCAATGTTTGGGGCCGATCCACCGGCGGGGTCGGCAACGGATGGACCGCAGGAGAAAACGGAATGGACCGCGTTCGGGGCAGGTGGGGCCATAGTGAAGCCAACCCTAGAAAACCGAACGCTATCCGTTCCGCCCACCCCCGTGGGATAGATCAACAGCTGGGGGATGTCAGGGATCAATCGGACCACGGGGTGGAAATGGGATCAATGGTCAAAACAAATGGGATGGATGGTGCTGGGGTTGGGGGGGGGTGTGGAGCCATACTGGAGCCAAACCCTAAAACGGGATGCACTCCATCCCATTTACCCCCGTGGGATAGGGTACTTCACATTTAATTTCGTTATTCATCTCTAAACTTGCCCTTCCTACCAGCGTGGCCATCAGGTAGTTATAACGGGCTCGTAAAAGTCTATGTTGCCACGAAAATTTTCCAACGAGTGAGGAACCCCCGACAAATCAGGAAAAGAGACGCAGCTGTAAGATACATGCAAGCCGAAAATATCCAAGTTGCATCATATCCATAGCGATCAAGGATAGCGCCTGCAATCGGAGGCCCAACAAGGTTGCCGAGAGTGGAAGCTAGGTAACCACATCCTATGCGCGAGCCGATAACTCGGGGGTCTGGAGAAATCTTCACAAGAAATGCCGCCTGTAGGGAGACTGGAGCAGCGGCGAGAAAACCAAGAATAAACACCATGAAAATCAAACCGCCTTCGGTAGTCACTTTGAGCAGAATAAAGACCATCACGCCGCTAAGGCTGATAGAGATTGCCATCAAATTGATGGGACCAAGCCATTTGGCGAATACATTTATCCCAAAGCATCCGCATGTGTTTGCAGCCAGATAAATCGGCAAAATATATGAGACGAGCGCTTGATTCTTGATACCGATGACGGACGCATAACTTTCCAGATAGACAATCGGGATACACAAACCGAGGACCAACAGGAAGGTTCCAAGAAGATAAGACACAAAGGCGGGCTCCTTAAACATCTTCCAGTCGATGAAGTGATTCAAGGCTTGAGGACGAGGAGGCGTTTTGACGGGACGAAAGACAGCAGCCGCAATGAGTAGAGGGACCAGGAGGACCAACCCTATTACTCGTGTGGTCCAGTGGAATCCTATTTTGTCGATGGTTCGGCTGAATATGATTGGAAATAGAATTCCACCTAAAGAGTGTCAGCAATGTAACCCAGTGAACCTGCAGTCTATCATAATGTACTCACCAATACTACCCCCCATAGAAGCAATGCCAGTAGCCATTTCCAAGTGTCGGTCAAAGTATGTAATGAGAATGCAGGAAGCAGGTACCAAAGTCATTCCGGCTCCAAGACCCATGCAGATGCCCTGCGAAAGGAAGACCTGGTAGTACGAAGTCGAGAGACTGAGCATCATTTGGCCAAGCACAACAAGGAATGATCCAGCGTATACGAGAGTGCGGAAGAAGCCACGATCATACAGCGGCCCTGCAACAATTCCTATCGCAAGACATAGTGCCGATTGAAGGGATCCGATCCACGAAACCGTTGATGTTGAGACGTTAAATGTGTTCTCGGTTAGGTAGTATGACAGGTACACTCCGAATGAATTAGCAATTCCCCTTTGTCGAGTTAGCGTTCATCGTTATAATGAAGATATGGGATAAACTCACACTGAACTGAAAAAGATCATAAATGATCCTAAAGTTTGTAGCCAGGCGCGATGGCCTCGGTCGCGAACCACCTCGCTACTAGCATCGCCTGACAATAATTCTTTTGAGACAGGGAGTACCAACGGTACATCGTCATTCTGTTGTCGCATAGTGTCCATGATGATCAGAATGCCAGTCGATGGTTACTAGCTGGCAAGAATAATGGATTGTCTTCTTAGAATTAGCAGAGAGAGTATTTAGACTAAATGCTAGCATTTTAGAGGAAACCCAACGGATTACCTACAGCAAACCCCTTACGTCCACGGGTCCAGACAAAGTAGGACAGGGCTGGTGCGGAATCGCCTATCACAAGAATTGATTGAATCGGCATAATGTTTCTCATGCATCCTGTGGGGGGAGTGGAGAAGACAGGGTCATCTCAAGCTCGAGATGCTACTAACAGGAACAAATTATGTGAAACTCAACGAGCCCCGTTGTGACAATGACACTCTAAAAAAATGTATGACGATGTCCCTTGAATCCTTACATTTACGCTGAAGGGGTTGAGTCACATTTTCTGCCAACTGAAGCCATCTTCGCCAGGCGAAGCTCAGTCCCTCGCATGGGAGAACAAGACGCCAGCCATGTTTTCGGTGTGGTTACACAGATCTATGCGTGCAGTTCAGCTCCCTCGCAAAAAGAAGATTTAAAAAAAGCAAGGTTGGCATTACACAACACTGGGATTTGCGGACTATTAGACATAAGTTTGTAGTTTTATGCAATGCAATGCAATGCACGACCTCGAGATAGACGAACTTGAAGCTGCCTAGCATAAAGTGGCCGGGGTTTGTCAATCTAACTAGGCCACGAACTGTTTCCAACAATCTTGGGGAAAAGGAAGGGAAAGGGGGCGTTCGTGCATGGCAACGACTATATAGGAGGTAGGCAAAAGCAATATGGAAGGCCATGGTCACATGGCCACTTTTGGGCAGCAGCCCGTTACACCAAGGACCCATTTGAACCCATTTTTTGCATAATAATGCCAATAATTGCCTAATTAGGCTATTTTATACAAATTTTATGTAAATTTTATGCAAAATGGGTTTTGAATGGGTTTCTAGCGCCTTGGCATGCCAAGAAATGGGTTGAAAAATAAGTTGTGCCGATGTCTATTAATAACTGTGTAGAGTAAAGAGTAGTTACTATCACTGTCTATGGTTATATTATTCTTCGCGGCAGTTGGCTGTTTCACATATCGTCAACCTTGGCGTGATCCTCCCTTAAGAATATCGTAATATATCTGAATAGCCTCTACGACCTTATTTCAACGTATTTACTTCGCCTTCACAGATAGAGCTTGAGACTCGTAGATATATCCAAGATTGCGAGCTTTGTATCCCTAGCGTGTACCCCTGTCGTGTATCCCTGCCGTGTACCCAGGCATTTTTTTAGTGATAGACACAAAATAGGAGTAGGTATAAAGTTAGACCGAAGGTTAAGGGGTTCCAAGTTGCAGGCACGTTTTTTGAACTTGGATCAACAGCCAAAACTCCTCAACACCGACAACATGGCGGCCGTATTGCGCCTATTCAGACCGTCTCTGGCAAAAACTCCACCTCCCTTTGCTGAGAGCGACGACGTCTATCCCGTTCATATGCTAGACGACACCAAGACGCTGCGAGACATTGTCGTCACATGGACGCTGTGCTTCAACGATGTGCTGGATGCGGACAACTTGTACGCATCACTGTCAAAGCTATTGGAGATTGGCGACTGGAGGAAGGCCGGGGGGCGGCTGCGGTTAAAGGTTAGCTCTTGTTTTGATAATGTGTGACTACTCAATAGCTGCTGATTGGCCAGCAGAATAGAGAGCTGGAAATTCATGTCCCGCGGGCCTTTACGGCGGAACGTCCTGCTGTGTACTACACCCACCAAGCCCTAGACATGAATATTGAAGACCACCCGCTGGCGAAGTCCCTCCCGAAAGCCACTGAAGCCCCGTCCATCCAACCTGGGCCCCAGGTCTTTCGAGCTTTCGCGGCTTGTGAAGATGCGCCGGAGAAGCTTGAAGACTTCATCTACCAGGACATACCCCAACTGTCGCTCCATATAACTTCGTTCAACGATGCGACGCTCGTGGCTCTCTTATGGCCACACACACTAATGGATGTCATGGGCCAGCAGGCCCTCCTGCATGGTTGGTCTCTGGTGCTAGCTGGCCGAGAGTCCGAAGTGCCACCCATGCTCGGAGCACGAGAGGACGCCCTATATATAGCGACAGATAAATCTGTGGAGCAGGAGGAGTTTATAGTGGGACAGAAGCAGTTGAGGGGATGGAGCATGCTCATGTTTGTGCTTCGATTCGTTTGGGACCTTCTGTGGAATCAAGTTGTCGAGACGCGCACCATCTTCTTGCCTAAGAGGGCGGTGAATGAGTTATGTCGCCAGGCACGGGGCGACCTGGCGGCTCAGGATAACGGGGAGCAGAAGCCCTTCATCAGCGAAGGTGATGTGCTGACAGCGTGGGCAGCGCGCGCAGTGGCGTCCTCCCTACCGAAGCCACGACCCGTGACGGTGCTTCATGCGCTCAACGCGAGGTTCCGTCTCACGCCCCTGCTTCAGGCCTCCGGTGTTTACATCCAGAACATGGCGGTTGCAGCTTTCACATTTCTGTCTTCCGAAGTCGCGACTGGACCACTAGGGCCTATCGCTCGGGAGAACCGCCGCCATCTGATAGAGCAGTCGACCGAGGCTCAGGTACTGGCCTTCCTTCGCGAGCTCCAACGGGAATTTAAGTCCGGCAGTGATGCAACGCTGGTGTGCGGTGAACCCGACGCCGTACTTATACCCTTCACCAATTGGACAAAGGCCAATCTGTTCAAAGTGGTCGACTTCAGCCCCACGGTTGTACGTGTTGGGGAGACGGCGCAGTCAAGAAATAACCCGCTTGGCACTATGGTCTTCCACCACGCGCAATCAATGCGACAAATTCCCGCAGCTAGAAACGCGTTCATGGTTCTGGGCAAAGACAACAGTGATAATTACTGGCTGACTGGGCTTTTGTTGCCCGCGACTTGGCTCAAAATCGAGGAGCAACTAAATGGGATGTAATGACGGCGCCAATAAGACGGAAAATAGCTCTGTTAGATGTAGATAATGCTGCGATATGAGGCAGTTGCCGCTTACGAACGAACCCGCAGCATGGGAAATAATTCCTACGCTATCTATACAAAGAACTAAGTTAATTTCTTGGACTTCATGTCCTAGATATAACCTATTGTATCCCCTCAGAAATAACAATTCAAGCTTCCTTTGGTCTGCAACAGATATTAGACACCGGCACTCTCGGTGTCGAGGTCCATTCGACTCAACGAATGCAGAAAAGTCGACTAATACTGCGAATCCATAACTAACTATGCCTTTCTATGGTGAACTTATGCCGGCACCCTTCTGGAAAGCGAATTGCATTATCCAATATAGCAAAGATCCTGGGAAGGCATGCATGGTGTCATTGATCAAAACTGGGTCTATGACAGTCTCTACAAGGATTCCTGACTTTCCTTTCTCATATAGATTTGGGTACGGTCTCAGGTTACACATATCCGTCCAGAATGCCTTGGCATTCTTCGTGCGCCTCGCCATGACACTGTTCGGAACGCAGATAAGATGCAGATCAGCAAGCTTCTCTGTATTGTGTTCAGGTGTCATCTCTCAACGGATCGTACCATACGGTTGACGCGTAGTCGACGATCGGCGTGACGTACGCGTGGTAAAGCTGTCGCATCTGTTTTAGGCCGTAGGCGCCGCAACCCACCTAGAGCGATGGTGGTTTTGGTTTCGCGCTTAATAGCCTGCTATACGTAATCCTTCCACCGTAGCTCCTGGTCAAAGACCACGCCCAGCAGCTTCGCTGGAGGTGAGGGCGACACAACTGTTCCGTTCACGACCATCTGGCCTTGCATGTGGGGCCTTCTTTCTTCCAGGTGGTGAGGTGGATGAGCTCGGTCTTTTCCGCGGCGAAGGAGGATCCCGTTCGGCGCGCCCAGGCCTCAATATGGGGGATATCTTTGGACTATAGTTTGGCCAAGTTCTCTTCGGCCGACCGGCCCACTCGCCAGCGGAAGTAGTCATCGATGAATGCCGAGGCGCCCCGGTAGAGTTGACCGTTTAGTTGACAAGGTCAGCGTTAAAGAATACGAACAAGATAGGTAATTGAGGCGATCCCTGCGCGATCCCAGCGCGATCCCAGCGCGATTCCAGCGATCCCAGCGTTGGCTAGTGGTGCGGTCACGGTACAGAAGTCGTCGAATCCGATGGCGGCATGTTGCAAACGAGATCCGCTTCCGCCGCCAATCCCGGGGCTGGGCCGAAGAGAGCCATTTTTGATTTCGACATGTCAGTTCCTTGCGTCACCGAAGCCACGAGCGTCCTGGTTACGGTCTCGGACGGGTTGATACAGATCGGTTTCGAAAAGGAGGGGAGAAACCTAGCCGATCCTGGCACTTGCTCGGCTTCTCGGTTGCTTACGTTAGCTTATGGCCCACCAATTGGAAATAACGCTCGGAGTCACGGTCACGGACGCGTTCAGCTGATTTCGTCTAAACAAACCAACAACGCGCTACACTTCTTTGGAACGGTCTCCGAGGGATTATCTGCCGGTGATTCGAAATCAGCAGGGGGAACGACGATGTCTCTGAACAGAGCAAGCTCTTGGAGTATTGGTGAGAGATCGATGCTCGACTTCACGGTTCCGTCGACCGACCGCCATTTGCCATCGTTGTCTATTTACAGCCAACAACTCAAAGATCTTGATGAATGGCTGCTGATGTATATCGCCACTCTTGAGCAAGGGCAAAGTGTAGCCGTGAACCGCGGGGAGACTCTCTCTGCTTCTTATCTGTGCCAGCAACTCGGAAGATTATTCACAACGGCGGAACCCGACATGGTCCGAGGGCCTCGAATAGACTGGATGCAAGTTGTCTTATCCCAAGACTCATTGTCGTCAAATACGGAAGAGGATACGTACACCCTTGGAGAGTCGGTGGTGCGGATTTCGACGCAGGACATGGACCTCATTTCCTCAGGCCGGCCTCGGCAATTCCTTACACCATGGCCGCCGACTCCTGACATTCAGAAGGAGGTTAATATTTTGAGTGTTGTCGCTGATGAACTTGGAGATCTCATGAGGGCCCTCACTTCTTGTAAGTAATAGGATTCGCATTGTTTACCCAGATTGCTTCGTAGGACGCGAACTGAACACCGGATTCTCAAGTGTCGCACAAGGGCATACAGTTACAGAAGTCCCTAGGAAACCGGAAAGATATTCTATGCCAAGACGCGGGGTATGCTGCATCGATTCATCTATCTTGGATGTTTAACAAATCTGATGGTACTTCTAGGATCCTTCCACCCTCTCATCGTCCCCAATTTCACCCTTCGCCACTATCAACCAATATACTACCTGAGGAAAGGAGCAACCGGGGGTTTGATGACCAAATTGTGCCAGATTCTCCCGAAGAGCGTTCAAGTCACGTTTTGTGTGGCACCGATACGAGACATATCCAGGATCAAGCTGACGCAGGTGAAGCTATCAGGCTATCTGTGGACAATATGAAATCCGTACAGAGGACTACAACTGCCACAGTCACACCGAAGGATGCTGGAACTATCAGTCAAGCATGCGATCATTGCCAGAAAAACAATAAGACTTGCCGTTTAAAACTGCCTGGGACCTGCTTTAATTGCTCCGCGAGAAAGAAGAAATGTACGTATTCTGGGAAACCCATGTCAACGGGAAAGAAACACGTCATTAGATCTGTCGACGCAGCAGCAGAGATGCGACCTGAGGTCGCGCAATCTTCTACAACACCCTCATTTGATGTTGAGCAGCGGCGACCGCATTCGAACCCAAGCAGCCGCGCCGATTTTATTGCTAGGCCACAGGAGAGGCCACAGGAGAGAACAACACTGCCTACGCATTCGCAAGTGTCTCCGACTCCTAGCTCTCTCATTGACACCAGGATTCCCCCTGTGTCAATCGCCGTATCTACGATAGACGGTGATGCCGAGCTTCCTCTGGGCAGGTCAATCAGGAGCAGCAGTCTGGTTAGACGCAGGGTCGAAGAGCCCTGGGGAGATAGAGGTGCCAAGCAGCTCCGGGTTTTCCATAGCAGGTAGTGTAAGGGTTCGATACCTTTTGGTGTTGTTGTCACGTGACCCAATCAGCTGTGCATGTTCATCTCATTGCAATTTACCTCACTTTCTCAATCAGTGATTCAAATCCCGGAAGAGCGGGCCCTGATAAGTCGTTTCTTCCACGGCCGTCCATAGCCACGCTCTGCTATCCGGTCTTAGGTTTGCTCGGCTCGCGCAAGACCTGTAACGATATGAGGCTTCTCGGAGTTGTGTCACGTGCCGTAGCACGTGACCCGGGCACCTATCTATGTATGATAGTTGCGATGAGAGCTTCTCTCTCTTCTTTCTTTCCTTAGCTTATTACTTTCGTTTAATACTACTGTCTTATTTCTGATTTATCTGAGTTCTTATATAGTAATCAGCTCACCACCACTATTATTTCCCTTTTCAGAGCACCAAAGGTCGTACAGACACACAGTCACGTGTAGCCCTAACTAGATATCGGCACAACCCATTTTAGGTTGAAGATATCAACCCAAAACCCAACCCACATAGGTTATAGGTTATATTTATATAACCTAACCTAACCTACAACCTATCGTAAGTTATAGTAGGTAACCTACTTCAACCTATTTTAACCTATTTTTACATAAAACAAAGTATTTTTACATAAAATAAAGGTCTTAGTATATATAAATCAGATTACTAACTAAATTATATTTCATATATTTATACTAAAATAGGAACCTATTGACTTCCCAAATAGGTTTTTAGTTTGAGGCTATAACCTATATCCTATTATGGGTGGGGATGGTTTGGGTTCGGGTTCGGGTTTATGTGGGTTGTGCTGATGTCTAGCTTTAACCATCCAGAACCGCCCCACTAAACCTTTGAACTAAACCTACTGAATACGCTAAGATCGTTTGGTATCGAACTAATTAACGAATCACGATATAATGGTCCGTTCGACACCTGCGAAAGCTAAGGGCAGCGGCCAAAGGGCGCGAATAAAGAAGAAATCAGTGACCGCGATGATAATCGCGGCGCTGTAAGTGAGATGTAATGGTTACTAAGTTGTCAGGCTAGATACCTGTGACTAGGCAAGGAATCGGACGGGTAGGTAACGAAGGGTTTTTATCGTCGATACAGAGACTGATTCTTGAAGAGATCAAGAATCCGAAATGACTGTGTGATCTTTAAAATACACTTATGGTTCGGGTGGACCTGAATATGCAGGCATCTCGAAAGGGATTTAACCCTATTGTAATAAAGCCTTTTTGTGATGAAACAAGTGCATTAATACGGAACACTGAGCATAGAGAAGGAAGAAACTATAAGAGGTAAGGCTTGCGGATCAGCCGCAAGGCTGAAAAGGGGGCTAAGCCCAAATAGGAAACAGGGTCTGGTGCGAAGTGTTAAACCTGTGTCGTCCTCGAAAGTCTGGGGTATTGTATACTTCGAATGCCGTGACAATAACGATGTAGTATTGATTGTACTTTTATTTGTTCTTTGAAAAATTGGACTTAAAAGGTATATACGACTTATATATTAGGGTCTGAAAGCTGACGGTATAGGATAATTACTTTGAAACACAAGGATATGATCTCGCTTAGGTGGGGGAGGATGGTTGATCCTAGGAGTGCCCTTCAGGCCTATTACAGTGACCGTACCCCGGTGACCTTGGCGTATATAAACTCGTAACCCTCCGATAGTAATAAAACATGCCCTTTCGCTCCTAAAATCTCACGTTGAAGGATTCACAGTCGATCACGGTTGCTATCTCTTGTAAATGGCAGGTGAAATGGGCCAATCAAGGCAGCGAGAGGAAGGTCATTGGCCCCCTCGAACAGAGAGAGTACGAGTGGGATCGTCGCGCCACCGGACGTCGTAGGGGTGGGGTAACATCAGCGACAGGTCACCTAACCGCGAGAGGGTTAGCCCGGGCATTGGGAATATTGGGGCCTGATGCATGGAGGAAGATATATTGGCGGGTAGAGACCGTGATGTCTTCCACGATTCCATCTACTCGACTATCTACATATCCCGAATACCCTTGCCACTGTATAGTGCCCAAAGTTTCTCTCTCTACCCACCTTCAAGTTGCTCACCATGGCTCCTCAAACAATCATAATCAACTACACCCCCGATAAGCGGCTCTCGCTCCTGGACGCGACCACTAAACAGCCGCTTTACCACGTCAAGGTCAGCCGGCAGACGCCGCAGATGGAAATGATTCGCCTGACGGGCCACCTTCCCCCGACGGAGGGAGCTGGAACCGATGCTACTGGGACGGGGATGCGGCCTATCCCCGCGGACGAAGAGAGCTATTTTGAATCGCGTGTGTGCACGGCGCAGTTTAAGATAACCAGCCTGGACGTGATGCTGCGTATCCGTGAGCAGCGCAACATCGAGCTCAAGCGCCAGAAGGTGCTGAGTACGCGGTACTCGTTCGTCTCGCCGGCGCTGTCGGTGGGCGGAGCGAGCGGGCTGGTGGGTGAGGCGGGTCCTGTCGTCCTGACGTGGGAGACGGACTCGGGGGACAATACGGTCGGGAACTTTCGGCTGGCGCGTGAGGGGGACAGTAAAGTGCTAGTGAAGTTCCGCAATGAGGCGTTCTCCAACGCGCGGGTGGGCACCTTTGAGGTGCTGGATGGGGCGATGGATCAGTTGGTCAAGGACGAGGTGGTTATCTCAGGGCTGGCGATGCTGGCGATGAACCAGAGCTTCCACCTGGCGGGGATGGTCATGTTTGGTCGTTCTTGAGCTCTCTTGGTGCTGTTGGTGGTGTTTCTCATTGATTTCCCCTGTCGTGTCTCTTGATCCCCTGCTTGCTTTGTGATGTATGTACCTCCTGCGCTCTACAACTTGCTACTAGTACCTGAATTTACGCACTTGTTTAGAATTTCTACGTTCGACCCATGGAGGGTACTAAAATATGAACATGATTGTATTCGAAATAACTAGAATAATCTATCTTGCAAAACACTCGGAACCAACAACCGTGTACATATCCCAAAACGACCAAAAAAGAACCTCAAGCGCGCTTTTTCTGTGCATTTTATATTTCGTGCCTTTTTTTTTCACGGCTTTTCTTATTTTTTTTTCTTTCGTTCTTTTCTTTCCTTCGTTCTTTTTTTTCTTTCGTTCTTTTTTTTCTTTCGTTCTTTTTTTTCTTTCGTTCTTTTTTTCTTTCGTTCTTTTTTTTCTTTCGTTCTTTTTTTTCTTTCGTTCTTTTTTTTCTTTCGTTCTTTTTTTTCTTTTTTTTTTGCCTTACTTTTTTTTGTAGATCAAATCAAGGGCAAACAATAGACAAAGGAAATAATTACCAGGGAGTAAACGAGATAGTAGACTAGTCAGTCATAGAAAAGAAACAAGTGTAGATCGGCGAAGAAAGAAAAAAAAAGACAAAGGAAAGGAATCACTCAAAGTCAAACTGCGCCGTCACCTCATCCAACAACGAATCCAGCGAGATATTGCTATCGTCGATGAGGGTGAACGGCTCGACCGAGTCGCTGCCGGACGTTCTGTCGTCCTCGCTGATGTACTCGGCGATCCTGGCGACCTGGGCAATGGTCTGCGCCTGGAACAGCTCGGCGACGGAAAAGATGAGGCCAGCTTCGCGTGCGGCACTGACCAGGTACATAGCCGTGATGGAGTCACCGCCGAGCTGCACAAAGGGATCTGTGACGCCAATCGCGTGGGTGGGGAGGTCGAGCACTTGGCTCCACAGAGTGTGGAGGCGGGATTCGAGTGGAGAAGACGGCGGCTGCTTGGGGGATTCCGAGGCGAGGCGATAGGTCTGTAGGGCTTCGACAGAGGCGTGGTTCAGCAGGCGGCGGAGCTTACTGCGGTCGGCCTTTGCGGAGAGGTTGAGCGGCAGGTGGCGCAGGGGCACGAAGAGGTTGGGGATCATGTAGGCGGGCATCGCGTGCACCAGGGCCTCGAGGTGCGATAAAAGGGTCGAGCGCATACTGTCGGTCATGGGGAGCAGCAGCTCGTCGGACGATTCCTGAGTGACGGAAATGGTCTCCGAGAAGCAGATAAAGGCCGCCAGCGTGCGATCGGCGCGGCCAGGCGGCTGCACCAGCTCGACGGCGACTTGGGAGACATTCGGGATCAGCGACTTGATGTGGGTTTCGACCTCGCCCAGCTCGATGCGGTGGCCGTGCACCTTGACCTGTGAGTCCTTGCGGCCGAGATACTGGAGGGTGCCGTCGGCGTGGTAGTGCACCAGATCCCCCGTCTTGTAGAAGCGTCGGCGCGTGGAGGAGGAGGAGGAGGAGGAGGAGGAGGGTCTTTGAGCGTTGGCCCACGCGAGATCCTCGACAAAGACCGCGTTCGTCTTAGCCAGATCATTCAGATACCCTCGAGAGATGAGAGGGCCTTCGATGACCAGTTCTCCAACACATCCGACTGGGACGAGACGATGGTGGTCGGTCGGATGCACGACCCACGGCCTGCACCCTGTCGGCGTGCCGATATTGGTGACTGGATGACTGGAGGTCGACAGCTCGGTATTGCAAATGCAGTAGATTGTCGCTTCGGCGGGACCGTAGCAGTTGGCGAGCATGGGGATCCCCCGCCACAGATCGTGTGCCTTTTGGTTGCCGGCCTCGCCGCCGAAGATCAAGAGCCGGAGCGAGGGCACGTCGGCCGGTTTGAAGGTCGAGCTCACGGTCGGAGTCAGTGTCGCGGCAGTCACGTCGAGCTGCCGCATTGCGCCCGGCAGGTCGTTGAGGCGCTGGGAGTCGGAGGGGACGCACACGCAGGCGCCGTGGATGAGCGAGGTGAAGATTTCTTGGATGCTGAGGTCGAAGACATGGGCGGAAAACTGGAACACGCGGTCTCCAGGGCCAATCTTGAGGACGGCACCGTGGGCGACCATGCTGCTGCAGACGCTGCCATGTTCCACCATGATCCCCTTGGGCGTGCCCGTGCTGCCAGAGGTAAAAACCACGTAGGCAAGGTGGCTGGGCTGGGCACGAGGAAGGGTCAATAGGAGGCTTCCTGGCGGTGGCAGCGAGTCGACGAGCGCTTGATCGAGGCAGATGACATGCGCAGCGTGAGCAGCAAACCGATCGCGGTAAGAAGACGAGGTCAACACGACCGTTGCGTTTGTATCCTGGAGGATCGCTTCGTGACGCGCTGGCGGATGCGAAGGATCGAGAGCGACCCATGCGCCGCCAGCCTTCATAACACTCAGCGCTGCAACGGTGTACCAGACGGATTTGTCGAAGCAGGTCGGAACCATGACTTCTGGAGCAACACCGCGAGAGACAAGCAGCTCGGCGATCTGGTCGGAGACGGCATCGAGATGTCGGAAGGTGAGGTTGCCGTCCCAGGCGCAGATGGCTGGAGCGGAGGGATGCAGGGCGACCTGATCGGCGAACATGGCGGGGATGGTCGATTCCACGGGCTGGGCACTGGTTTGCGACGCGATCATTGCAGCCAGGTGGGCGGAGTGGCAATCAGTGAACAGATCCACAGAGCCGGCGAGCTGGGATGGATCGGCGACAATGGCGCAGAGCACGGCGTCGAGGGTGTGGCAGACGTTGGTCGCCTGCCAGTCGGAGAGCGCAGGGGCCCAGTAGTTGAGGGTGATGTCGATTTCAGTCGCAGAGAAGCCGACGTTGACGGCGAAATCGTACTCGGTCGGATCCTGCGAGTCGATGCTGCGGAAGCGAAGGAGGGAGTCTGCGTCGCCGCTGGGCGCGCCGGTGGGTTGGATAGACATCATCGTGTTGAAGAGAGGAGTGCCCGACAATTTCAGGGCGTGCTGGATCTGGGCCAAGGAGCAGTCTTGGTGGCCGAGACTCGTCACGTAGTTGCTCTGCACCTCCTGCACCAGCTGACGCAGTTGCTTTGCCGGTACTACAGCGACGCGGCACACCAGCATGTTGATGAGCGGGCCCAGCACCTCGCTGAGCGCTGGGTCGAGTGCTTCGCGGCCCGTTGCGAGATAGCCAAAGCAGACATCTTCCGAGCCGGTGACGGCGTTGAGAACCAGCGCCCACGCGGTCTGGAAGAGGTTGGCGATGGTGACGCCGTGGGCCTGGCAGAAGGCGTGCAGGGCCGAGGGCTGAACGTTCAGGTCGACGGTTTGCGACCGGAGGTGGGCTCGGTGTCCGGCTGCCCCGTCCAGAGGTAGATGGCAGGGCTCCACGCTGTTCAGGTATGTTTTCCAGTACTCAAGATCGGATCCGGGGTCCTTCGCCTGGATGTGGCGGATGTAGTCGCTGAACCGCGCGGGGGGGTGCTTGCAGTGGGCCCTGATAGGCTTCGGTGACCTGCCCCAGGATCATCCCGAGCGAGAAAGCATCGACAATGGCGTGGCTCATCTCCCAGGAGCAGACGAGGCGCGTTTCCGTTTCGAATATCACCAGTCGGTGCGGCGGCTGCAGTTTGTTGTCGTCATCGCGCGGCTGCGGTGTATCAAGCAGCCCCCCGAGGTCTTTGTCTGTGCACTTTCTGAGATGTGTGCGGGCGACGAGCTTACTCAACACCACCTGGTCGAACAGGGCGTTGGGGGAGACGGCATCGATGAAGAAGGTCCGCAAGATGGGCTGCTGGTCCACAACCTGCTGCCACGCGTCGAAGAGTCTCTGCGCAGTTACGGTTGTCTGCTTGCTGCTGACCTCGAAGGTGAAGCGCAGCTGGTAAACCCCGTCGGCCTTGCTTTGGCTGAGAAGCAGGCCTTGCTGCATCGGAGAGCAGGGATACAGTTCCTCGACGGCGCCGAGATCGAGCAGGCCAGCGTCGGCCAGCGTCCCCTTGCGCAGCCGATCAAGGCTACTGTAGGTGAGTGACATCAACGGGAAGTCACTGAGCGTTTTCTCGGGGCTCATGACGGGCAGGACGGTGGCGGTCTCGGTAAGACTCTCCTGGAAGGACTCGATCCAGTGGCTGATCTCGGTCTGGTGGCGCATCTGGTCGCTAAAGGTGAAGTCGAACCGGGCGATGCCATGAATGATCACTGCCGACACTTCGAAGAAAGCGAGGCGGGTGACATGGCCAGCGATATCTTCCACCCCGGGCAGGTCGGTTCGGGGCTCCTCGCGCAACAAGGCATCCGTGCGCTCGAGCTGCTGGTATTGACCCATGTAGTTGAAGAGAACCTCCATTGGCAAGTGATCCGGGAAGGCGTTGCCGGTGCCAGCCCCACTGGCGAGATAGCGCGCCGTGAAATACTGCCACCCATTGCTTACCAACTGGCGTCTGCGGTCCTTGAGTCGCCGCACCGTCTCGACAATATCGCTGGAGTCGGCTGCAGGCAGGTGAACGGGAGCCATGGTGGTGAACCAGCCCACCGTGCTGGACAGGTTGATGGAGGCGTCCATGGGCTCCCTTCCATGTCCCTCCAGAAAGACGGAGGGGGGTTTCGCGGTTGCGGAAGGTTTGCCCGAAAGAATACACGAGGGCCGCGAGGAAGAGGTCCACCGCATCGGTGTTGTATGCCTGGTTGGCGGCGCCCAACAGCGCCGAGGTGTGCTCTGCGGATAAGGTGAAGCTCTGTCTCGCTGCAGTGGCATAGTTATTCTTTCCCGCTGGAAAGACCCCAGTACTGGTAATTGGCGGCGGGGACCTCGTACGGAAGGACGGACTCGATTGAGAGGTTCTCGTAAGCGTACTGGGCCTGCAGGCTGGACCAGGACTGGAAGGATACTGAGGGTTGACTGTCTGCCAAACGGCCAGACTGCAGATACTCTTCCAGCTCCTGCATGAGGATCCGCCAGGACACCAGATCGACGACCAAGTGGTGAGCAGCCAAGAAAATGAGCTGCTCCCCGGGAGAATCGAAGTAGTCGGTGCTGAACACCGGGCCGGAAGTGATGTCGAGGGTGCGTTCACTGGCAGCCATGACCGCAGCCATCGCTGGGCGGTCGAGCTGCTCGTGGCGGCGACAGCGGTAGGAACCCTCTATCTCGCCGCAAATCAGCTGGGTAAAGGTGCTGTGTTCCTCGATCTTGTGGAACCGGGCTCGGAGCATGGAGTGGCGAGCAACGAGCTGGTAGATGGCGTCGGCGACCTGGTTGGGACGCACCGGGTGTGTGATGCGGAGGAAGAAGCTCTGGTTGAAATGCGTGGGCTGTTGGCCGGACATCTCAAAGTACATGTGCTGGACCGGGGTGAGGGCGAATTCCACGTCCGGTGTCTCCTCGGCGAGCGATACAGCCCCCCTCGGTCGTCTGCACGAGGGTTGCCAGCTGGGTGATATCGGGGGACTTGAGGATATCGCGAACGGTCAGCTGGACTTGTACTGCTCGAGCTCTTGCGACGAGCTGCATGGCGGTGATGGAGTCACCCCCGAGACTGACAAAGGAACGGTTGAGGAGGATCTGTTCGGGGCTGCGGTTCAAGACCTGGGCCACGAGCTGTTGGAGTTGTGCCTCGTTGCTACTGCAGGCAACGATGGTTCCTTCGTCATCTGCAGCCAGTGTGTTCGCTTCTTGTAGAGAATCCTCGCTCATCGCCTCCACCCAGCGAGACACCAGCTTGCGGTCCACCTTGCGCGAGATATTGAGGGCAATGCTGCTGACGATGAACCAGACAGAGGGGTTGATGTACGACGGAAGATCCCCGACTAAGCGAGAGCGAAGGCGACGCAGTTGTGATTTAGCATGGGCCACGTCTGGACCGGCAACGAGCTGCATGCGGTCATAGCCAGGGCTGGTGGCTCCGAGAGACACCACCGCGACGAGGCGTTGGCGAGCAGCGCCCGATTCAGGCAGCAGGACCAGCCCCTGCTCGAATTCGCCGCCTCGGAGGAGCTGGTGTTCGATCTCTCCAATCTCAGCGCGCTGGCCATGGATCTTGAGCTGGTGGTCTTTGCGCCCCAGGTAGTCAAGCGAGCCCGCAGACGTGTAGCGCACTAGGTCGCCGGTCTTGTAGAAGCGACGTCCGGTCCGCTTGTCATTGATCAAGGCCCAGCGGGGGTCCTCAATGAAGGACTGGCGAGTTTTCTCTTCGTCGTTGAGGTAGCCCAGAGTGACCAGCGGGCCTTCGATCAGCAGCTCCCCGGCACAACCTACAGGGGTGAGCTTATCGTGGTCCTGCGGTTCCACCACCCACAGGTGGCTGGCCAGGCCTCGGCCAATATTGAACGGCTTTGTCCCGTGCTCTCCGAGGGACCCGTTCCACGAGCAGTAGATGGTGCATTCCGCAGGGCCGTAGCAATTGTTGAAGCTCTGCACATCATCCCGCCAAACGTCCACTGCTTTCTGAGTCACGGCCTCGCCAGCGAGTGTGAGGGTCTGCAAAGTGGGAACGGCTGTTGGTGACAGGATGGAGGCGATGGTTGGCGTCAGGCACGCCCAGTTGACCTGTCCCTCGCGGATGAAGCCTTCTAGATCATTGACTCGCTGCTCTTCCGAAGGTACGCACACGCAGGCGCCACGGTTCAAGGATGTGAACACCTCTTGAAGACTAATGTCAAACACGTATGAAGCGAACTGCAGCACCCGGGAGGACGAGCCGATGTTCAAGGCGGAGCCATGAGCGTCCATGCTGGTCGACACTGCCGAATGGCTCAGGAGGACCCCCTTGGGGACTCCCGTGCTGCCCGATGTGTAGATCACAAAGGCAATATCCGAAGCGCTGGGTTCTTCTGTAGGGAGGTGTTGAGCGCTCGGAAGGCTCTCGAGAACGGCAGCGTTGACAACGAGAACCTGCACGGTGGGCTCCGAGAACAAATGTCGCTGCCGTTCGCCAACCAAGATGAGCGTGGCAGAGACGTCACTAATAATCAGGCTATGTCGACTAGTCGGGTGCGAGGCATCCAGTGCCACAACGGTTGCACCAGCCTTCAAGATAGCCAGCATGGCGACAATCGTCCAGGCCGACTTCTCGAAGCAGACCGGGACAAAGGATCCACGACCAACACCTAGCGAGACAAGGTGTTGGATTAGAGCCTCAGCTGCGGAATCGAGTTCGCCGTATGTGAAAGATCGGTCCCATCCATAGACTGCCGGTCGGGCCGGGTGCAGGAGGGCCTCGTTCTCAAAGTTCTCCTGGACGAGCCTGCGGGCGGACCGCAGGCGGCGGGAGTTCCACGTACGGATTTCGGCCTCGTCCTCGGGGCTGGCAAGGCTGAGGCTGGAGACGGGCTGGTCGAGAGGGAGCGAGTTGAGCTGCTGCAGGAGGTGGGCGAACTGGTGCAGGATACGCCGCATCTGCTTGTCAGCGAGCAGCCCTGCATCGTATTCCACCTGGATCTCAAGACGATCGGTGTGCGTGGTGACGTCCAGGACGAGGTCAAAGGTGTGGAAGCCGGATGAAGCGCGGTCGCAGCGTTCCAGACCCGATGGGAGTGCCGGGCCCTCTGCGTCGGAGCCAGGCTGGATGACGAGCAGGTTCCGGAAGCTGCAGGCCTGCTCTGCTCCAGGCGAGAGCTGTCGGATATTCTGCAGTCCCATCTGTTCGAAGCCGATCATCTCGGTTGTCTGTTCCTGGATGCGCGAGAGCAGAGCCTGCAGCGACTCGTCTTGTCGCAGTTGCACGCGGACGGGCACGGTGGCGATGGTAGGCCCGATAATGCCTGCAATTCCAGCCACAGGGATGTTTCGCCCGGTCAGTGTTGAGCCGAAGGTGGCCTCGTCTGCGCCAGAGTAGCGTGCAACAAGGAGAGCCCACGTGGCACGGATGAGCGACGAGGCAGTCGACCCGGAGCCTTTACGCTGGGTGAAGGGGAGCGTCTCTGTGAAGACGCGATGCTGTTGCTCCTCTTCGGCGGACCGCGTACCCTGAGGTGGGAAGTTGGGCGGAGCACACCCGTCAAGCTGAGCCCTCCAGTACGCCTCTTGCTGCTCTGATTTGAGGTCCTGGAGGTACGCAATGAAGCCAGCATACGCCGGTGATGGATCGACCGTCTGCGACTCGTATGCCGTGGTGAGCCGGTTGAGGATCAGGGCCACGCTCCAGCCGTCGTACACGGCGTGGTGGGCTGTCCACACAAAGTGGCGAGTTTGAGCGTTGTCGATGATGGCGTATCGCGACAGGGGCTGGCCGTACCCGATTGACTGTTCTTGATCCCTGGAGAGGTACGCGTCCAGATCGCCGTCGTAGTTCCAGCACAGGGGTTCGTCGAGCACCACCTGCAGCGTGGTCCCATCCGCAGAGTAGATGAGCCTCGTGCGCAGAATCTCAGTGGTGTTGACAGCCACATCCCACGCCGATTGGAAGCGTGGAAGATCCAGCGACGGCGGCAGCACAAAAACGTTCTGATGGATGTAGGCACCCGGCTGGGTCTGAGAGAGCGCCACGAGGCCCTCCTGCAGAGGGGTCGCCTTGTACAGGTCTTGCACTTGTTCGGGATGCACATCGCACTGTGCCGCAGCCTCCTGTCGCAGAGTCGAGACCGGAGCCGCTCGGGGAAGAAGCGAGAATGGTTCCGCGCTGAGAGGGTCAGCTTCCCCACTGGTGGTCTGCATGTCGACTGCGCTCTCTGCTAGGGGAACCCGCGCGGAAGAGGGCGCTGACGCTGATCGCCCAGCCCGCCTGTTGGGCGAGAGTCACAATTCGCATCGCGTCAATCGAATCGCCTCCGAGTCGGAAGAAGTTGTCGGTTCTCCCGATGGAGGCAGCCGGGGAGACCAAGGACATCAGCCCACAAGGTGCGCAGCTGCTCCTCGGCGGGGTTTGTGGGTGCCTCCTTCTCCTCCGCTTGACCAGGACCGAAGAGCGCGAGTTCTTCCAGCGACAGAGAGGAGCCCATTTGTCGGAGACGGGAACGGTCGATCTTTCTTGAGAGATTCAGGGGCATCTCGCGGACGGGGATTACGGCCGAGGGCAACATGTGCTGAGGAAGGGCCTGGGAGAGAGCTGCCAGCACTTCCGCAACGATAGCCCGCTGCCTGTCGCTCAGGGGAGCAATTTCATCTTCGTTGGCATGGTCCTGAGCGGTGACGTCCTCTGTAAAACACACAAACGCGGCCAGCCTAGTAGGAGCCGCGCGATCGCGAGGCGACACTGCGTCGACGGCAACCTCGCGGATCAAGAGCGACGCTGCTCTGATCTGTGCTTCAATCTCACCTAGTTCAACGCGCTGGCCGTGGATCTTGACCTGGGTGTCCTTTCTGCCCAGGTAGTCGAGCGATCCGTCCTGGTTGTAGCGAACGAGATCGCCCGTCTTGTACAGTCGGTCGCCGGGGGTGGCAGACCAAACCGGGTCTGTAATGAAGGCACGAGTGGTTTTGGCTTCGTCGTGCAGATATCCCTGGGACACAAGTGGTCCGCCAACGGCAAGCTCTCCGATGCATCCGATCGGCATGAGGTGGTCCTGGTTCTCGGGGTCGACAACCCAGAGACGACTGGCCAGTCCACGGCCGATGTTTGCGGGATGCATACCAGCGGTGCCGACGTTTCCATTCCAGGCGCAGAATATCGTACATTCAGCGGGCCCGTAGCAGTTGTGGAAGCTGGTGAGGTGGCTGTTGCCCCAAACGTCGAGGGTCTCTTGCGTGATGGCCTCCCCGGCCAGCACCAGCGTCTTCAAACTCGGCAGAGCACTTGGTTGCAAAAGGCGGGCAACAGTGGGCGTAATGCAGGCGTAGTTGACTTCCATCTGCTGCATTACCAGCTCGAGCTCGTTCACTCTCTGGTCGTCGGAAGGAACACAGATACAGGCGCCCCGGGTGAGCGAGGTGAAGATGTCGTGGATGCTGATGTCGAAAACGTAGGCTGCAAATTGAAGGACCCGTGACTCTGTGCTGATTCGCAGAGCTTCCCCGTGGGCATGCATGCTCGTTGCGAGATTGGAATGGCTCAGCACCACTCCTTTCGGCTCGCCGGTACTTCCAGAGGTGTAAATAATGACCGCAGGCTCCGACGGCTGCGATCGGTTGCTGCGATGGGCGCGTTCCAGGATCTTCTTGTTCACTTGGGGAAGAGAGTCGAGGAATTTTCGATCGACCGTAATCGTATCGTCGGCCAGGGAACTTGCCCTTTCCGTTTGCGTGGCAGAGGCAAGAATGAGCGACGACTCAATGTCGAGGACGATTTTCTTATGGCGCTCGCTGGGATGGGCTGGATCAAGACACACAAAGGCTGCGCCGACTTTCAGCACTGCGAGCATCGCGACGATTGTCCATGCGGATTTTTCAAAGCAGAGAGGAACAATGCTGCCGGCGTCAACGCCCATGTAGGTCAGGTACAGGGAAAGACGTGTCGAGAGCTCGTCGAGCTGCTCGTAGGTGAAGGCGGCGTCCCCCGCGTGGACTGCCCGGGCCTCCGGTTGTATGGCTGCTTGAGCCTCGACGAGCTTGTGGATACATTCTTGTCTGGCCCGGGGGACCTCTGCATTCCACTCCTTCAGGTGCAGCTCGTTGCGAGGACTCAGGGCATTGAACGCCGCAATAGACTGATCGCCGTGCTCTTCAACCCGACGGAGGAGGGCGTGGAAGGTATCGGCCACGTTTTCGGCTTGCCAACTAGAGATCCGGCCCGTGTAGTGGTTCAACTGAACCTGGGTAGCATCGTCGGAGAGGGAAACATTGACGGCCATCTCGTACTCTGTCGGGTCGTGGTTGCCGATGTGCGTGATGGCCAGACCATGCTGGTTGCTCGTCTCCGCCGCCGCCCGTTGCACCGACATCATCGTATTGAACAGTCGCTCTCCAGAATTGCGGAGAGCGTGCTGCACCTCGGCCAGGGAGCAGTTCTGATGTTGCAGGGCGGCGCTGTAGTCATCGCGGGCTTTCTGGGCGAGGAATGCGACTGACTGGGTGGCGGCGATGTGCAAGCGAGACACGCTCATGCTCACAAAGGGGCCGATCGCGTCGTGAATACCGTCGATGGGTGATTCGCGACCGGAGAGCATGTATCCGAAGCACACGTCGTCGGTTGCTACGAAGAGCCTGAGAACCAGGCCCCAGACCGCTTGGAACAGGTTGGGCATCGTGACGCTGTGCCTCTCGCAGAAGGCCCGGAGGCTGCGCGTCGAGGCTGGAGACACGTTGAATCGGACCGAGTGCAGCTGGTTTGCTTCGTCAGAGGTGCCCGTGTGCGAAGGCAGAATGCATGGCGGTGCTCCGGCAAGGTACCCCGTCCAGTACGAGAGGGCCTCCTCCGTGGGCATCTCGTGGATGTGCTTGACGAAGGCGGAGTATAGGGGCCCTGTACCAGAAGGCAGCAGCCCACGATACGCGGCACCAAGGTCCTGCAAGGTGACCCCCATGGAGACGGCATCCATGAGGGCGTGGTTGACCTCGAAGCGACAAAGAACCCGATTGCGGTCTCCTTCAACGATCAGCAGCTGATGTGCAGGACGTAACTCTTCATGGTCGATCCTGGGAGTTGACTGCAGGAGGTGCATCGCCCGGTCATCGCTGCATTGGATCCGCTGTGTTCGCGGGCTCGCCACCTTGAGCACGACCTGCGAGAATGCGGCGTTGTCTGCGAGGCCGGTCACAAACACGGTGCGTAGGACCGCATGCCTCTGCACGACCTGCTGCCATGCATCGAGGAGTTTCTCGACGTCTACTTTTGGCTCGTTGGTACTTTCCACCTCGAACAGGAACTCGACCTCGTAGGAGCCCTTCATCCGCAGTTGGCCGATCAGCAGACCTTGCTGCATCGGCGAGCAAGGGTAAACATCCTCGATCTCTGCAATCGAGCTCAGGCCCAGCTGCGGGATCAATGCGTGGAGGACCTCCAGCCCGTTCTCCCTGGCGGAGAGCAGTGGATAGTCGCCGATGGACGCCTTGGGGCTGAGGCGTGGGAGGGCATCGGCAATCGCCTTGAGGACCTGGATGGACCTCGATGCAAAGTGGCGAATCTGATCCTGGTGCTTCATGCGTTGGTTGAAGGCGACATCCAGCCGCAGATGGCCCTGGACCACCACCGCAGACAGTTCGATGAGCGCGAAGCGAGGGAAGTCCGGGTCGATGTCTGAAGACGCCTCGGTGACCTGGCGTGGTTCATCCTTGAAGAATGCATCGACGGCCTCCAGCTGCTGATACTGGCCCAGGTAGTTGAAGGTGAGCTCCATCGGCCAGTATGCTGCAAAAGCTTCGATGCCTGCGTCGTTGGCGAATCGAGAGGTGAAATAAGACCACCCGTGGCGCGAGAGCCTACTGCGAGCCTCTTTGACTTGGCGAATGGACTCGATGGCTGTCGCCAGGTCTCCCTTGGCAACATGCACAGGGGTCATGGTGGTGAACCACCCGACGGTGCGGCTGAGGTCGATCTCTTCGTCCCAGGGCTGGCGGCCGTGGCCTTCGGTGAACAAGGCAGGGGCATCGCGAGTGGGGAATTCTTGAACGAAAGCGTGTAGGATAGCCGCCATCAGGACGTCCACAGGCTCTGCCCGGAACGCATTATCGCTCATGTGCAGCAGGTTCGACGTGCTCTCCGCGTCCAGCAGCATACTTTCCTTGGCCGTGTCCCGCACGATGTTCGCAGTGTTGGCCATGCCCCAGTACGAGTAGTCCGCCGCAGGAGTGATGCCGTGGCTAATTTGGCTGGGCGATAGGTTATGGGCAGCATACTCAGCCTGCAGTTTGACCCAGTGCTGGAAGGGGAGCGGAGCCGGAGCGGTGATCTGCCCGTTCAGCAGAGCCTCCTCGAGGTCCGCCAGGATCACACGCCATGATACGAGATCGACGACGAGGTGGTGCGCCGCGAGAAACAACAGTGGTTGATCCTGTCCAGACACCTGAATGAGGTCCACAGCGAAGAGTGGACCCTGCTCAAGGTCGAACGCTTGCTGTGCGGCAGCGAGAATCGGCTCCACCGCCTCCGGCCGCACGGGTGCGTGATGCGTAAGACGGTACGAGGCATCAATATTGCTAGAGACCATCTGTGACCATTGCCCTTGAGACTTGGTGAATCGGGCGCGGAGCATGGAGTGATGGTGCACGACAGCTCGCACGGCGGATGCCAGGCAATCCGTATCAACTGGGTGCGCTAGTCGCACAAAAAAGCTCTGGTTGAAGTGGGATAACCGGGCCACCGGTAGCTGGAAGAAGAATGATTGTATGGGCGATAGGCTGAAGGGCTTGTCAACCTCCTCCGAGACCGCCATTGTCGTTGTGTTGCGGACGCGAGCAGACTTGCAGAGCTCGTGGATACCAGACGACTGGAGGATGTCACCCATGCGGACGGAGATTCCTGTGGCCTTGCAGCTGGATAGCACCTGCATGGCGGTAATCGAGTCTCCTCCCAAGCTGATGAACGATTTGTTGAGCGGAACCTGGCTAGGTGAGAGGTTGAGGACGCGCCCGACGATGCTCTGGAGGGACTCCTCCACTGATGTCTTCGCTGCAAAATCAGCATCCTCGGATCCCACCGATAAGGTCGATTCGTAGGTGTCCTGGTCGAGGTCGTGGATCCAGCGAGAGACGGCCGCACGATCGAGCTTGTCAGAGGCGTTCATCGGAATGTCCTTGACCACGAGCCAGACGGTGGGGACCATGTAGGGAGGCAAGTTGTGTGCGAGTCTCTCGCGAGTTCCTCTGGTGGAATGTGCATCGACAGTCTCGACCAATTCCAGAGGAGATCCAGCGGCGCGAACACGGGCATCGGCGAGTGAAACAACGGTCACGAGTCGATCGGCACACAGCCCGAGCTTGGGAACAAGGACAAGCGCACTGTGGATGGCAGGGTCAGCGAGCAGGTGGCCTTCGACTTCGCCAATCTCCATGCGCTGGCCATATAGCTTGATCTGGCTATCGGCGCGGCCCACGTAGTTGATCGACCCGTCGTCAGAGTATCGAACAAGGTCACCAGTGCGGTACATGCGACGTGTAATGCTCGGACCGGCATTAGCCACAGACCAGCTAGGGTTGATAATGAAGCTGGCCGCCGTCTTGTGCTCGTCGTGGAGATAGCCCCGAGCCAGCGTCGGTCCCTCGACCAGCAACTCACCTACAGTGCCAATCGGCGCCAGCTGGTCGGGGTTGCTTTCGTCGGCGATCCAGCCAATCGAGCCTACTGGGAATCCCAGTTTTTCTTCGGTTGGAGCGGTCGTAGGAAGGATGTCTCTGGTGACGCAGAACACGCAAGTCTCGGTAGGCCCGTAACCATTCATCAGGTTGGTGTACCCGGCCCAGGCCTCGATGTTATCTCTCTGAAGCGCTTCGCCACCGAGAACTAGGGTTGTCAGCGAGTGGACTCGCGATGGCTGAACGACGCGGACGAAAGACGGCGTGAAAAAGGCCCAGTTGGTCTGGTACTCATTCATGAAATGAACAATCTCGGGGCTCCGGTCTTCGTCCGAAGGCACGCAGACACAGCCTCCGTGCACGAGCGTTGTGAAGATCTCGGCAATGCACGCGTCGAAGTGGTACGGCGCGAATTGGAGGGCCCTCGTCTCAGCACTGAAGTGCATTCGGGCCCCGTGAGCAGCGATACTCGAGCTCGCCGCCGCATGGTCGATCATCACACCCTTGGGGACACCCGTGCTGCCTGAGGTGAAAATGATGTAGGCAAGGTTCTCGGGGCTACAGCGGTTGGCGAGGTCGACTTCGGACGGGGTATACTTGAGCTCTTCCAGCAGACTGGCAGAGACTTGCACCATGTGTAGTGCATCCACACCGGCGGACGCGCGCGTGGCAGGCGACACGACGAGAACCTGAGCATCCAGCTGGCTCATCATCGCTTCTCGGCGAGCAACGGGGTATTCAGGGCTTAGAGCCACATAGGCTCCGCCCGCCTTCCAGACCGCGATCATGGCCACCGTGGCCCAGACCGATTTCTCCATGCAGATTGGGACCATTTGCTCCGCACATACCCCAAGCTTGACTAGGTGGGCAGCGAGACGATTGGTCAGCTCATCCAGCTGGGAATAGGTGAATTTGCCGTCCCAGCCGTGGATGGCGATGGCTTGAGGCTTCTGCTTTGCCTGAACGGTGATGGCGTGATGAACGCACTGGTCCACTCGTCGAGGTGGCTCCGCATTCCAAGCTTCAATGGTGAGCACATCGTCTTTGCTCAGCGCATTGACCCGCGAGACTGCTTGGTCGAGGTTCCCAGTCTGTAGGCGATGGAGAACCGACTTCAAATGCGCCAGCACGCGGGCCATCTGGGCTTGCTCAATGACGCGCTGGTCGTAATTGACCGAGAGATCGACCTTGTCTCCTCGGATGGAGCACTCGAGGACAATGCTGTATGTGTGGAAAGACTCCTTATCGGCGGTTGTTCGGATGCGGGTGAGTCCATCAACCTCCTTGGCCTCGGCCAATTCGTCCGAGCCCTGATGCACCACCATCAGGGTACGGAAGTCGCAGGCTGCTTGAGCATCGGGGCTGATTGAGCGGATTTGCTGTAGTCCGGTATGTTCGAACGGAATGGATTGGATCGCCTGCTCCTGCACGCGGCTGAGCAGGTCGCGAACCGACTCGGAGGGGTCAAAGGCCACACGAACAGGAATCGTGGTGATGGTTGGTCCGGCGACTTGATCGATTTGGTGCACTGGGGCGTTCCGGCCGGTCAGAGTGACTCCAAAGATTGCCTCTCGTGAACTGGAGTACTTGGCGAGGACAAGTCCCCAGGCGGCGCGGAGGGTGTTGGCGCGAGTAATCCCATCGTCGTTGGCGAGAGAAACGTCCACCGAGTGTGATATCTGTCTCCCACGGCGTTGCCCGGCCTCTCCGCGGATGGCGGGGGGAAGCTGCTGGGCGTCGAGCCTTCCAGCAGAGTCGCCCAATACGCTGCTTGTTCAACCACAGGAACTCGAGATATATAGCTTATGAACTCGCGGTACGGGCGGACGGGGGTAACTGTTGCATCGGAGAGAGCTTGCTGCAACATGTTGAAGACGAGAGCCGTAGTCCATCCATCGTACACGGCGTGATGGGCGGTCCAGACGAAGTAGTCCTTGCCGGCCTCCTGGATAATAGCATACCGCGTAAGAGTGGTCCCGTAGTCACACGGTCCGGTCGAGTATCTTGCAAGGCTCGATGTAGTTTCCCATTCTATTTCGCCCTTGCAGACGACCTGCAGATTGCCTTGCCCCTCGATGTAGACAATCCGGCTGCGAAGGATCTCGGCCTGTTGGTAGACAAGTTCCCACGCAGCCTTGAATGCTGCGATATCGATCGTGGATGGGAGCTGGAATACAGTCTGGTTGAGATAGGCATCGGTCTGCTTGGCCGAGAGGGCGATCAACCCTTCTTGCATTGGAGCGCAGGGGTATATATCTGCAATGGCGTCGAGAGGCAGAGTCAACTGTGCTCCAACTTGTCGGATCAAAGAATCCGATTCTGTTGATGGAATCAGAGCGAAGGGCTCCACGGGCTCACCCTCTTCGGTATCTGGATCGTGTAATTTGGCTGCCAATGCCATATCCTGGAGGATCGGAGACTTGAAGATGTCGGCGACCGTCAGGGAAATCCGTGCATTGCGAGCCTCTGCGACGAGCTGCATGGCATTGACCGAGTCGCCACCGACCCGCAGGAAGTTGTCGAGCTTTCCAATTGATTCGATAGGCATCTTCAAGAGGATCGACCAGAGGAGCTGGATCTTCCTCTCCATCACTGTTGTCGGCGGAACCTTGTCGGTGACTTGGGCAAGGGCGTAGTGCTGAAGCTCTTCCTCGGAGAGCTGGGTGGTCCATTCCTTGAGACGTCGGCGGTCCGTCTTGCCCGATGTATTGACAGGGAGTGTCTGGATGGGAATATATAAAGCAGGGACCATGTAGATGGGGAGCAGCGTGCTGAGGGTCATTTCCATTCGCGATAGCACCGCACGAAGACTGGAAGTGACGGGCAGCAGGGGCCCTTGAGCAGTGGCAGAAGTACCATTGGCGTGTTGCTCACCCTCCTCGTAGCAGAAGAAGGCTGCCAGCCTGCCAGAAACCAAGTCGACGGTGGCGGAGCGGAGCTCAGGCGTAGATGCCGTGATGGCCTGCTCAACTTCAGCCAGCTCAATGCGTTGGCCATGCACCTTGACCTGTGTATCCTTGCGCCCCAGGTAGTCGAGGGTCCCGTCTTCGTGCCAACGCACCAGGTCGCCGGTCTTGTACATGCGCCGGCCCAGGCCACCATCCTGGGCCCGAGACCATTCCGGATCTTGAATGAACGGGTTGTTCTGCGTCACGTCCAGGTAGCCCTCTGAGACAATCGGGCCTTCGACCAGCAGCTCCCCAATGCAGCCGACCGGAGCGAGGACATCGTGGTTTGACGGGTCAATGACCCAGTGATGGCAGGCCCACGGAATGCCGACATTCGCTGGTCGTTGCGTGGGTTCGCGGCCGACGTTGCCGTTCCACGAGCAGTAGATTGTACACTCTGCAGGGCCATAGCAGTTGTTGAGGCTTGCCAGGCCGCTGGATTTTGGGCGCCAGACATCTACCGTCTCCTGACGGAGCGCCTCGCCGGCCAGAACCAGGTGCCGGAGGGATGGGACATCCGCAGGTCGGAACAAGGAGACGACTGTAGGTGTGAGAGTGGCGCAGTTGACGCGCAGGCGCTCCATGGTGGCGGGCAGATCATTGATGCGCTGCTCTTCGGACGGAACGCAGACACAGGCGCCGAAGAGAAGCGAGGTGAACATCTCCTGCAGGCTCAGGTCGAATCCATACCCAGAAAACTGGAAGACTCGTTTGCCAGGCCCAAGAAGTAGTGCAGCTCCGTGCGCCCGCATGCTGGTCCCGAGGGTGGTGTGCGGCAGGCGGATTCCCTTGGGCTCTCCTGTGCTGCCAGAGGTAAACATGACAAATGCGAGCGCTGAAGGGGAGATGGTCGGCAGTCGAGTCAGAGTCACATTGCCTGGGATGCCATCCATAAGCTGCTGGTCAACCGCAATCGTCTTGCGGGCTGACTGGGTGAAGCGTCGCTGGTTGGCGGGCGATGTGAGAATCGTTGCAGCGCGCACCCGCGTGGCAATGGACTGCAGGCGGTGGTCTGGATGAGAAGGATCCATGGGGACGCAGGTGGCTCCCGTCTTCAGGACGGCCAGCATCGCCACGATCGTCCACCGTGACTTTTCGAAGCAGACGGGGACCATGTCCGCGGCCGCGACATGACCGGAGTGGGTCAAGAAGAGGGCGAGTCGCGAGGATTGCGAATCCAGTTCCTGATAAGTCAATTGCCCGTCCCAGGAATCAACCGCCGGTGCACGAGGCTGGGCGGAAACTTGCTGTGCAAAGAGCTCTGGAATGGATTTGAGCACTGGCTGTGGCAGTGCGTGTTGCCAGCTGCGTGTGAGCTGCTCGTCCCGCTGGCTGAAGAGGGAAACCTGACCAAGGGGGGGTCGTGGGCGATTTGAGCAGACTGAGGATCGCGGCCTTGGTGGTGCCCAGGATATTCGCCGCCTGCCAGTCCGACAGCTTGGACCTCCAGTGGCTGAGCGAGACCGAGATCTCACTCTCCGAGAGCACCACGTTGGCGACAATGTTGTAGTCGGTGGGGTCGTGCGAGTTGGTGCTGTCGAAGGCGATCGCGGGCTCCTGGGCCTGGGTCTGTACCTGAGCAGACGCCGACCAGGCCGAGCCACGCTGAATCGACATCAGGGTATTGAACAGCGAGCCGTGCTGCAAGGGCAGGCTGTGCTGGATCTCGGCCAGCGAACAGTGCTGGTGGACCAGGCTGCTGGTGTAAAAGTCCTGCATGCGCAGTGCGAGGTCGAGCAGGGAGTCTCCCGGGGTGGTGGTCAAGCGAGACACGAGGATATTGATAAACGGCCCAATGCACTCGGCGATGCCAGGCACGGGAATGTCTCGTCCAGCAGCCAGGAACCCAAAGCACACGTCGTCCGAGGCGGTATAGCTTCGGAGGACGATCGCCCAGACCATCTGGAAGACGCTCGATAGGGTGACCCCGTTCTCGCGGCAGAAGGCGTGTAGATGGCCGGCGAGCGAGCTGAAATCGGCCTTGGTGGAGCGCAGCTCGTCAGGGTCGGCGTGGAAACCCTCGTCATACTTGTCAAGAGCCGGGAAGAGGCACGGCTCCACGTCTGCAAGGCTGGTCTGCCAAAATTCCAGAGCAGCCTCTTGGTGGACGGACTGGAGATACTCAATGTAGCTGCTGTAGAGCGGGCCTGGCTCATCGGGAAGCGCGCCCTGGTAGGCCAGGCTCAGGTCACGTACAATCAGCGAGATCGATGCTGCATCAATGAGGGCGTGGTTTGCCTCGAGCTGGCAGAACACGCCTCCCCCGGAGTTCTGGCAGAGGGTGAAACGAGGCAGGTGCTTAGACACGACGGGCTCTTCATCCATGGCCGCGGCGAGGGTTGCGACCTCCTCGCCATCGGGACACGACAGCTGCGCCACTGGAAGATCGGTCTCGCGCAGCACAACCTGCGTGTGCAAGCCTCCCTCGTCCAAATGGCCGCGTTCCAGGAAGATGGTCCGGAGAGCAGCATGGCGGGCGACAACCTGATGCCATGCATGCTCGAGCTTCGTTGGATCTACCAACTTAGAAAGACCACCCTTTGCGCGAACAGCAAACCTGAAGGCGATCTCATACACACCGGTTGCTTTTTGTTGACTCAGGAGCAGACCTTGCTGGACGGGCGAGCACGGGTATATATCCTCCACCTGATCTAGGTCAAAGCCAAGGGATTGGAGTTCTTCACGCAGCCCCTTCAGCTCGTCGGCCGTCAGTGTCGGCAGCAGGGGGAAGCTGGTCAGGACGCGCTGCAGGTCCATTGCGGGGAATTGCACCGCAATCTCGGTCAGGGTAGCCTCCAGCGTCGACGCCCACTTCTCGATGCGATCGAGGTGCTTCATCTTCTTGTTGTATGCCAGCGTAACACGCGCCTGGCCCTGCATTACTAGCACATTAATGTCAAAAAGGGCCAGACGCGGGGTCTGGGGCTCAATGTCGGACGTGAGCGACTGGTCCAGGTCAGCAGTGCTCTCCAGCTGGAAGGCACCCTCGGCTCGCTCAAGCTGCTGGTACTGGCCCAGGTAGTTGAACAGGACTTCGATCGGAGTGTGGCTGCGGAACGATTGCCGTCCAACAGGACTAAGGAAGCGCGAGGCGAAATAGTCACGACCGTTGGCCAGTTGCGACCGCAGTTTGCTGACCTGGGCAGCGATGCTGCCCACCCCAGACAGGGCGTCGGAGACGAGGAGGGGGAGCATGGTGGTGAACCAACCTACGGTGCGAGACAAATCCAATGCCTCGTCCCACGGCTCGCGCCCATGTCCTTCATTGAAGACAGCCGGCAGCGGTCGCTCTGGGAAGGTCTGGCCAAAGGAGTGCAGTACCGCGGCGATAAACAGGTCGACTGGATCCGTTTTGAAGAGACTGTTGCAGTCGCCCAGGAGGTGGCTGGTCGTACTCTCGTCCAAGGAAAAGGTACGCTGGGCAACGTCAGCGTAGATATTGGCAGTGGCCTGTAAGCCCCAGAATCGGGGCTGCGTCGGGGGCACTCGGAAGGGCAGGGCTTTCCGGGGCTCAATGGCCAGGGCACGATCGCTTTGTATGCGGCTCCAGGCTTGGTACGGGGTCAGGGGGTCGCCCAGCGTAGGTGGAGCAGTGCCAGAGCTCTGCAATCGTGCTTCGAGCTCCTGGATAATGACTCGCCACGAGACCATGTCCATGACCAGATGGTGGGCCGTCATAAAGAGGAGGTTTGCCTCAGGGCTGGCAAGCAGGACAGCCGCAAAGACTGGTCCGCTGACGATGTCAATGGCCTGTTGGGCGGCGGCCATCTTAGGAGCAATATCTGCGCGCAGACTGACGGTGTAGCGCTCCATATAGAACGATGCAGGCGTCAGCGAAGTCACAGACTGTGTCCAGGCATTGCCCTTCTGACGGAAACGCGCACGGAGCATCGTATGACGGGCAACGAGCTCCTCTAATGCGACAGGGACAAGCTCAGGGCTGATCGCCGACGACAAACGTAGGGTGAAGCTCTGGTGGAACCGCGTCGGCTGCTGCGATGAAACCTCAAAGTAGAGCTGTTGAACTGGTGACAGAGCAAAGGGGACATCGACCGGATCGTCCAGCAGTGCCGCGCCCACATCCGCGGTCTCTTCGACCTGCACCCTTTCGAGCAACTGCGTGAGGCTTCGGCTCTTGAGGATATCGTGCACGCGCACCTGCAACCCGTGGTCGCGGGCCTCGCTCACGGTCTGCATGGCGCTGATCGAATCGCCACCGAGAGAGATGAAGGACCGATTGAAGTTGACCTCCTTGGGCTCGAGGTTGAGGACGCGGGCAATCACATCGCGCATGACTTGGCTGATGCTCTGCGCGGGGAGAATCTCCGTGGGCTCGTCGGGCTCTGTGAGTCTGGTGATGGATGACAGGATATCGTCATCAATGGCGTCGACCCAACGAGCAATCGATGCGCGGTCAATCTTGAGCGAACTGTTGACGCGCAGCTGCGGTGCCGGAATCCACAACGAGGGCACCATGTACGAAGGGAGCACGGCGGCGAGGGTGTCACGCAGCGCCGTGATCTGCGCGCAGACCCCTTCGCGGTGGACCTGCCCAACAAGCTGGACAGCCTCGTCCCCGGCAGTGGGAGAGGCGTAGTGCTCGAGACACACGACCGCAACAAGCCTGCCACGGCACGGTCCTTGACGGGCCAGTAGGACCATTGCGCTCTGCACGGAGCTGGCCCGGGCAATATGATGTTCGATCTCGCCCAGTTCAAGGCGCTGGCCGTGCAGCTTGACCTGCGCATCCTTGCGCCCGAGATAATCGAGGGTTCCGTCAGAGTTGAATCGGGCCAGGTCTCCGGTCTTGTACATGCGACGATCGCCCGTCGAGGCCCAGGCGGGATCCATGATGAAGGCGTCGCTGTCGACGTGGAGATAGCCTTGCGCCACAAGAGGCCCTTCCACGACCAGTTCGCCGACAGCTCCAAGAGGCGCGAGTTGGTTGTGGTTGGCCTCGTCGACGAGCCATAGTTTGCTTGCGAGGCCGCGCCCAATGTTTGCTGGACTCATTCCTGGTCGGCCTACTGAGCCATTCCAGGAACAGTAGATGGTGCATTCCGCGGGCCCGTAGCAGTTGTTGAAGCTCTGGAGATGTGGCGAGCCAGCCCATCGGTCAACGACCTGCTGGGTCACAGCCTCGCCCGCCAGCGTGAGGTTGGTCAAGGTAGGAACAGTCTCTGGGTCGAGAATCCCAGCCACTGTCGGGGTGATACACGCCCAGTTGACGTTGAGGGTATTGATCGCCCCGGCCAGGTCATTCAGGCGGTCGTGGTCGGATGGAATGCACACGCAGGCTCCTCTCGTCAGCGTGGAGAACATGTCTTGAAGGCTGATATCAAACACATGCGAAGCGAATTGCAGCACGCGGGAGCCTGGGCCGATCTGCAACGCAGTGCCATGGGCTTTCATGCTGGTGCAAACAGTTCGGTGTGGCAGCACGACTCCCTTGGGCGTGCCTGTACTTCCAGAGGTGTACACCACAAATGCTGGGGTTTCAGGGGCTGAACGCTGGCCAGGCCAAGGCTGGTTTGTCCGAGGACTCGGCCCTGCAACGGCCTTAGGGCCAATACTGACTGCATTCACCGCACCGACAGAGTTTGGTGCCAATTGCGCCTCCGAGGTCAGGACCAGCTTGGCCCCGGTGGCCGCGATGAGCAGGGCGTGGCGACTGGCAGGGTGGGAGGGATCCATGGAAACACATGTGCCACCGGCTTTCAGGACTGCCAGCATTGCTATCGGAGTCCACATGCTCTTTTCAAAGCAGAGTGGCACAAGGGATCCCCTTTCAACACCCCGCCTGGCGAGTGTGGCGGCGAGACGATCGGTGAGTTCGTCGACATCCTTGTAGGAGAGCTGGCCATCCCAGGCGCAGATGGCAGGTGCATTGGGGGTGGCCCGCGCCTGGTTCGAGAATAGTTCATGAACGCAGCTGTCAGTCACGGATGGCAGTGCACGATTGTATCCCCAGTCAGCCAACTGTGTCCATTGCGGTTTGTTGAATAGATTGATGTCGCCCACGGAGTGCTCAACGTTGCAGGCCATGCTCTGCAGGACGGCGTCGAATGTGTGCGCGATCTGGCTGGCCTGCCAATCGGAGATAGACGACGACCAGTAGTTGATATGAGCCTTGACACGGCCTTCATCCGTCACTTCACTGTGTAATGTAATGTCGTACTATATAGAGTCAGCAAAATGAAGCTCAAAGTGGAGATAAAGGAGAGACAAGAAGAAATGCTATAGCTCACCTCGGTGGGATCATGCGAGCTCAGAGCCTCAAAGTGAAGAGCCATATCGGCAACGCTCTGCGCTGAGCTGCGCTGGATGGACATCATAGTGTTGAACAAGGCCCGGCCTCCGAGATTCAGCCGGTGCTGGATGTCGGCCAGCGAGCAGTGCTGGTACTCCATGGCACGAAGGTGGTCCGCGTGGACCTGGCGCAAAAGGCCGGCGATGCTCATGGCCGGATCGACAACCATCCGGGCAACGAGCATGTTGATGAAAGGGCCGACAGTTTCGTTGATGTCCTGCAGCGCCACATCTCGCCCAGATGCCAGCGAGCCGAAGCAAATGTCGTCCTGGCGCACAAACGCCCGCAGGACCAGCCCCCAGGCTGTCTTGAGCACGCTGGCGACGGTCACTGCAGTTGCCTGCGAGATCTGCTGCATCTGCGAGCCAGACACCTGCACCTGGATATCCGCTCGCCGTAGCTCACGGCCCTCGGAGTGCTCGTGGGACAGAGGGAAATGGCATGGCTCGATGCCCTTGAGGTGGGTGGTCCAGTGCTCGATCGCGGTGTCTGCACCCGCAGATTGGAGATAGCCAATGTAGCTGCTGTACAGTGGGCCGCGTGCACGGGGCAGCTGGCGAGCATAGGCGTGGCTCACGTCACGCAAGATAAGACCCATGGATACAGCGTCGATGAGCGCATGATTGATCTCGAAACTGCAGTAGACCTCGCCGTCCATTCCCTTGAAGACGATCAGACGGTGTGCTGGACTGGCCGGGTCTTTGGCAGTGGTCGGTAGCGCTGCGAGCCTCCTCAGCATGTCAGGACGGTCGACGCAGTGGAGGAGCGTGGTGGGCGCTTGCACTTGACGCAGGACGACCTGGTCAAACATGTTGCCTTCGGACACCCCGTCGATAAAGAAGGTTCGCAGTGCAGCGTGACGGTCGACCACGTGTTGCCAGGCGGCGAACAGCTGCTCGACATCGACTGGGGCTCCTGATATTTGGGGTGCGACTTCAAAGGTGAATCTTACTTCATACGCACCCGGTGTGAGGCGCTGCGCCAGAAGCAGACCTTGCTGGACGGGCGAGCAAGGATAAATGTCCTCGATAGCATTGACTGAGTCGTCGCCGTGCTGCCTGAAAAGGGACTGCTGCTGAGCGAGACGATCGAGGCCCTCGTACGGCAGGGGCAGGAGAGGAAAGTCGCTCCGGGTGGGACGAGGGAGTGTCGCAAGGAGAAGGCTGCTTACTTCCTGTGTCGATCGTGCAAACTCGGCCGTCCATTGCTCGATCGTGTCCTGGTGCAGGCAGTTGGCAGGGAATGTGAAATCAAAGGCAACCAGCTGCTGCACAACCATCGAGGAGACTTCAATGACGGCCATGCGGGGGGTCGCAGGGCCAATATCGGCGATATCGAGTCCATCGCGGGCCTCGGGTTGAAGTAGGCTCTCGGCGCTTTCCAACTGCTGGTACTGGCCCTGGAAGTTGAACAGCAGCTCCATCTGGCTGTGCCCGGCAAAGGCGGCCTGTCCCTCCGGCGTCAAGGACCGGGCAGTGAAGTATTCCCAGCCGTTGGCCGGAGTCGATCGGCGGCGATCCTTGACAAGGCGGACCAGGTCGACTGGGCTGGTCATCTCGCTGGCCGCCACGTACAGCGGCATCAGGGTGGTGAACCAGCCGACGGTGGTCGAAAGGTCGATCGAGTCGTCCCAGGGTTCACGCCCGTGACTCTCACTGAACACGGCAGGCATCTCGCGCAGACTGCCAAAGACCTTGTGGAAGGATAGCAGGAGCGAGGCGAGCAGAACATCGCTCGTGTCAGTGCGCAAGGCCCTGTGGACAGCAGGTTCCAGCAAAGCGGCGCTGGCAGCCTTGTTCAGCGTGAAGTGCCGGTGTGTGGCAGTCGCATGCAAGTTCGCCCCCTCTTCAAGACCCCAGAAGGCGACGTCTGACACCGCAATCGCACGCGGCAGGACCTTCTCGGGGTGCGTCAATGAGCGACGGGCATAGGCCTCTTGTGCACGGAGCCACGGCTGGAAGGAGAGGCTGGGGGACAAGGCTGAAGGCGGTTCACGGTGAGCAAGAAGAGCCTCCAGGTCTTGCAGAATAATGCGCCAGGAGACGAGATCGATGACCAGATGGTGCGCGACCATGAACAGCACCTGTGCGCCCTCGAACTCGAATCCATTGACCGCGAAGACTGGCCCCTGGCGGATATCGATACTCGTCTGTGTCCGAGTGATGATCTGGTTCATTTCTTCCCTTGTCTGTGCCCTGTAGTGAGTATATGCGTGGGGTTGGGCTGTCACGAGCTGGTGCCACCCACCCACCACGTCTGTGGCCGATTGGAATCGGGCGCGGAGCATCGAATGCATCTTGACCACCCTGCGCACGGCATCCTCGATATGGCCGCTCGCAAGGGGCTCCCGGAGGCGTAGAAGGAAGCTCTGGTTGAAGTGCGTGGGCTGACCGCGCGAGAGCTCAAAGTAAAACTGCTGCATGGGCGACAGACTGAAGGGGGTGTTGATGGCGTCCGCCTGGCTCACGTGGGCGATGGACAGCTCCCTAGCAGGACGAATGCTGTGACCCAGATCCGTCATTGAGCGCGCTTGCAGGATCTGCTTGACGGAGACCATCCACCCTTGACTGCGCAGGTGTGCGGTGAGTTGCATCGCGGTGATAGAGTCTCCTCCCAGGGCAACGAACGGCTTATTGATGGCGATGAGGTCTGTGGGCTTGTTCAGTATCTCCGACACGCTCGTCTGCAGTTGCTCCTCGACCAGGGTGCGAGGCACCACGTGGTCAATCTCCTCCTCGGCTACGCTCACGGCGGCTTCAAAGGTCTGGCCTTCCATCTCGGCCAGCCACTGCATCAGGCGAGGGCGATCGTACTTGCCGGAGCGGTTCAGAGGCAGGCGCTGCACCACCAGCCACGCGGAGGGCACCATATACCCGGGGAGGGCATCTGCAATCGTTGAACGAACAAGCCCGAGCTGTTGCTGGATCAGGCGGCTGTCACTATGGGGCAGCGGAGAGAGGCTCAAATCGGTCACATCCGCCATCGCAGTGGCGGCTCTGAGGGAGACAATCGCGACCAGACGACCCTTGGCGACCCCAGCAGTGGGCAGCAAGACGGCGCCATCCTGCACCTCGTCCCCGGAGAGGAGGTGATGCTCGATCTCGCCCATTTCGACTCGCTGCCCGTTGACCTTGACCTGGCTGTCGTTGCGACCGAGATAGTCGATTGTCCCGTCGGCCGGATTGTATCGAACGAGATCGCCGGTCTTGTACATGCGTCTCGCCATTGCGCCTGGTTCTCTGCTCGAGGCCCAGTCGGGGTCGAGGGTGAAGCGCTCAGCGGTCTTTGCAGGGTCGTTTAGGTAGCCGCGAGCAAGGAGAGGGCCCTCAATGACCAGCTCTCCCACACAGCCAACGGCAGCCAGTTTGTGGACGTTGTCAGGCTCGACGATCCAGAGACGACTAGATAATCCTTTGCCGATGTTGGACGGGCGCCGCTCTGGATTGTCAACTTGTCCGTTCCACGAGCAGTAGATCGTGCTCTCGGCTGGGCCATAGCAGTTGCTGAAGCGATCCAGGGCAGCTTCGGTGGAGCTCCAGATCCGGCGAACCTTCTCGGTGACGGCCTCTCCGGCGAGAGTTAGCGATTTCAGCGTCGGCACGTTTCGTGGATTCAGCAGCTGTGCTACTGTCGGGGTCAGGCAGGCGGACGTCACACCCATCTGGTTGACTGCACCGGCGAGGTCGTTGAAGCGCTGGTCCTCACCGACCACGCACACGCACCCACCGTTGGTCAACGTCGTGAAGATGTCTTGGATGCTGATATCGAAGGTGTACGAGGCGAATTGAAGAACGCGCACACCGGGTTGAAAGCCGAGCGCAGGGCCGTGGGCGGCCATGCTAGACGCCACATTCGAATGTTCGAGGACAACGCCCTTTGGTGTGCCCGTGCTTCCAGACGTATAGATCAGGAAGGCTGCATTTTCTGGCGATGCCGGCTTCATGCGTTGGAGGGTAGTCAACATCGACCCGGTGAAGGAAGGCTGCTTGCTGCACGCTTCCCGATCGATTACAATGCACTCTTCGACGAGCGGGCGCATTTCTTGTGCAATGCTCTCCGACCCGGCGAGGACAATGCGTGCCCCGGTGTCGTGGATAATGGTCTCTCTGCGGCTCAGAGGGTGCGAAGGGTCGAGGGCCACGCAGGCACCGCCGGCCTTGAGGATCGCCAGCATGCCGACAATCGCCCACATCGACTTGTCAAAGCACACAGGCACAATGGCCTCAGCACCGATTCCCTTGCCTACCAGCTGCAGAGCGAGCTGCGTGGCTAAGGCATCTAGCTCTGCGTAAGTGCAGTCCCCGTCCCACGCGCAAATGGCAGGTGCGTCGGGAGAAGCCTGGGATTGACGCTCAAAGAGGTGGTGGACCAGGGCCTCCCGCGGGGCGAGGCTGCCTGCATTCCAGGTCTCGATCTGCTGGAGATCATACGTGCTGATGAGGCTGATCTCGGAAAGCGTGCATGTGTCGTTCTGTTGCACGTTGTGCAGCTGCTGCAGGACATGCTCGAACTGATGCAGGACATGGATCATCTGCGCTGGAGGCAGAGTCGTCTCGTCGTAGTCCGCGGTCACGTCGACATGGCCCCTGTGGGCAACGCATTCCAAGACCAAACTGTACGTGTGGAATCCAGTATCCCCGGCCTGGTCCGGACCTGCCAGCTCTTTGCGTTGCAGTCCAATGGTCGATTCAGGGATCTCCTCTTCTCCACCAGCGTGAATGACGAGCAGATCCTGGAAATCACAGGCGGCCTGGGCCTCGGCACTCAGCTGCCGGATTCGCTGCAGCCCAGTGTGCTCGTACGCGATCATGTCGGCGGCCTGTTGCTGCAGCCGTTGTAGGAATTCGATGACCAGAATATCACGATCAAGGCGGACGTGCAAGGGCACGGTGGTGATGGTAGGCCCGCACATTCGGTCGATGTCAACAACCGGGGCATTGCGTCCACTGAGCGTCACGCCAAAGGCTCGACTCTCGGCGCCGCTATACGCCGCCGACACAACGGCCCATGCAGCTCGGATGAGGGTCGTTTCGGTGAGTCCAAACCCAGGCGTGGAGGGGATCTGCACGCGGAGCTTCGAGGTCCCTTGAACTCGGATCGAGCGTGATGTTGTTGGCGGGGGAAGCTCGACACTGTCGCCCCGGCCAGCTGTGTCTTCCAATAATGGTCCTCGGCGGCAATATCGACATTGTTGAGGTAGCGAATGAAGTGCGAGTAAGGGGTTGGGGTCGATCGAACAGCCGTGCTCTTGCGATATATATTCTCAACTTCTCCCACCAACAACGCAACAGTCCATCCATCGTAGAGAGCATGGTGAATTGTCCAAACAAAATGCCCGTCGACAATCGCAAATCGGACCAGGCTGCGTCCGAAGCCCGTTTCCTGCTCCTTGTCGCCGACGAGGAACTGGTCGAGACTGGGGCCCGTGCGCCAGTCGATGGGCGCCGGTCGCAGCACAGCCTGGCAGGTCCCAACCTGGGGTAAAAAGACAATCCGGGTGCGCAGAATGGGATGCGAATTGACAACCGACTGCCAGCTTGCCTTGTATCGGTCCATGTCGATGTTTTGCGGCAGGGTAAACACGTTCTGGTTGATGTACGCCCCCGACTGCTTCTCGGAGAGCGCCATCAGCCCTTCCTGCATGGGGGTGCAAGGGTACACGTCCTCGAGCTGGTCCACACTCGTTGAGGCGTGAGTGGCAGCCTCTTCTAGGAGGGCGGAGGCTTCTTCCGGCAGCAATTCGAACGGTGCGAGGCCGCTGCTGTCATCTTCCTGGTCCACCCACTGTGCGGCCTCGGCCATGTGCGCGAGCTGGGGCAGATGAAAGATGTCCGAGACGGTGAGTCGGATCGCCTGCTGGCGCGCGCTGGCAACCAGCTGCATGGCCGCAACCGAGTTTCCTCCGAGATGGAAGAATCGGTCCTGCGTGCCAATGTCCTCTACGGGGAGACTGAGGAGCTCCGACCACAGCTGCTGCAGCGCCTGCTCCATCGCGGTCGCGGGGGCCCTCTTGGCCTCGTTGCCTGTCTCCAGAGAGAAGAGCCGCAGCTGCTCGCTGTTCATGCAAGAGACGAGGCTGCGCAGTGATTTCCGATCGACTTTGCCGGACGTGTTGAGCGGCAGTTGCTGCAGGGGATGTAGTGCGAGGGCACCATGTAGACCGGCAGTACCTTGGAGGCGGCGCTGGCAGCTGCAGCAAACAACGCTCGCGTCTCTGCATGTACGTCGGAAATCGAGATAGCATCCACGGAGCCTCCAACTATCACATCGCCCGTAAGCGACACAAATGCGGCCAGTGACTGCTGGCTGTCGCTGAGCTGGACCAGGTCCACCGCCACTCGGCTGGCTTCGCCCAGGTTGAGCTGCAGGTGGTGCTCGATGTCGCCCAGCTCGATCCGCTGTCCGTGAAGCTTGATCTGGGTGTCTTTGCGACCCAGGTAGTCCAGGGTCCCGTCTTCGTTGTATGCGACCAAGTCGCCCGTGGCGTAGTACCGAGTAGGGGTTGTGTCGTGGTGCCAGGCTTGACTTCTCCACAAGGGAAGCTCGATAAACGCTGCCTCTGTCCTCTTGGGATCCTCCTGATATCCCGGGGACACGAGGGGACCACCGACCATCAATTCACCCGGACTTCCGATCGGGGCCAGCCGGTGGTGGTTCTGCGGGTCAACCACAAAGTGCGAGCTTGCCAGGGGGCGCCCGATGTTGCTGGGAGATTGGTCTGCAGCGCCGACCTGCCCGTTCCACGCACAGTAAATGGTACATTCGGCAGGTCCATAGCAGTTGTGGAATCCGGTCAGACTCGTGCCCTGCGACCAGAGCTCGATCGCCTTCTGGGACACGGCTTCACCCGCGAGGACCAGAGTACGTAGCGTAGGCACATCTGCTGGCGAGAGAAGCGATGCCACCGTCGGAGTCAAGCATGCAAAGTTGACTGCTTTTGCTCTCATGAAACCCGAGAGATTGTTCATCCGTTGCTCATCGGAGGGGATGCAGACGCAGGCGCCACGGGTCAGCGAGGTAAAGACATCCTGGATGCTAATATCGAAGACAAATGCAGCGAACTGCAACACGCGCGTGCCTGCTGCAATACCTAGGGCATTTCCATGCGCCTCCATGCTAGTGCAGACGGATTCATGGGTCAGAATCACCCCCTTGGGGACACCGCTACTGCCGGACGTGTAGATAATAAAGGCAGGTGATGCTGGATCCACGTCGGGGAGGGTCTGGCGGGCAGGGGCCAGATATTGCACTGTATCTTCGTCAATGCTCATCCGGGTTAAGCCGAGGTCGTCACAGTGAGAGGCACACGATCTAGCAGTCAGAGCGACCCTGGCCCCAGTGTGCTCGAGGATGAGTCGATGGCGGTCCTTGGGATGGGCAGGATCCAGGGGAACAGCAGTTGCACCAGCCTTGATGATAGCAAGGAAGGCCACGACAATCCATGCAGACTTGGGGAAGAGGATTGGCACCCTGGATCCTGGTGTGACTCCCATCCTCTGCACATGAGCCGCGAGTCTCGTGGACCACTCGTCCAATTCCCGGTAGCTGATCTGGTAATCCCACGCATCCACCGCGGGGGCATCGGGGTGGAGAGTGGCCTGGTGACGGAAGAGGTCGTGAACAGTGCTGTGCAAGACGCCCGTGATGATTGGAGCCCATTGACGAATCTGGTTGTGGTCGTGCGCACCAACCATCTTCAACGAGCCGATGGCAGCAGAGGGCTGCTGGATCAGCGAGTGCAGGATGGCCGTCATGGAAGAAGCAACATGCGAGACCTGCCAGTGGGAAATGGTGCCCGGCCAGTGCGTGATGGATGCTCGCGAGCCGTGGTCGGACAGCTGAACATTGACCGTCAAGTCGAACTCGGTGGGATCGTGCGAGGCAAGGCTCTTAAAGGAGAGGTGCGAGGGACTGCTCAGACTTCCTGCTCCTCCTGCACTGAGTCTCTGCACGGAGAGCATGGTGTTGAAGAGCGCGGCGCCACTCATCCCCAGCGACTGCTGGACTCGACCCAGCGGCACATGCTGGTGGTCCAGGGCGGCGAGATAGCCTTGTTGAGTCGTTCGCAGCACATCGACTGCGTTGAAAGTGCCTTCGAGCTGCATGCGGCAGACGAGCATGTTGATGAGCGGCCCAACGGTCGAGTCAATCCCTGGAACGGGAATGTCTCTTCCAGCAACCAGATATCCAAAGGCCACGTCGCTGGTCATGGTGAAGCTCTGCAGGACGAGGCCCCAGACAGTCTGGAAGATGTTGGCGGCGGTAACCCGGTGGGCGCTGCAGAAGGACTGGATGGCCTCGTGGTCGAGGTTGAGGTCGATCTCCGTCACACTGAGCTCATTTGCCTCGTGCAGCGACGGCCGAGAGGGGAAATGGCAGGGCTTGATGCCGCTCAAATATTCGGTCCAGTACTTCAGGGCAGCATCCACCGATTTCGATTGCACATAGCTGATGTAGTCGCGATACGGAGTGGCAGGGAGATGGTCGAGGGCTCCGCGGTATGCCGCATCGAGGTCCTTGAGCAGGATCGACAATGATTCCGCATCCATGAGGGCATGGTTCATCTCCAGTTTGAAAAAGAGACGCCCTTCGCGGGTGCTGCACACCGTCATGCGATGCGGCAGCTCCGATCGGCTGCTGTACGTATCGGCCGATGGGTGAGAGAGGGCACTGGAGGCCTCTTGTGCGTCCTCCACAGTCTCGACCACAATAGACGGGGTGGGGGAATGAAGAACAACCTGGTCAAAGCTGCCCTCGCCGGAAATGGCAGAGGTGAAGACTGTGCGCAGCATGGGATGGCGACGCACGACAGCCCGCCACGCCTCGACGAATCTCTGTGGCTGCAACGCATTGAGTACCTCGAACTTGAAGCTGGTGCGATACTCGTCTGCACCACGGCCCTGGCTGATGAGGAGGCCGTGCTGCATCGCAGAGGATGGGTAAATGTCCTCCACCTCGTCAATGCTCTTGACGGCGAGGTCGGCACTCAGCGCAGCCTCCAACCCGTCGAGAAGACTGTACGTTAGCGATGGGAGGAGTGGGAAGTCCGCGAGAGTCTTCTGCGCGGGCAGGGATGGGAGCTCGCGGGCCATGCGCTTCAGGGACGCCTCGGTGAAATGGAACCATTGCCTGATTCCATCCTGCCGATCCATGTAGCGGCTGTGGGTGAGGATCAGAGTCGCCTGCCCGTCTGTGATCCTGGTGTTGATCTCGAAGAGAGCCATCCGGGGCACGTTATTGGCCACGTCGGAGTAGCCTGGGACATCTTGGATGTTTCCCTGCTTGAAAATCCCCTCATTGCGGGTCATGCTGCGGAAATGGCCGAGGTAGTTGAACATAATCTCCATTGGCCGGTGGCCTGAGCCCCGGTTGGAGTACGTCGAGGCGAGATAGCTTTGCGTACTCAGGCGCTGCCGCCGGTCTTTGGCCCAGCGGATGGTGTTGACGAGATCAGCAACGTCGGGGACGTAGACGGGTGTGATGGCAGTGAACCAGCCGACGGTTTTGGTGATGTCGACCTGCTGCTCGTCGGCATCGCGTCCGTGGCCCTCCACGAAGACAGTTGGGAGTTGGCGCTGGGTGAATGTCAGGCCGAAAGCGTGGATCACGGCCGCGACGAAGAGATCGGTGATGTTGGTGTTGAAGACCCGGTGGCACTCGCTCAGCAGGACCTTGGTGGTGCTCTGGTCCAGCGTGAAGATCTCCACCAGAGCGTTCCCGTAGGTGTTGGGCTTGTCTTCACCACCCCAGTACCCCTTGGGGGGCTCCGAGACGGGGAAGTCAATCTCGGGGCGTGGAGCTTGGGCTTGGAGCTGGACCCAGGACTGGTACGGGAAGGCGTTGACGACAGGGGTTTCGATCTCTGGGGATAGGTCGTCCTCGAGTGCGGTGAGGATCAGTTGCCAGGAAACCATGTCGACGACCAGGTGGTGCGCCGCGAGATAGAGCACTCGCGACCCGTCATCGAGCTCGAACCAGTTGGCGGCGAAGACGGGTCCGTTCTGGATGTCGAGGGAGGCCTGCGTACGCACAATGGCCTCGTCCATCATTTGTCGCCTGCATGCTGTGTATTCGTTGAATGCATACGCGGCGACGGAAGCAGAGCTGACGAGCTGCTTCCACCCGCTGGCCGACGGGGTAAAGCGGGCTCGAAGCATAGAGTGAGCCATTACAATCGAGTCGAGCGCAGTCCGAACCTGCTTGCCTGTACATTGAGCAGTGCACTGAACCAGCACGCTCTGGTTGAAGTGGCTGGAGGGTTTGTCGTCCGAGATGGCCATGAACATCTGTTGGATGGGCGACAGATCAAAGACCGAATCCGCTGGATCTTGCCACAGGTCGACAGCGGCCTCCAGCTGCTTTGCGCGGTCGCAGAGCTCGAAGATGCTCTGGCTCTGGAGGATGTCCTGCACGCGGATTCCGAGCCCCTCCTTGCGGGCCTGCGAAACAAGCTGCATCGCGCTGATCGAATCACCGCCCAAAGCGATGAACGGCCGGTTGAAGTAAACTTGCTCCGGTTCGAGGCCCAGTACTCTTGTCAGAGCAGCCTGCAGTCGGCGTTGCGCGGCCGAGCTTAGCTGGTCTGCCCCAGACCGTGCCTGTAGACGGTCTGCAGCAAGTACGGTCTCCTGTTCCATGTCTTGAAGCCACGCCGCAATGCGGGATCGGTCGAGCTTGCCAGAAAGAGACATTGGAATGGACTCGACTGGAAGCCACACGGTTGGTACCATATAAGGCGGCAAGCTCGAGGCCAGAGCCTGACGCACTTGGTTGAGCTGGGCAGCCACTGCCTCTCGATGGGCGTCGGCAACCAGATTCAACTCCGATGATCCGGGTCGGTCAAAGTCACGGAAAGAGATGACCGCGGCGATTCGGTCCTTAAAAGCTCCGGACTTGGGGAGAAGCGCCATGGTGTTGGCCACCTGCTCCTGGCGGGAGAGGTGGTAGTCGATCTCGGACAGCTCTAGTCGTTGGCCATGCAGTTTGACCTGTGAGTCTTTACGGCCCACATAGTCTAGGGTGCCATCCTCGTTATAGCGAACCAGATCTCCAGTGCGGTACAGGCGACGGCCAACCTTGACTCCGTCGACAAGCGCCCACTCCGGATCGACGGTGAATGACAGGGCCGTCTTCTCAGAGTCGTTCAGATAGCCTCTTGCGAGCAACGGACCCTCGATGAGAAGTTCGCCAGTGCTTCCCAGCGGCGCCAAACGGTGGTGGTTCGTGATCTCCGTCACCCAGAGTAAACTGGAGATGGGGTCTCCGATATTGTACGGCTTGTGTGAGACCCCAAGTCGAGGATTGACCGAGCAATAAATACTGCATTCAGCCGGGCCATAGCAGTTGTTGAATTGGCTGAGACCGGAGTCCTTCCAGATGTCAACCACGTTCTGTGGGATCGCTTCCCCTCCCATTGAGAGGATCTTCAGGCCCGGCACATCGGATGGACGCAGGACGGCTGCGACTGCCGGAGTCAGGAAGGCCCAGTTCACGTTCATGTCACGAATGGCTCCCGCGAGGTCATTCAAGCGCTGGTCTTCGCTCGGCATACAGACGCACCCTCCACGTGTAAGCGTTGTGAAAATGTCCTGGACGCTGGCATCGAAGATGAAGGAGGAGAATTGAAGAACCTGGCTGTTTCCATTGATTCCGACCACGTCGGCGTGGGCAGCCATTGTCGTGCAGAGGGAGCCGTGTTCCAGGACGATTCCTTTGGGAACTCCCGTGCTGCCAGAGGTGTAAATGATGATGGCGGTGTTCTTGTGAGTGACACGGGGCGAAATAGGGGTCGATCCCGACAGCCCAGTCGCCTCGAGCAGGTCCAGGAGGTCCTTACTGACGGTAACCACAGCTTGAGGATACCCTTCAAATCGGGAAGCTTGGGACGGGCTGGCGACAATGACGCGGGCATCGACCTGTTCAAGGATCGTCTCGTGCCGGCTGCGGGGGTGGGCAGGGTCGAGGGCGACGAATGCACCGCCGGCCTTGAGAATAGCGACTAGCGCTATAACTGCCCATGCAGATTTGTCGGAGCAAAAGGGAACTATGACCTCTGGCCCGACTCCGAGCGCGATCAGATGGTGGGCAAGAGTGCTGGATTGGTGCTCCAGCTCCTCGTACGTGAAGCTGGTATCCCAGCCATAAACAGCAGGAGATTTGGGTTTGGCTGATGCCTGCTGGGTGATGAGTTCGTGGATGCAGAAGGGCTCGTAGAGCTCTTGGTCGTTGAATGTCTCGTAGGTGCGCTTCCACTGCTCCAGTTGTGTCTTGTCCCGATGGCTGAAGGTGTCGACTGTTGACAGCAGCGAGGAGGAGCTCGAAACGAGGCTTTCCATCGCCTTGCCGAATGTATGGAGGATACCATTCGCCTCCCAGTCCGAGAGGGCTGGACTCCAGTAACCAAGGGTAGCAGTAGTCTCAGAGGTGGCTGTGTTGGACTCGAGCGTAATGGTCACGTCGTACTCGGTGGCATCGTAACCTCCGATCGTCTCGAAGGAGATGGTCGAAAGCCCAGAGGTGGCTGCAATGGCCGGCTGCACGAGCTGAACGCTCATAATACTGTTGAAGAGCGGCCTTCCGCCTATTTGAAGGGCATGCTGGATCTCAGCGATTGAGCAGTAGTGGTACTCTAACGCAGACAGGTAATCGCGCTGGACGGCCTTGACCAGGTCGCTGACGGGGGTACCCTCGGACACATCAACCGCCGTTACCAGCAAATCAATAAACGGCCCGACAATCTTCTCAATCTGGTTGATGGGGAGTCCTCGCCCGGCAGACACGAAGCCAAAAGTGGCGGTTTGGCAGCCAGTGTAGGCACGCAGGGTCAGCGCCCACGCTGCCTGGTACACCGTTGCAGCTGTCACCCGGTGCGTCTGGCAGAAGTGCTGCAGTTCTGCCGATACAGAGCTCATATCGAGGGAAGCAAAGCGAAGTTCACGATCAGCACCGCCCACAGGGCCAGTGATGGGCATGTAGCACGGCTCGACCTGGCGCAGTCGAGTCACCCAATAGTCGAGTGCTGTCCCTGTAGGTTGCGATGCCAGGTATTCGAGATAGCGTCTATACGAGGGTCGTGGGCTGGTGGGTGGCTTGTGATACTCTGCACGCAGGTCCTCCATGATGATGGCGAGGGACGCTGCATCCATGATCGTGTGGTGGATCTCCAGCTTACACAACACGCGTCCTGTCGGCGTGGTATACATGGTCAGGAAGTGAGGCGGTGCTTCCATGGCATTGGGGATATTTTTGATGCTGTGGAGCGCACTGACGGCGTCTTTGTCCTGCCCACGAATGATCTGGTGCCGGGGAGCAGCTGCTCTCAGCACGACCTGGAACACATCGCTGGCCTCGAGTGGGCTGTGCATCATGACTGTGCGCAGTGCGGAGTGATGCGAAACCACTGCCTTCCAGGCCACTGCAAGTCTCTCGCAATCGACCGGATCTTGGCTGGAGGCAGGATGGACTTCGAACACCGTCTCGACCTCGTAAGAACCAGGGTTGAGGCTCTGGCTCATGATAATGCCCCGTTGGATGGGTGAGCAAGGATATACGTCGTCAACATCGGCAAAGGTATTAACCAGTGGCAGCGCCGTGATTGCTTCTTGGACCTGCTTCAAACCCTCATCGTCCACGCCAAGAAGAGAGAAATCACTGAGCGGTCGTTGAACTGGAGCGTTCAGCAGGTCTTCCACCGTTTCGTTCAAGCACTGCTCGTATTCGGCAAGCCACTTGCGAACCTCCTGCACACGCTCGATGGCTGGATCGTACATGAACGAGACGTGAACCTGTCCTTGCTTGACGAATGCCGAAATCTCGAACAGCGCAAGCCGGGGCACGCCGGCTCCCACGTCCGGTGCCACATCCCACTGCTCGCCGGAGGCAGCTTGTAGGATCGCTTGCGTATTGTTGAGCTGCTGGTATTGTCCGAGATAGTTGAACAGGACCTCGAGGGGCCAGTGGCTGCGGAACGCAGCTTGCCCTTGCGGATTCCAGGTGCGACTCGCAAGGTAGGATGAGCCGTTCCCGGGGAGGGCGTTTCGCCACTGCTTGACAAGGTCAACCGCATCAACTGGGTCTGGGGGCGGATACTTGGAGCCTGCTGGGTGCATGCGGACCGGGGCCATTGAGGTGAACCAGCCGACGGTGTTATTCACATCGGCGGACGCAATCCAGGGCTCTCTGCCATGGCCCTCGGTGTAGACTGTGGGGGCCTCTCGGTCTACAAAGACGCGAGAGAAGGACAACATCAGGGCAGCGATGAAGATGTCTGCCGGACTAGTTCGGAGGTTGTCGTTGGCTGGGCCGAGCAGCGACGCGGTCTGTTCGCTGCTAAGGCTGAAAATGCTCGATTCTGCATTATCGTAGACGAACCTCTTGCCCAGCGCACCCCAGTAGCCGTAATCCGACGCCGGAACGTCAAATGGCAATGATTCTGTTGAGCCCAGCTGAGTCTCTGCGTGTTCCTTTTGCATCTGGACCCAGGCGGGGAAAGGCATCGTCGCCGGGGTACTTAACTCGTGGACCCGGAGGTAATCTTCCAGATCCTGCAGAATCACTCGCCAGGACATGAGGTCGATTACCAGATGGTGTGCAATGACGAAGAGCACGCGCTCGCCCTCTGGCGCCTGGAACAGGTCGGCGCCAATTATCGGGCCACTCGTTACGTTGATGGAGGCTTGCGCAGTCACTGTCGCCTTCTTAACAAGCTGAGGATGAGCATCATTGTGGAACTTGAACCGATAGGAACTTTCCACGTTGTCACTGACCAGCTGGCGCCATTCGCCAACCTTGTCTTGGTGGAAGCGAGCACGGAGCATGCCATGACGCTGCACCACTGCGTGGAGAGCAGCTTCGATTGCATCTGGAGAAACGTCACCAGCAACGCGGAGTAGCATGCTCTGATTGAAGGGAGTAACCTCGTTATCAGACATTTCAAAGTACAGTGCCTGAATGGGCGACAGCTCGAATTTCCGGTTCTCCACGACGGCGACCTCGCTCCAGGGGTTGTGGTCGACCCGGAGCCCACGGGCGATGTCAGCGACGGTCTCACTCTGGAGAACATCGCGGACGTGCGTGGTCAGTCCTCGGGCCCTGCACTTGGTAACCAGCTGCATTGCGGTGATCGAGTCACCACCCAGGCTAACGAACGATCGGTTCAAGGCGACCTGGTCCCTGGAGATGTTGAGGACCTCGGCGAGGACGTCCTGGATGCGTGCCTCGCTGCTGCTCGATGGGGTGCAGTTGTGGGTTGTGTGTGTGACACCCATGTGCTTGTCGATTGCAGCCTTGTCGAGCCGGCTCACCAGGGTCTGCACCCTGCGCCGATCGATCTTGTTGGATGTATTCAGGGGAATCCCGTTCACCACCAGCCAGATGCTGGGAACCATGTAGGATGGGAGTGCAGCACTGAGTCTGGTTTGAATCCGGGAGACGATAGACTTGACTTCCCCGCTTCCATCGTCGGAGACAAGCTGGATATCCTCGCCTTGGCGGGCAGAGAGCGAAAGAACCGCAAACAGTCGCCCGCTGTAGGGTCCGCTGGAAGCCAGCAGGGCCACTGCTCCGTGGACGTCTTCGTCGGATACCATGTGGTACTCGACTTCTCCCAGTTCAAGGCGTTGACCGTTGATCTTGGCCTGCGAGTCCTTGCGCCCCAAGTAGTCGAGCGACCCATCGGCATTGTAGCAGACGAGATCCCCGGTTTTGTACATGCGTCTTCCCCTGGCGCTACCAAACTGGGCCACCCAGGACGGGTCGGTGATGAAGACGGCATTCGTCTGGTCGGGGCTGTGGAGATAGCCTTGGGCGGACACAATCGGGCCCTCGATCAGGAGCTCTCCGATGCAACCGACCGGAACAAGCTGATTGTGATCAGCCGGGTTTACCAGCCAGACGGGGCCAGCAAGAGGGCGACCGATATTGCAGGCTCGGATGGCCGGTTCAGCCACGTGGAGATTCGCCGTCGCGTAGATTGTGCACTCGGCCGGTCCGTAGCAGTTGTTGAACGCCTCCAGGTGGCTGTCCCGCCAGATGTCGCGGGTCTGCTCTGTCACTGCTTCACCAGCGAGCGTGAGGACGCGCAGAGTCGGGACGCTGCGTGGATCAAGCAAGCGAGCGACAGTGGGGGTAAGGGACGCCCAGTTCGCCTCGTACTGGCGAATCGCACCGGCGAGGTCATTATCCCGCTGTGTCTGGGATGGGATGCAGACGCACGCGCCGCGGGTCAGCGAAGTGAAGATATCCTGCAAGCTGATATCGAATACATATGCTGCAAATTGCAACGCACGAGTGCCCGTACCGATGGAGAGGGCAGCACCATGGGCTTCCATGCTGACGCTGAGGGATCGGTGGTCAAGAACAACGCCTTTTGGCACACCTGTAGAGCCAGAGGTATAGATGATGAACGCGGGGTCGGAGAGCTGGACCACATTCATGGCAGCAGTCGGCGCCTCAAGGGAGAGAGATGTCGTCAGTTCGTCGTCCACGACCAGTGCAGAAACACTCAGTTCATCGAAGCGGGAACTGAAAGCGCTCTGGGTGAGAACCACCGCTGCTCTAGTATCGTTGAGGATCGTGGCATGACGACTGCTCGGGTGCGAGGGGTCCAACGCAACACAGGCGCCACCAGCCTGGAGAATAGCGAGCATCGAAACGACTGCCCACTTGGACTTGTCAAAGCAGAACGGAACGATAACCCCGGATTGAACCCCCCAATGCGAGGAGAGATGGTTGGCGAGCTTCCTCGAAAGCAGAACAAGCTCAGCATACGTCAAGTCCCCGTCCCACGCTGCGATCGCAGGCTGGTGTGGGCTCTTGATGGCTTGACGCTCGACGAGCATGTGCACGTGTTCTTCTACATCCCGGGGCGGTGCAATACCCTCATTATATTCGGCGACTTGGGCCAGATTTCTGTCGCTGAAGCGTTCGATCGATGCGAGGTTCCGTCTGGGGTGGTCTGTGACGGAGTGCAGGATCTTGGTGAAGGTGCTGGCGACATTCTGGGCCTGCCATTCGAACATGAGAGACTCCCAGTACGTGAGGCCCACGTAGGAGCGGTGCTCACCAACGGCCACATGCACGGTCAGCTCGTACTGAAGCTGTCAGCCCTGCACAGATGTATTAGTGGGAAGACTTACCTCTGTAGGATCCTGCGCCCCAACACGTTCGTAGCGGAGCGCCTCGGTCTCGCTATCGGTTGCACCTTCTCGTTGCACAGACATGATCGAATTGAAGAGGGCCGTCTGGGAGATGCCCAGGGCGTGCTGGATGTCTCCCAGCGGGCAATGCTGGTGCTCGAGGCTTGCGGCATACGTCGACTGTACCCCGGTCAGGAAGCTCGAGACACTCTCGCGGGCGGCAATCTTCATGCGGCGGACGAGCATGCTGATAAACGGTCCCACCGTCTCCTCGGCGTCGTCGACCGCGATATCGCGACCGGATGAAATAAACCCGAAGCACACATCGTCGCTGGAGGTGTAGCTCTGCAGCACGAGCGCCCATACGGCCTGGAACAGGGAGGGCAGGGTAACTCCAACGCTGCGGCAGAAGACGCGCAGACGATCCGACGTGATTTGCAGGTCAACTTCCAGAGTCCTTGTAGTCCTTGTAGTCCTTTCCACGGAGCGTCTGGCAGTCTCCATGGGGAAGTGGCACCCCTCGAGGCCAGCAAGGGAGGATTTCCAGTACTCAAGAGACCTCTTGATCGGGTGCTGCTGGATGTAGCGGACAAAGTTGGCGTACGAGGGGCCGGAGCCTGCCGGGAGATGGCCTTCATATGCCAGCGCCAGGTCGCGCAGAATCAGAGTGGTCGCGGCCGCGTCGACGATTGTGTGGTTGATTGACAGCTTGAAGAACACCTTGCCCGACTGCGACACGCACATCTTGACGCGATGCTGGAGCCCGCCCTCGTGGTAGCGAGGAGGCTCCAAGCGGGCCAGCATCTCCATGCCCTCATCATCGGTTGGTGCATGGAGGATCTCAATGTCCGGCTGCGCGTTCTTGAGAACCACCAGGTCGAATACATCGTCGCGCGAGATATTGTCAGCAAAGAGTGTGCGCAGGATGCCGTGACGCTGCACCACCTGCTTCCACGATCGAGCCAGTCGGTCAACATCCACGTCAAGCCCATTGGAGCGCGCCGGGTCCCGCACGGCAAACGTGAAGAACACTTGATACGTTTCCGGCGCCTTGGTCTGACTCAGGAGCATGGCGACCTGCATCGGCGCGCAAGGGTACATATCTTCAACGTCGCTGGCACTCGCGACGCCGAGGGCAGGCAGGCGAGCGGTGGTCAGCCTCTCCAGGTCATCGTAGGAAAGCGACATGAGCGGATAGTCGCTGGGAGTCGGAGTAAACGGCAAGGCAGGAAGCACAATGGCTGCGGTGGTCAGGGCCTGTTCGTATCCCTTGAGCCATGCAAGACTGCGCTGGCTGCTCGACTGCATCTGCCCGCTGAATGCAAACTGGACCTGGACCCCGTGAGCTGCAGCCCGAACAAAGACCTCGAGCAGAGCCGGGCGGACTGCGTTAGGATGCACAGTCAATACTTCCTTGCCCATCGGGATGACCTTGAATAACCCTTGGCGTTGATTCTCGATGTCGAGGTGGAAGACGACTTCCATCGGCCACTGCTTGACCGAGTGGTGCGTAGCTTGTCGGCGCTGGTCTTTGACCACAATCATGGTCTTGACCATGTCATCCACGTTGGAGAGTGAGAGCTTGAGAGGCGTGAACCGAGAGAAACGGCCGACCGTACGAGCGTACGTGTTATCTCGGTCACCCACCTCGTAGCAGTGGACCACGGGCGGTTCTCGATCGGTGAAGACGCCCTTGTACGAGTGGAGAAGCAGAGCGATGAAGATATCGCGAGGGTCCGCGTGCAGTCCGTTCTCACCGCGCACAACGCCTGTTGACACGTCGGGTGGCAGGGAGAATTCAAGAGACTTGACATCCGCAGCATCGGTCGCCGTCTCCCTGTCCTGGACGCCCCAGTAAGTGTAGATCGACGGCGCCAGTGCCGTTGCAGAGGTATCAAGTGACTCCTCAGTCTGCTGGCGCACAAAGGCTTGGAAGCCAGGAGGTTTGCTGGGCTCGGTCTCCTTGAAGATGACACTCTCCAGGTCATCAGCAATGACGCGCCATGAGGGTTCATCGATGAACAGAGCATGGGCGGCCAGGTACAGGTACTGCTTTCCTCCAGGGACATCGAACAGACCTGCGATAGATATCGGTCCCGTCTCGGGGTGGATGACATCCGGCTCACTCACCATGTGCTGGTACATGTCCTGGACAGTCTGGACACGGCGGTGGGTGAACCTGAAGGATTGGTCGACATCCTCGGTGATTGTCTGCACCCATCCGGTGCTTGATCGATGCACACGAGCGCGGAGCATGGCATGGGTACCAATGACCGTCCGGAGCGCTCGCTCCACACGGGACGGCAATATTGGTCCTGGAAATTCCAGGACAATGCTCTCGTTGACAGGGTGGCTCAGCCCCTTGGACGAGCGGAGAATAACCTCTTGTCCGAGCAGCAGACGGAATGGCTCCTTTGAGGCGTCGCCGGTAGGACTGGCGTCGGGCGCCGAGCGGCTCATGGCCAGGGCAAGGTCGGATAAGGTCTTTGACCGCAGGATATCCTTGACGGCGAGTTCTAGGCCCTGCTGGCGGCACGAGGCGGAAATCTGCATCGCCATGATGGAGTCACCACCTTGGGCGGCAAAGGACCGGGCGAGAGAGACCGTGGCAGGAGGGACACCCAGAGCGCCACCGACAATGCGCTGGATCTCGCGCTCCATGGCCGTGGCCGGCTCGGTCTGCTCATTATCGGCGGAGAGGGCGGACACTCGCTGGTACATCTCCTCGTCTGCGGACTGCAGGAAGCTGGCGATCTTTGCGCGGTCGATCTTGCCCGAGGAGTTCAACGGGAGTTGTTTCAGAGGGACCCAGACGGTAGGCACCATGTATCCAGGCAGTTTCTGCGAGACCGACTCCTGCAGGCTGGACAGCAGAGAGAGGGCGAGGGTCTTGCTGCTGTTGTCGATGAGCGCCATCTGCTCGCCATCGGCCAGCGCGTGCAGCGAAAGGACGGCCACGAGCTTGTTCCCGAATAGCCCTTCGTTGAGCAGCACAGCTACCACATCTTTGGTCGATTCGTGGGCCAGGAGATGGTGTTCGACCTCTCCGAGTTCAAGGCGCTGCCCGTTAACCTTGACCTGGGCGTCCTTGCGGCCCAGATACGTCAGGGTTCCATCTTGCTCATAGCGCACGAGATCGCCGGTCCTGTATATTCGAGGCGCGGAGTCCTTGAGTCGAGATGCCCAGGGGGGACTGGGCACAAACGCAGCATCGGTCTTCTGGGAGTCGTGAAGATAACCGCGTGCCAGGGAGTGGCCCTCGACAACGAGTTCGCCCACGCAGCCGACAGGGACCAGGCGGTTGACATCCTGGATATCGACAATCCACGATCGACTGCTCACCGCACGCCCGAGCTTGGAAGGCCTATTGTCCTCCACCGTCACCTCCCGGGTGAGGCAGAAGACACATGCCTCGGTCGGTCCGTAGCCATTCATGAGGCGCACCTTCGAGGCCCATGTGTCCACATTCTCCTGTCGCATCGCCTCTCCGCCTAGAACAAGCGTCTCGAGGTGTGTAGCCTGGTTGGGGTCGATGAGCGTGACAAAGGTGGGTGTGAAGAAGGCCCAATTGACGCGCATCTTGTTCATCGTGTGGATAATTTCTGCCGTGCGGTCTTCGTCGCGCGGGATACAGACGCAACCGCCAAAGACCAGCGTAGTGAAGATCTCTGCGATGCTCGCGTCGAATCCAAAGGACGCGAACTGCAGCGCTCGTGTTGTGCTGTCAAAGTGCATGGCCCGGCCGTGGCCCATTACACTGGTGCACGCGGCCGCATGTTCGATGACCACCCCCTTGGGTGTGCCTGTACTGCCCGATGTGAAAATCACATACGCCGCATCGTGTGGGCCGGCACGCCGGGTGAGAGCAGTGGCCGAGGAAGGCAGCAACTGTAGCGATTTCCTCGACACTTGAACTATATGGATGCAGGATATGCCGTTATCCTGCGTCTCGGGCGACACGACGATCACAGTGGAGCTCAGCTGCGTGACAATTGCCTCTCGCCGGGCCAAAGGCTGGGAAGGATCTAAGGGCACATACGCACCACCCGCCTTGAGCACAGCCACCATGGCAACCACTGCCCAGGCCGACTTTTCCATGCTGATCGGGACGAAGGCGCCTGCACCGACGCCCAGGTCCACCAAATGCTGCGCTAGGAGGTTTGAATAGCTGTTGAGGTCTGTGTAGGTCAATTCCGCGTCCCAGCTGTAGATCGCCATCTCTTTGGCACGCGGGAGGGTGTGTACGCCGATTAGTTCGGGCAGCGTGCTGTTGGTGGCCGCGGGTAGTGTCGAGTTCCAGTGTATAATGCTCTGCATGTGGTCCCCGGGCACCATGTCGAGGTCGCAGACGCGCGCGTCTGGTCGCTGGACGAGACTCTCAAAGACTTTGCTGAACGTCTTACCCAGGTTCTCTGCCTCCCATCGCGACATCTTGGCAGTCCAGTATCCAATGCTCACCCTAGGGCGCTCTTTGGATGCGACAGCCCCAAGGGTGAGATCGTATTCGGTCGGACTGTGTCCTCCGACGGTGGCGAAACGCACAGAAGAGCCATCGCGCTGCACCGCATCGGCGGGCGCCTCGATCGTGATGATCGAGTTGAACAGCGGCTTTCCTGCCAGACCAATCGCATTTTGGATCTCTGCGAGAGATAGGTGCTGGTGTTGCAGGCTCTGCAGGTAGTCGGACTGTACGGCCCTTGCGAGGTCGGCGGCGGTGCTGGAAGGGGCGACGATCAACCTGCACACAAGCATGTTGATGAAGGGACCGACAATGTCCGCGACATCTGGCAGCGGAATATCCCGGCCGGAGACCAGGTATCCGTAGCAGACATCGTCGGATCCTGTGTAGCAGCGCAGGACGTTGCCCCAGACGGCCTGGATGACATTGGCGATGGTTGTCCCCGTCGCCTGCTGGAATGCCTGCAACTGGCTCGCAAACGCCGACAGGTCCACCTCAACGTACTCGAGCTGGCCGCGGTCTTCGGACTGGGTCTTTGCAACAGTCAGATAGCAGGGCTCGACCCCTTGCAAGTATGCGGTCCAGTAGTTCAGGGCTTCCATCGGCACCTTGTGTTGCAAGTGCTGGATATACGAGCGGTACGACGGGGCTTTGTCGGCACTGAGCGTCCCTTCGTAGGCCCGCGCCAAGTCGCGGAAGATGAGCCCCATGGATCGACCATCGAACGTGGTGTGGTCAATGTCGATGCGTCCGTAGACTCGCCCGTCGCGGGATGTGCACAGCGTCAGATGGTGAGGGGGTGCTTTGCGGCAGTGGATATCAGGGGTCTGGATGGCGGAGAGGGCTGTGATCGAATCGTCCTGCTCAGCCTCAATCAATCGGTAACTGGTCTCTGGATCACAGACCAGGATCTGGTAGAACAGTGCATCCTGGGCCGCAGAGTCCTGCGCAAAGACTGTGGAGAGGGCTGCGTGCCGACGCACCACCTGCATCCAGGCCAATCCCAGACGCGACGCAGCAACGGAATCAGCGCCGGCCGCTGGGGTGGCCTCGAAGATCACACGGACGTCAGATGCCCCAGGGGATCGCATCTGACTGAGAAGCAGGCCTTGCTGAATTGGAGAACACGGATATATATCTTGCACCTCACGCGCCGACAGCCCAAGAGACCGTACGCTACGGTTGACCAAGCGGTTGAGGCCGGCATAGCTCAGTTGCAAGAGAGGGAAATCGCCCAATGTCTTCTCCGCTGGGTGGTTTGGAAGAGTTTCGCTGAGCTGCACAAGATGTGCCTGGATGGCTGCCGCCCAGCGCTCGATTTCACTCTGCCTCGAGGTCTCTTGGGGGTATGACATGCTCAGTCTGAGTGATCCATTTTCGATCGAGGCGGAAAGGTCAAAGAGGGCCTGGCTGCGGGTCTTGTGCGGCGCAGTAGAAGGACCCTGCACCTGCTTGAACGCCCTACTGGACCCTTGGACGAGCATAATGCCATCAAACCCACGGAAAAGAATCTCCACCGGTCGAGTGCTGTCCACAATTGACCGTGAAAGACGACGAGCATCCTTGCTCCGGCGGACAGCGTCGATCGGACTGCTGATCGTCTCGCCAATACATATCGGCACTCTGCTGGTGAAGCAGCCCACAGTCCCCGAAGGTTGCAAAGAGAGATCCTCAAAACAGTCTCTCCCATCGAGATCGAGATACACTGTCGGAAGGTTGATGCCCTGGAACGTGCTTCCAAAAGCACTGAAAAGAGAGGCGAGAAGAATATCCTGGATCTCGGTCTGGAAGGCAGCGTTGCATTGCTTGAGCAGGGCTGACGTGAGCTCGTGGCCCAAAGTAAAGCTCGTATGTGCCTGCGCAGCCGGGGTCTTTTCGTGGACTCCCCAGTATGCGAAGTCAATCGGAGCTACCTGTGTCTCCATTCGACTGGCTAGGTGTCGAGCACAAGTCTGGAAGGCGACCGGAGCTTCGGTCTTGAATTCTCCATCGGACAGAAGGTCGCTGAGATCTTGAAGCAGCATCTTCCAAGAGGCTTCGTCGACCACCGACTGATGGATGGCCAGAGACAATAGGTTCTCGCCGGTGTGCAGTTCGAACAGGTCTGCAATGAGCACGGGTCCTGGCTCTGCGCCAGAGCTCACCTGGCTGGCCTTGACTATGTCTGTGATCGCCTCGCGCGAGACAGCAGAGTGAGAAGTGAACCGGTAGGCGGAGTTGAGCTCTCCAGAGATGGATTGAGCCCACTCGGCTGCACCAGTTCGATGGAAACGAGCCCGGAGCATTGAATGCCTCCGCACGAGGGCATCGATTGCCGAGAGCACTTCGCTTGTCTTCACCGACGGGGGCATCTCAAGCAACACACTTTGGCTCGCATTGTCCGAGTCTTCTAAATACAGCTTTTGGCCAGGGGTCAACGGGAAGTATTCTTCGACCGTCTCCTCCTGGACTCCGGCTGAGGCAGCCATGACGGAAAGCTGCGCCAGATTCTCCGCTTGGAGAACATCCAGCATGCGAACGCTCATCCCGGACGTGCGGAATCGAGATACAGCCTGCATCGCAGTGACGGAATCTCCTCCGAGGCTGATGAAGGAGCGAGCGAGGGGCACATCGCTGCGGCCCAAGACAGCACCCACAGTCTCCTGCACCCGGCGATCCATCTCGGTGGCCGGGATGATGTCGACCACGCTGTCGAGTATGATGGACAGCTCCTCGAATTCGCTGTCATCAAGGGACTGGATCCACTGGCTGATCCGGGCCCGGTCGATCTTCAACGAGGTGTTCATCGGGATCGCACCGACGACCAGCCATGCAGAGGGGACCATATATCCCGGTAGACGCTCTGAAATCTTCTGGCGGACGCGTCGGACGCTTTGCGCCGCGGTGGCTTGTCGCGTCGGGCTGATGGGCTCGAGGCCCTTGCCTGTGCCATCGATGGCGGTCAACGACAGAACGGCGACAAGACGCTCACGATGGAGCGTCACGACGACCTGCTTGACCTGGTCGCTGCTGAGGGCGTGGTGTTCGATCTCTCCGAGCTCCAGCCGCTGCCCGTGCACCTTGACCTGGCTATCCTTGCGGCCCAAATAGTCCATGGAGCCGTCCTGGTTGTATCGAACGAGGTCGCCAGTTTTATAAATACGGGGCGCGGCCAATGGTGCTGGTGCAAACGACTGCCGCCACTTTGGAGGTTGAACAAAGGATGCAGCAGTTTTGGCCTCGTCGTTCAGGTAACCGCGTGCCAGCAGCGGGCCTTCGACGAGGAGCTCGCCGACACAGCCAACTGGGACCAGACGGTCGTGGTCGTCGGTATTCACGATCCAGAGAGAACTGGAGAGAGCATGGCCGATATTGGACGCAGTCCGACCCGTCCCTGGCCGAGGTCTTTGGCAGAGCTGCAGTAGATGGTGCATTCCGCGGGCCCGTAGCAGTTGAAGAACCCATCTAGGCCTGCAGCGCTCCATGCCGCGACCACCTTGTGCGTTGCAGCCTCACCCGCTAGAGTAAGGACTTTGAGGGACGGAGCTTCACTGGGGCTCAGGAGACCAGCGACGGTAGGGGTGAGACACGCCCAGTTGGCCTGGAGGCGCTGGATGGCAGCTGCAAGATTGTTCACTCGCTCTTGCTCCGAAGGGATGCATACACATGCCCCTCTAGTTAGGGAGGTGAAGATATCCTGAATGCTGATATCGAAACCAAATGCTGCGAATTGCAGTACGCGCGTCCCGGTCGTGATGTTCAAGGCGGAGCCATGCGCCTCGATGCTTGTACACACCGAGCCGTGCTCCAGAACCACTCCCTTCGGTGTGCCAGAGCTTCCGGACGTGTATATGACGAACGCTGGACTCGAGGACGAGCGGTGCAGCTGCACTTTTCGTGCAGGAGTTTCGTCAGCCTGTCCCTCCAGCTCCTGCACAAGGGTTGGGCCAACGATGAGAGACCGAGCTCCCAAGGCTTTGAACTGGCCGTGGTTCGCTTCAGACGTCAGCACAAGCTGGGCCTGGATGTCAGTAAGAATCGTCTCATGACGGCTCGCAGGATGAGACGGGTCCATGTGCACGCAGGCGGCGCGCGCTTTCAATATCGACATGAAAGCCACAACCGCGTAGGCGGATTTCTCGAAGCAGGTTGGGATAAACGATCCGGGTTGTACGCCCATATTGCTGAGTTTTGTCGCTAGACGGCTGGTGATTCGGTCGAGAGCCGCGTAGGTGAACGTGGCATCCCACGCGGAGACGGCTTCCATGTCGGGCACCAGCGCGGCACGCTTCGCAAAGAGGCTGTCGACACATTCTTCCAGATGCTGTGGGTAGCCGGAGTTCCACTGTGCGACCTGTGTCCGGTCTGACTTGCTGAAGATATCCAAGTCGCCGGCACGCTCTTCAGCACCATTTAACATTGCCGACAGCGTAGCCTCGAGGGTGTTGGCAACATTGGAAGCTTGCCATTCGGGGATCTTGTGTGTGTAGTGGCCGAGCAAGAGCAAGATCTGCTTGCTGGAGCTGTCATGCTTGATGTTCACCGTGAGGTCGTACTCTGTGGGATCGTGGCTGGAAATGCTGTTGAGAGTGATTCCTGTCTCCTCCGGTCTACCCGATGCAGAGCGCTGGATGGAGAGGATGGTGTTAAACAGTGGAGAGCCAGAGAGACCTGCCCCACCCTGGATTGCTGACAGCGGACAGTGTTGATGAACAAGACTGCCGAGATAGTCTTGCTGGGTCTGTTGAGCCAGCTCTGCAACCGTCGGCTCGCCCACTGACCGCGTCCGGCAAACCAGCATGTTGATGAATGGTCCAACGATCTCATCAATGCCTTCGACATCGACATCTCTCCCGGAGGCGAGGTAGCCATATGAAATGTCAACCGAGCCGGTGTAGCACCGGAGCACGATCGCCCACAAGGCTTGGAAGACACTGCCGGGGGTTACCTTGTAATGCTCACAGAACTTGGCCAGCGCGTCACTCAGATGGCCCATGTCTCAGGGAGACATATCTGAGCTCCGCATCAAGGTCCTCCACAGCTGATCGGTGGGTGACCGGGAAGAGGCACGGCTGCACATCTTGCAGGTACTCGCTCCAGTATTTCAAGGCAGCATCGTGCGGGTATTGCTGAAGAAACTTGATATATGCCGCGTAAGAGGGCGCCACCAAGCGTGAATCCAGTTTCGAGTCATAGGCCCGGGTCAAGTCTCGGACAACCAGAGCGACTGAGGCGGCATCGATGATGGCATGGTTGATCTCCAGCTTGCAGTACACGCGCGACTCCTCGGTGCAGCAGATAGACAGTCGGTGTGGCGCCCGCACCACGGTGTAGTCGACTGGCTGTAGGCTTTCGAGGAACGAGACCACGTCCGACTGCTTTGATTCGTATCGCTGCACGTCGGGAGTAATGGTTTTTAGGACCACGGAATCAAACAGGCCTTCGTCTCGCACGCTGCTGACGAACATGCTGCGAAGGATCGCATGACGCTGAACAACCTGCGTCCAGGCGTGGTTCAACCGCTCGACGGAGACGTTCGAGTTTCCCACCACTTCAAACATGAAGAAGGACTCGTACGCCCCCTTTTGGCGATGCTGGCTGAGGAGCAGTCCTTCCTGCATTGGCGAGCACGGGTACCAGTCTTCGATCGCCGAAATTTCGGCAGCGGGCAGCACAGGGAGACATTCCCTCTGGAACCTCTCGAGGGCGCTGTACCCAATGGGCATCAGAGGAAAGTCGCTGAGTGTGGGCTCAGGCGCTTGCAAAGGCAGCGTGTCAGCCATGTGCTGCAGCATACTGCGGTACAGCTGCACCCAGCTCTGGATCTCGGCCTGGTGCTGGCTTTTCTTGTTGTACACCACATTGACCTGCAGTCGGCCGTCGGGCACAGTTGCGGAGATCTCAAACAGGGCCATTCTGTTTGCGTGCAGGTCGGTGTCAAAGACCTGGCCCTCCGCTGCCGTCCGAGGTTCCTGTCGCAGCACGGCGTCATCTCGGTCGAACTGCTGGTAGCGACCCAAGTAGTTGAACAGAATTTCGGGGCGGCCGTGGTGGCCAAAGGCCTCGCGACCACTGGCGGAGAGGTACCGGCTCGTGAAGTAGTCCCATCCCGCGTTGGGCAGCTTCCCACGGAGATCCTTGACGCCACGGATCGTATTTGCGAGACCGTGGAGCATCTCGGGGGCGAGGTATACAGGAGCCATGGCTGTGAACCAGCCAACAGTCCGGGACAGGTCGATGTCTGCAGTCCAGGGCTCACGCCCGTGCCCCTCGACGAAGACAGAGGGTGCCCGGCCGTGGAATGTCTGGCTGTAGGAGAGCAGCAGCCCGGCGAGGAGGAGATCGGTCACCTCGGTTCGGAAGGCCCCATTGCAGCTGCCCAGCACCGCTCTTGTCGAGGGCTCGTCGAGGGTGAAACTTGCCAGTTCGGCATCCACGTAGACGTTGGACGTGGTTTCCAACCCCCAGAAAGCCATATATGGGGTCATCGGAACGTGATACGGAAGGGCGGTGGCAACAGCCAGGGTCTGCGCGTGTTCGGCCTGCATCGCGGTCCACGACTGGAAGGAGAGAGCGGGCTCGTCGCTTAATGTGCCTCCGAGAAGGAGGTCCTCGAGATCCTGCAGCAACACCCGCCAAGAGACCATGTCAATCACCAAATGGTGCGCGACCATAAAGAGGAGCTGGCCTTCGTCTTGCACATCGAAGAGATCCACGCTGAGCAGGGGGCCGTTTTGCACATCTGGATGGCGTGCACTGTCTGTCATTATGCGGGCCACCTGAGTGCGGTCGGTCAGCCGGTGCGCCTGGAAGTGGTACGAGCCAGAGATGTCGTTGGTGATGCGCTGCACCCAGTTGGACCCCGGCTGCAATCGCCTGAACCGAGCACGGAGCATCGAGTGCTGCCGGACAACCGCATCGATTGCTTGAATAAGCTCCTGCGCTTTGATTGGCTTTCCGAGGCGAAGGAAGAAGCTCTGGTTGGACAGGGTCGGCTGCTGGCCACAGACATCCAGATAAAACTGCTGGATGGGCGATAGGGCAAACTCTTCCCCGGGCCGTTCGGGGGGGATCGAGGAGGACAGGCGCACGGGGCGGACGCAGAGAGACACCTGCGCAAGGCTCGCGCTCTGCAGGATGTCCGCAACCCGCAGCGAGAGCCCTTCGCGCCGGGCGTGGCTGACCACCTGCATTGCCGTGATCGAGTCGCCTCCAAGGCCGATGAACGAGCGACTGAGCGAGGTGGCCGCGGGCTGCAGGTTTAGGACGCGGGCCACAATCTCCTGCACGCGGCGGTCGGTGGCAGTGGCCGGGATGGATGTCCCAGTGGCCTCCTCGTTTGCTTGCGTCAGGGCGCTGAACGTCTCCTGCGAGAGCCCCTCGACGAATGCGTTCACACGCTGGCGATCAAGCTTGCCGGATGTGTTGAGTGGGATGCTCCGAACGACGATCCACAGCGTTGGGACCATGAACGAGGGCAGTTGGCTTACCAGGTGGTCTTTGACAGCCGAGACCTGCAGCCAGATGCCTTCGTCGACGGCGAATTCAATTTCCGAGCTCGATGCTTGGGCGATGGCCGCGAGGGAAACGACGGCGACGACGCGGCCTTTGCACAGGCCAGCCCGCACCATCAGAACGAGGCTGTCCCGGATCACTGCGTGCTGGGTCAAATGGTGTTCGATCTCGCCCAGCTCAAAGCGTTGACCTCGCAGCTTGACCTGGTGGTCCTTGCGGCCGATGTAGTTCAAGGTCCCATCCTGTTGATACTGCACGAGATCCCCGGTCTTGTACATACGGCGGCCCAACCCACGGCCCTGGGCGTTAGCCCAGTGAGGGTCTATGATAAAGGAAGCGTTTGTCTTCTCCAGGTCGCCGAGGTATCCTCGAGCCAGCGAGTGGCCTTCAACGAGCAGCTCGCCTACTGCACCCAATGGAACCAGGCGGTCGTGGTTGTTGGGATCCGCAATCCAGGCGAGGGTGCTAACTGCACGGCCAACTCCCTCGGCGCCCTCTGTGTTGGAGGCAATCGAGCGAGACAGGCAGAACACGCAGGTCTCCGTGGGCCCGTAGCCGTCAATGAGATCCACGCGTCCTCCCCAGACTTCAATGTTTTCCTTTCGGATTGCCTCACCTCCAAGCACCAGGGTCCTCAGTCCAGTGAGACGCTCGGGGCTGAGCGTTGTGGCGAAAGAGGGCGAGAAACACGCCCAGTTGACCTGCATTTCGTTGATGACGGCCTCGATCTCGCCACCCATGCGCTGATCCTCAGACGGCACGCAAACACAGCCGCCAAAGACAAAGGTCGTGAAAACCTCAACAATCGCCGCATCGAAGCTGTACGAGGAGAATTGGAGAGCACGCGTATCGGGTGCGAATTCCATGACCTTTCCATGCCCGGTGGTGCTGGTGCAGGCGGCGGCGTGCTCAATCACGACTCCCTTGGGTTTCCCAGTGCTGCCGGAGGTGAAGATGAGATACATGCTGTTGCCGCCGTGTGCTCGACCAGTCAGTCTCAGGTTGCGGGGATGGAAGGCCGGCGATCAGGGCGGGCGACACCTCGACGATCGTCTTCTCCGCTCCCAAGCCACGGTTCTCGCGGGTCTCAGGAGAGACCACGACGACGTCGGAGTTGAGTTGCTCGACGATACCCTGGCGCCGCTGAAGGGGATGCGACGGGTCCAAGGGCACAAAGGCACCACCAGCTTTAAGGATTGCGAGCATCGCGACTATAGTCCATGCAGACTTTTCCATGCAAATGGGCACCATGGTCTCTGCCTGCACACCAAGGGAGACTAGGTGGTGTGCCAGATCCGTGGAGACCCGGTCAAGCTCTTCGTATGTGAAGCTGGCGTCCCAGGCGCAGATGGCTGGACGGGCTGGCTGCCGGACTGCCTGCTCTTCAAAGACTTGGTGCATGCACCGGTCGATCTTGGCTGGGGGTGCAGCACTACCGGTCCATTGGTCGAGCTGCAGCATACTCTCTGCACCGACAGGACTCAGCTCGCCCAGACTCTGTTCAGGACTCTCCAGGAGTGAGTGAAACAGGGTAGCAAAGGTAGCGGCAATGTTGTTAGCCTGCCACTTAGACAGCGCAGTGCTCCAGTATCCCAGAGTGGCCTGTGGGGCGGCTTCGGAGGCGACAGCCCCAATTGTCAGATCATATTCGCTGGGATCATGACCGCTTCGGGTGCGGAACGAGAGTCCAGCGGCATTTCGCGATGCTGGCTGGTGCTGCGAGCTGCGCTGGATGGTCATGACCGAGTTGAACAGCGACCGGCCTCCAAGCCCGCGCGCATGCTGGATCTCCGCGAGCGAGCAGTGCTGGTATTCCAGGGCAGCCATAAAGTCCACCTGCAGCGTCTGGGCGACATCGCTCCCCCGCTGTGCTCCGACGTTGTTCATGCGGCAGACGAGCATGTTGATCAGCGGGCCCACCATGTCCTCGACACCTTCAAGGGGGACGTCACGGCCGGAAGTCAGGTATCCAAAGCAGACGTCCTCGGATCCTGTGTAGCAGCGGAGAACCATGGCCCAGATCAGCTGGAACACGTTGGCAATGGAGACTCCGTATCTGTCACAGAAGGCGCCCAGCCGCCCAGCGGAGCTTGCAAGGTCGATCGAGACGTGGTGTATTTCCTTCGGTGCGTTGCTGACTGCACGCGCAACAGGGAAGATACTAGGCTCCAGGCCATCCAGGTAACCCTTCCAGTAGCCATAAGCCACATCCTCTGGCTTGGACTGAATGTGGGCAATGTAGGAGCTGTACCGGGGGCCAGTGCCGTGTAGCTTTCCGTTGTATGCGAGGTCCCAGTCACGAAGCAATCCACCAAGCGAGGCCGCGTCAAAGATGGCGTGGTTGGCCTCGAGCCTGCCGACGATCTTGTTGGTGCCGTCTGCAATGCGGCAGATGGCCAGCTGGTGAGGAGGTTTGGTTGGATCCCCGTAGTCCAACAAGGGGACAGCTTGTAGGAGCTCGAGGGCGGCCTGCTCGCTCGCCGCCTCAAGCAAGGTCGACCGGATACGGGGTTGCTTCAAGACAATCTGGTCGTACACACCGTTGTCGGACACGCTGTCGATGAAGACGGTCCGCAGTATCGGGTGGCGAGCGACAAGAACCTCCCAGGCGCTCAACAGGCGTTCGCCATCGACAGCCTGCTGTGTGCTGCCTGACACCTCGAAGACGTACTGCACTTTGTAGGCGCCTTCACCACGGCTCTGAGTAAGGAGAAGACCCTGCTGCATCGGCGAGACGGGATAGACGTCTTCCAGCTCGTCCAGACCGGCCACACCGAGCAGGGGCATCCGCTGTTCAACAAGCAGGTCGAGGCCGGAATAGCTCCACTTCAGCAGAGGGAAATCGACCAGGGTTGGCTGAGGAGCCATGCGGGACAGTTGGTGCAGCGCCTCCGTCAGGGCCGTCTGGTAGCTCTGGATCCAGCTGCAGATCCGGTCCCTGTGCGCCATGCGGCGACTGAAGTTGAATGTGAACTGAGCGACTCCCTGCTCGATCTGGGCAGAGATTTCAAATAGCGCCTGCCGGGGCACTTCTTCACCAACGTCGTAGACCATCCTTTCGGATCGTGGGATCGGTTGGAACAGGCTGTCGGCCTTTTCCAGCTGTTGCTGTATCCCCAGGTAGTTGAAAAGGATCTCGACGGGCCCGTGGTGGGCGAAGCGCTGTTTTCCTTGCGCGGAGAGGAATCGGCCGGAGAAATAGTCCCAGCCATTGGTAGGAGTCTGGCTGCGGCAGTCTTTGACGTGCGAGATGGCACGCGTAACGCTGTCGGTCATGTTCTCGAGATACATTGGCATCATCGTGGTGAACCAGCCCACCGTGCGAGACAGGTCGATTTCATCGTTCCAGGGCTCGCGGCCATGGCCCTCCGTGAAGACGACGGGGGGGCTTTCGGTCGGTGAAGGTCTGCGTAAAGGACCAGAGCAAAGAGCCCAGAAGGAGGTCCGTCACCTGGGTACGGAAAACTCGGTGGACTTGATCCGACAAGAGGAGCGAGGTGACGCCAGCGGGCAGCTGGAAGGATTCCGAGTCGTGGTCTGCATACACATTGGGCTGGTTCGCCATGTTCCAGTATGCGAACGGGTCTGGATGAGCAGGCACGTCGAAGGCAAGACACTTTGGTAGGAGGGAGGTGGCGTTTGCGGAGATATATTCTGCTTGCAATCGTAGCCAGTCCTGGAAGCTTGCCGAGTTCACAAGACTGGTAGACGAAGTGGGAGACTGCAGCAGCTCTTCCAGCTCCTGGAGCACGATTCGCCACGACACCAAGTCAATAACCAGGTGGTGGGCCACGAGGAACAGGAGCTGCTCTCCGCTGGTGGTGGTGAAGAGGTCGCATCTGAAAACTGGACCTTTTGTGATGTCCAGGCTCAGCTGGCTTTTGTTGACTGCGGCGACCATCTGGTCAGAGGTAACCCGGTCGTAATGCTGAAACGCAATCGATCCGTCGTTTGCGGCACTTATATATTGCTGCCACACGCCGTCGGCTCCTTGAGAGAATCGAGCCCGGAGCATCGCGTGATTGCGCAGGATTGCATTCAGGGCCATGGTCAGCTCCTCATGTCGAATGGTCCTGCTCAAGCGCAGGAAGACGCTCTGGTTCAGGCGAGAAGGCTGGTTGTTGGTCACGTTGAAGAACAGGCTCTGAATGGGCGACAGAGCGAATGCCTCGTGTGCTTGCTGCTCCTGTTTGGGCGCTTCTTCGACGGTCTCTGCAGTCTTCGGTGATAGTTCGGTCAGGCTGTTGCTCTTCATAATGTCGCGCACGCGGAGAACGACTCCGTTGGCTCTGCAGCGCGAGGCCAGCTGCATGCTAGTGATTGAGTCACCTCCAAGGCTGGGAAACGACCTGTTCATGGAAACGTCGCCCAGCGACAGGTTGAGAACATCGGCCACGGCAGCCTGGATGACCCTCTCCACTGCAGTCTGCGGGAGGGCAACGGCCTCGACAGCGCCGCCAATCCACTGGCGGTACTCGTGCTCGTCCAGGTGGTGCACCCAGCGTGTGATCTGCGCACGATCCAGCTTGCCCGAGTTGCTGAGCGGCAGCCTGTCGACCACGAGCCAGAACGAGGGAACCATGTAAGGTGGCACCTTGGCGGCGAGGTAGGCTTCGGTGGCCGCGAACAGCGCCGACGCACCGTCCTTGCTCGCGTGCCGGACGAGATTCAGTCCACCGGACGCGGGCTGGCCCCGGTCTGCGTTGAGCGAGAGCACTGCGGTCAACCCGCCTTTGCAGGGCCCGTTGTCCGGGAGGAATGCCATGGCGTTCTGCACGGGCTCGCTGGCGGACAAGTGATGCTCGATTTCGGCAAGCTCGAGCCGCTGTCCATGCAGCTTGACCTGCGTGTCTTTGCGGCCGAGGAATTCCATGGACCCATCGGGCTGATAGCGTACCAGGTCGCCAGTCTTGTACATGCGCCGTGGGCGAGCGAAGGAGCCGGATTGAGTGGTGGACCAGGCCGGATCGACGATAAACGCAGCCTCGGTCTTGTCGGGGTTCTTGAGGTAGCCTCTCGCGAGGGTGACGCCTTCAATGACCAGCTCGCCGACTCCTCCGACGATGGCAAGCTTGTGGTGGTCCTGCGGGTTCACAACCCAGACGAGCGGCCCGACAGGAAGGCCGATGCAGGACGAGGACGAGGCCTCTGTGGCACGGTGAGCAGTTGCTATCGCAGAGGTCTCGGTCGGCCCATATGCAAGGATCAGGCGGAGCCTCTTGGCCCAGGTCTCGATATGCCACTGGGGGATCTGCTCGCCGCCCAGCACCAGCGTCTGGATGGTCGGAATCTCACTCGGAGTAAGCGTCGAAGCCACAGAGGGGGTCAGGAACATCCAATTTGCGCGGCAGGCGGCGATGAATGCGGCAATACCCTCGGTCTGCTGCTCGGGGACACACACGGTGCCGCCGGTAATCAGCGTGGTGAGGATCTCCATCACGCTCGCGTCAAAGGTGTACGTGGCGAACTGCAGCACGCGGCTGTCTGGCTCGAAGCCCAGCCCCTTTCCGTGGTAGGTTGCGCTCGTGGCATAGGAGCCGTGCTCGATCAGGGTCCCCTTGGCTCGGCCGGTGGTGCCAGACGTGAATATCACGTATGCGAGATCGCGAGGGCTCACGGGGCAGGTGAGCTGGCGCAGGGGCATCTTCTTGACGCGGTCAGTACTGACGGGGACCACGTTCCCCACGATCGCCTGGCACAGGGGACGGCGGCTGACGGAGGAGAGGATGATGGTGGCCTCGATGTCCTCGACAATCGCCTGCAGCCGGTCGATGGGGTACTTGGCGTCAAGGGGAGTGAATGCATAGCCCGCCTTGAGCACGGCGAGCATTGACAGGATCATCAGCTCGGACTTCTCGAAGCACAGAGGCACGACTGTTCCACGCGACAGGCCAAGCAACTGTAGCTCGCCAGCGAGACGAGTGGACAGGTCCTCGAGCTCGGCATACGTCCACCGCACCCCGCTGAACGAGTAGACTGCCTCCTTGGTCGGCGTCGCTTGGGTACGCTCCAAGACGAGGTCGTGGATGCAGCGCTCGACAGGCGGCGGCACCGTTTCGTTCCATTGTTCGACCTGTGCGAGTTCCTCGGGGCTGATCAGACTAAGGTCTCCAAATGTGGTGGTGGCGCTGGACCCTGCGAGATGGTGCAAGATCGAGAGCAGGGCGCCGGACATCTGGCGGGCCTGCCAGTCGCTGAAGACGTTGGTCCAGTAGTCCAGATCCACTCCGATGAGCTCCTGGCCCGCGATCTGGATGTTGACGGCCATGTCGTAGTCGGAGGGGTCGTAGCTGCTCACACTCGAAAAGTGCGTCTCTTGAATAGACGAGGGCGCATCGTTGACGGGCTTGGTGGAGAGCAGCGTGTTGAACAGCGGGCGGCCTCGGAGGCTCAGGGCGTGTTGGATCTCCCCGAGGGAGCAGTGCTGATGGGCGAGCGATGACAGGTAATCCTGCTGGGTGCGCTGAGCCGCATCCACAATGTTGGCCGAGTCGGGGATCTGGGATCGGTGGATGAGCAGGTTGATAAGGGGCCCAACAATCTCGTCGACTCCCTGCAGGGGGATATCACGACCTGAGACAAGATATCCGTAGCACACATCATCGCTGCCGCCAAAGTGCTTCAGCAAAACGGCCCATGCGGTCTGGAAGATGTTGGCCGCGGTCACTGCGTGCGCCTTGCTGAACCGCGCCAGTCGCTGCGTGAGCTCAGAGGGGATCGCCACCTTGACGTGGCCGAGACGCCGCTGATCGCGAGGAGTGCCAAAGGTTGCGCGCAGACAGCAAGGCTCTACCTCGCTGAGATAGTTTGTCCAGTACGATAGTGCGTTGGTCGCTGGGTTTGCGTGAAGGTATTCAATGTAGTGACCGTAGTGCCGCTGACTGTGGGGGAGAGGACGTCCATCAACTGCGCCGGCCAGATCGCGTAGCACCAGCCGTATCGACGCAGCATCCATGATTGCGTGGCTGACGGTGAGCTTCCAGAAGACCTGGTTGGTCATGGTCACGATGACTGTGAACTGGTGCGGAGGGCGCAGGGGGTCACGGGCAAGCTGGGAGCTCTTGACTGCATCTTCCAGCTGGGCAGGCCCTTTGATAGCGAGGAAGTCAGTGTTGGCCTCTGCAGTCTTAAGCACCGCCTGGACGAATGAACCGGCCTTGTCGACAAACACCGTCCGCAGCATAGGATGCCGGTTAACGACCTCCTCCCATGCAGAAACGAGCGAGGCGGGCGAAAAAAACTGGCCCGCCGGCGGCTTGGCTTCAAAGATGAACTGCACCTGGTAGGAGGAAGGGTCGGTCTCCTGGCTGAGCAGGATGCCCTGCTGGATCGGGGCGCAGGGATACAGCCCTTCAATCGCAGCAAATCCGCCGAGACGATCCACCGCAGCATCCAGCCATCCGTAACTGGTCTGCACGAGAGGGTAGTCCGACAAGGTAGGCGCTTGCTCCATCTCGGAAAGGGCGGAGGCGCAGTCACAGAGGGTGGACTCGAATGCCTTGAGCCAGCGTTGGATGCGCTCTGGATGCTGCACGCGGCGGCTGTAGACAAAGTGGAAACGGAGACAGCCACCGTCCACCACCGCAGAGACATCAAATAGAGCCGTGCGGGACAAAGACGGGTCGACGTCGGCCATTTCTTCGTCAAAGCCCCGCGAGCAGTGCCTGAAGAGCGCGTCCGGCCTCTCCAGCTGCTGGAACCGGCCCATGTAGTTGAAGACCAGCTCCATCGGCAGGGCAGCAGCTGCGCGGGACTCGCGACCCTTGGCAGTCAGGTAGCACCAGTTGAAGTACTGCCAGCCCTGCTTAGGAAGCTGTCGCCGGCGGTCCTTGATCGTTCTCAGCTTCTGCTTGAATCCCTCGGTGGGCGACTCCGTGCCAGCCAGAGACACGGGGCTGATGGTCGTGAACCACCCAACCGTGCTTGAAACGTCCAGCCCGTCGCTCCACGGCTCGCGGCCATGGGCTTCACCGAAGACCGCTGGGGTCTCGCGATCAGTAAAGACGTGTTCGAACGAGTCGAGCAGGGCGGTGATGAAAATGTCGGATGGCTCGGTGCGGAACGGGCTGTTGGCAGTTTCCAGCAGCATTGCGGAGGTTGGTACATCCAGGGTGAACGTTTCTCTGACAGTGTTGCCGTACGTGTTGTCTTGAGAGGTCATTCCCCAGTAGGATGGATTCGCGGCCGGGATCGTGTATGGCAACACACTGGCTTCATCCCAGTCCTGGTGCTGAACGTATTCAGCCTGGGCGCGCGCCCACGCCTGAAAGGGTGTCGACTGTCGGGCGATGCTCGCCTCACTGCCATCGGGGAGAATCTGCTCCAGTGCAGTCAGGATGACTCTCCAGGAAACGAGGTCGATGACCAGATGGTGGGCAACCAGGTACAGGAACTGGTCCCCTTCGGCGGTCTGGAAGAGCAGTGCTGCGAACAGGGGACCTTGCTCAATGTCGAGCTGCTTGGTTGCCTCCACTACCGTAGCTTGGACTTCGGCGAGCGAAGGGACATGATGAACCTGGACTGAGCAAGACTTGTCGAGGTCCTCCGTAATGTATTGGGTCCAGCCCCCACTGGTAGTCTTCTTGAAGCGAGCGCGCAGCATTGAGTGCTCTTGGGCGAGCACCTTGATTGCATTCTGGAGAGCAGCAGAATCGATCCGGCGCGTCAATTGTAGCAGGAAACTCTGGTTGAAGCGAGAGGGCTTGCCTGCTGTGAGTTCGAAGAAGAACCCTTGGATCGGAGACAGGTCAAACGTCTGATTCAGGCTATCCTGCTTCGCCACAGTAGCGACAGTGTCTTCATGGCGCATAGCTTGTGCGACCTGAGACAGAGACATGCCTTGCAAGATATCCTGGACGCGAAGGTGAATGTTATCAGCCCGACAGGTGGCGGAGAGCTGCATGGCGGCAATCGAGTCTCCTCCCAGCGCCACAAACGAGCGATTGAGGAGCACCTCTTGCTCCGCGCAATTCAGAACACGGGCACACAGGCGCCGCAGCACTTGATCCATCTCAGTCGCTGGCTCGGCGTCGGCGCCCACTTCCTCTGTGAGCAGAGCGGCTCGGTATTCCGTCTCGTCCAGGGACTTGAGCCAGCGAGCGAGGGCGCTTCGATCCAGCTTGCCGGACTTGCTGAATGGCATCGCTTCGATCACCATCCAGTCGCTGGGCACCATGTACCGGGGGACACGCTCGGCGACCGCGAGGGATATGGAAGCAACTGCCGTCGACGCCTCCTTGCGGTGGGCATCGGGGATAACTTGGAGCTGATGAGCGGCGCTCTTCCCGCTGCTGAGCCCTCGCAGTGTCAAGATCGCCGTCAATCGCCCTTTACTTTCTGCTGGGCTGTGCAGAAGAACAGCGGCATGGAGAACCCGGTCATCCTGCAAGAGATGGTGCTCGACCTCACCGAGTTCCATGCGTTGACCTTGCAGCTTGACCTGGGTGTCCTTGCGGCCGATGAAGGCGAAGGACCCATCGGGCGTATACCGGACCAGATCGCCGGTCTTATAGACACGACTACCGCTCGACGAGGACCATTCAGGCCCCAGCACGAACGAGGTTGCGGTCTTTTCGGGCTCTTTTAAGTATCCCCTGGCAACAGAGGGACCTTGAATCACGAGCTCGCCAACGGCACCAATTGGAACTAACTGGCTGTGACTCTGGGGGTGCACGATCCAGCCCAGACCACCAGACGCCTTGCCAATGTTGGAAGCACTGGTGACCGTAGGATTCACTGCAGCAATGACGGCGGTCTCGCTGGGACCGTAGGCGTTGATCAGGGCGACGCTCTTGGACCACGTAGCGATATGAGCATCGGTCATGGCCTCTCCTCCCAGCACCAAGGTCTTCAAGCTGGGAACACTCGCGGGGTCAATTGTGCGAGCAAAAGAGGGGGTCAGCAGAGCCCAATTTGCTTGGTACTCCTCGATAAAGCGGGAGATGGAGTGAAGTCGAGTCTCCTCGTTGGGGACACAGACACACCCACCGACCAGCAGCGTCGTCAGAATCTCCAGAATGGAAGCATCGAACGTGTACGATGCAAACTGCAGGACTCGGCTGGACAAGTTCATTTGCAGCCTCTCTGTGTAGGTGCGCAGGTTGGTAATGTACGCGCCGTGTTCGTTCATGGTTCCTTTGGGCTTGCCCGTGGTGCCCGAGGTGAAGATGACATACGCCAAATTGGCTGCAGAGACGGTGGGCAGGATTGTTCCTACACATGGTTCTTGCAAGAGCGGTGACGACGAGCTCACAACGACGACATGAGGTGCCAGCTTCCGGGCCAGCTGTTCGAGGTCCGGAGAAGCCAGAACAACCTGGGCTTCAAGATCGTCCATAATCGACTTCAGGCGCTCTGTCGGGTGGCTGGAGTCGAGCGAGGCAAAAGCAGCTCCGGCCTTCAGAATGGCCAGCATTGCCACAACTGCATACACCGACTTTTCAAAGCACAGAGCCACCTTGGACTCGACATTCACGCCGAGCTCGATCAGCTTGGCTGCCAGTCGGGTGGCGAGGGCGTCCAGCGTGCTGTACGACAGGTTTCCGTCGCAGCCCTCCACGGCCGGGCGATCAGGATGAGCCAGGGCCTGCTGCTGAATGAGCTCGTGGATGGTCTCTATGGCTGGGGGTGGCATTGCTTTATTCCACTCTTGAATTTGTACGAGATCGCGCTCGCCAAGGGCGTCGATCTCGCCGGCTAGAGGACTCTCCTTTGTGACAAGCTGATGGAGGACGCGGCTAAACGAATGCGCGACGCTCTCGGCTTGTTGGGCAGAGAGGATGGAAGTCCAGTAGCCCAGGGACACACTGGGTCGCTGGCTACGGTCAACAGGCACCTGGACGTTGACCGTAACGTCGTATTCAGTTGGATCATACCCATCGATGTCCTGGATCGAGACGGACTGTCCCGCCAAGGCATGTTCGTCCACGCGCTGGATGGACATGACCGTGTTAAACAGCGGGCGGCCAGACAAGTTGAGCGCATGCTGGATGCTCGCGAGTGAGCAGTAATGGTGCTTGAGGCCGTGCAGATACGCCTCTTGTGCGCTGTTGATCAAGCTGGCGACCGGGGCCTCGCGGTCGAGGTCGAGACGGCATACCAGCATGTTGATGAGCGGGCCGACAATGTCTTGGACGTTCTGGACGGGGATATCGCGACCAGAAACCAAATACCCAAAGGCAACGTGGTCAGTGCCGCTGTACAGACCGAGAACAAGGGCCCAGACAACCTGGAAGACATTGGCCAGAGTGGCGTTGTTCTGCGAGCAAAAGTCCTGCAGTGCGGCGCCTGGAATATCCTCCAGACTAACCGCAACAGCCTCGAGCTCTTTGCTCGTTGCCGACCCCAAGTGTGGAAAGTGGCACGGCTCGATGCCCTCCAAGTACTCTGTCCAAAAGCGAATGGCTTTCTCTTGGGACTGCTTGCCCAGGTAGGCAATGTACTCACCGTATGACGGCCCCTGCGCTAGTACAGCCCCATCGCAGGCTTGAATCAGATCGCGGAGAATCAAACGGAAGGAGGAAGCATCGATGATCGCATGGGAAATGTCCAGGCTGCATTGCAGATGCCCGTTCGGGGCCTGTGTGACCGTCAGATGGTGCATTGCACGGACTGCGCCCTTACTAGAGTGGCTGCGAATGCCATTCAGTGTAGTGGGCGCAACCAAATGGCGCAGGACGATCTGATCATAGACGCCCTGCTCGGCCACAGAGTCTACGAATAAAGTTCGGAGAGCAGGATGGCGATCAATCACCGACTGCCAGGCCTCGAGAAGACGTTCTGCATGCATACCAGAGCCAGCCTGGGGCACGACGGCAAAGTCGAACCGGATCTTATATGTGTCTGGATTCTTGCTCTGGCTGACCAGTAAGCCCTCTTGCATTGACGAGCACGGATAGACGGCCTCAATATCTTCCATTCCAGACAGTCCCAGCGCTGGCAGGCGGGAGCGAAGTAGGCGATCGATGCCCGAGTACGAGATCTGGAGGAGGGGGAAGTCGCTCAGGGTAGGTTCTCGGGCTCGCCGAGGTAGTTCTCGGGCGGCGGTCTCTAGGCAGTGCTGATACCCACGAATCCAAGCCTCGAACTGCTCCTGTCGCTTGCCATGGCGGTTGTACATCATGTCGACACGCAGGCGGCCCTGGTCGATGACGACGGAGACCTCGAGCACGGCCCACCGGGTCAGATTGTCCGCCAGGTTGGAAGCGTACTCTGCCGCAGTCAGATGCTCCTGGCGAAGAAGCGCATCATCGCGCTCCAGTTGTTGATATTGTCCCAGGTAGTTGAAGACAAGCTCCATGGGCCAGTGGTCTTGGTACGCCGCGCGCCCGTTCTGGTTGAGGTAGCGAGATGTAAAGTACTTCCACCCGTTTGCTCCCAGGCTGCGTCTGCGATCCTTGACCCGGCGCACTGCCTCGACTAGGTTGGGTATCTCGTCCGAGGCAACATGGACGGGGGCGAGAGTTGTGAACCATCCCACCGTGTTGGACAGGTCTATGGCAGCCTCGTCCCAGGACTCACGACCGTGCCCTTCGCTGAAGGCAGTCGGAGCCGCCTTGTCGACGAACGCCTGGGTGAAGCTGAAGATTGCGGCTGCGAGGAACAGCTCCATGGGCTCGCTGTTCAAGGTTCGGTTGGCGTCACCCAACAGCTGCTGTGTTGTCTGTGCATCCAAAACAAAGGACCTCTGGATGAGATCTCCATAAACGTTGCTCGTCAAGCCCCAGTACTCAGAAAGGTCGACAGGCGCAACAGTAGTTGTCTCTTCCGGCTCAAGGTGCTGCTGCGCATATTCCTCCTGTAGACGCAGCCACGCTTGGAACGAGAAGGGGCAGTCAGCCTGCAAAGAACCAGACAGCATTAGCTCCTCCAGGTCGTGGAGGATAACTCGCCATGACACAAGATCAATGACCAGATGGTGTGCAGCAAGAAACAGCAGCTGGCTGGATGGAAGATTGATCAGAGCTGCGGCGATTAGAGGACCTGTCTGGGGGTCGAGAGCCTGATGAGTGGCGTCGATGATGGGAGCAGCATCGGCCCGGCTCGATGCCTTTGCGGCCACAACGTGGTAGGATCCCTCGGTCTCGAGGGTGATGGTCTGTTTCCAGTGGCCGCCCTGGTGTTCGAAACGGGCACGGAGCATGGAATGATGTCGGACGATCGCATCCAATGCTTGTGAGACTTGACTGGCTTCCAAGGGGCGTGACGGGCGTAGCAAGAAACTCTGGTGCATCTTCATGAGCTGTCCCTCGGTCATCTCGAAATACAACTGCTGGACCGGCGACATGGCAAATTGCTCGCCGACAGTCTCGGTTGCGCTCACTGACGAGACCTCATGGCGAGGCTGGGCCAGCAGGGCCAGGCTGGAGATGGTGCGTCTGCGGAGAAGGTCTTCAACACGCACCATGAGGCCTTCACGTCGGAGACGGGCAGCCACCTGCATGGCGGTAATGGAATCGCCACCGAGGCTGACCAACGAGCGGCCTCTGGGGACGCTGTCTTCTGGAAGGTTGAGGACACGGGCGAAGGTCGAGGCGAGCAGTCTCTCGACAGGTGTGCAAGCCTCTCCTCCCAGCGTTTTCTCCTCATGGGACTCTGCCTGGCCGAGTGCCATCTGGGAAATATATTCCTCTTCCAGCTTCTCTACTGTCCGGCGGACATGCGCACGATCGATCTTTCCCGAGGTGTTCTTGGGAATATTCGGCACTGCAAGCCAAACGGTCGGCACCATGTATCGGGGCAGCTCCTCTGTCACACGGTTGAGTAAAGCATCGAGTCGGCCCTCCGCCAGTTGACGGTCCTGCGAGCTGAGTAAGGGGAATAGCCCAGCCATGCTGGTGCTCGCCAAAGGCACCTCCATGACGGCGACGAGTTTCTCCCTCAGAGGACCCGATGTGGGCCACACCACGATGGCACTGTCGAGGTGGTGATCGATCTCACTCAGCTCGAGACGCTGGCCGTGGATCTTGATCTGCGTGTCTTTGCGCCCGATATACTCGAGCGACCCGTCCGCCTCGTGCCGGACCAGATCGCCTGTAGCATACATGCGGCGCGAGCCAGTGTACGGCTGGCCCTTGGTCCAGGCTGGCGCATTGAGAAATGATTGCTGCGTCTTGACGGGGTCATTGAGATACCCCCGTGCAAGGAGCGGTCCTTCCACAAGCAACTCTCCAACACATCCGATCGGGGCAAGACGGTCGTGATTTGCAATGTCGACCACCCACAGGCGACTGGCCAGGCCCTGGCCGATATTCGCTGGCTTCTGGCCTCGTCCAACGTCTCCGTTCCACGAGCAGAAGATGGTGCTCTCGGCGGGACCGTAACAGTTATGGATCTTGACTGCCGATCCCGCAAACAGGTCAATGGCACGACGGGTAACGGCTTCTCCGGCAAGAATGAGGGTTGAGAGGGTAGGGATATCCGCGGGGAGAAGCGAGGCAACGGTCGTGGTCAAGCAGGCAGCAGTCACTCTCATGGAGGCCATCGCTGCGGCGAGATCACCAGTCCGCTGCTCTTCGGAGGGCACACAGACGCAACCACCGTGGATGAGGGTGGTGAAGATATCGTGGATGCTAATATCAAACACATGGGCTGCGAACTGGAACACGCGCGAATTCGGGCCCGTCTGGAGGACCTTGCCTTGCGCAATGGTGCTGGTGCAGACGGCGGAATGCTCGAGGACAACTCCTTTGGGCGTCCCAGTGCTGCCGGAGGTGTAGATGAGGAATGCAGCATTGAATGGCTGGATGTGCGCCGCAGTCTCGGGCTGCTTGGAGGAAAGCCGGTTCACGAAGGATGCTCCGACAGCCAGAATGGGAAGGTGGTGAATGGCTTCCTGAGCCACACGCAGCGCGCGACCCTCGCTGGCCAGCACGAGCGTGGCACGCGCAGTTTGTACGGTTATTTGTAGGCGACGAGGGGGGTGGGAGGGATCCAGGGCCAGACAGACTCCGCCTGCTTTCAGAATGGCCAGCATGCTGACGACAGTCCACGCGGATTTTTCAAAGCAAAACGCCACCGGATCCTCCAGGCCGACTCCCAGAGAAATCAGATGGCTGGCGAGGGAATCTGACAGCTCGTCCAGCTGGTGATACGTAAAGCTGGTATCCCAGCCGGAGACCGCCTCTGCCTCTGGACGGAGGAGAACCTGTCGTCCCACGAGCTCGTGGACGCAGCTCGCGAAAGGAGAAGGCAGACGATCTGAATTCCAGCGGAGCACCTCCATCTGATCCGACGGGCTGCAGATGTCGATATCTCCGACGAGCACCCCGGCCGCAGAAGTGCTCAGTTGCTGGAGGACGTGATGGAGCTGGCCCAGTATTCGCTGCAGCTGGATTCGGGGAACCACATTCGCGTCGAAGTCGACATTCACCTCGATATGATTCTCCGCCACGCAGCATTCGAGCACGAGCGGATACGTGTGGAATCCCGCCCCGCCTCGCGAGGTCTGCTGCAGGCCGATGGGGCTGGCACGCTGGTTCTCGGCGGGCTGCACGACCAGGAGACTCTGGAAGTCGCACGCTCGCTGCGCGTCTTCGCTGAGCCGGCGGATGTTCTGCAGGCCCGCGTGCTCAAAGTCGATCATGCGGGCTGCCTGCTCCTGGATTCGCGAGAGTAGCTGTGCCACCGTAAGTTCCGCATCCACCGAGATCCGCAGAGGGACGGTGGTAACGGTTGGCCCGACCATCTTCTCGACGCCCGGAATGGCGGCATTGCGGCCCATCAAGGTAGCCCCGAAGACGCTCTCGGACGACTCGGAATATCTTGCGTGAACGATGGCCCACGCCGCCCGAACGAGCGTAGAAGTGGTCACGTCGGACTGGCTGCGCCCGAGGGGGAGAGTCTGGCTCAAAGTATGGTAGTCTGGGTTGGCCTTGCTTTGCATGGATGGCGAAGGAAAGTTGGACTGGGGGGGCTCCCGCCAGTTCAGAGCGCCAGAAGTCATCGCAGGCAGCCTGGTCAATCTGCCCAAGATATCTTAAGAAGCCGGAGAAGGGGGCAACCGTGGGCAGATTGGTCTCCTTGTACGCAGCCCCCACGGCGTCGAGGATGATTGGAATGCTCCATCCGTCGTAAAGGGCGTGGTGTGCAGTCCACACGAACCAGGTCTGCGCCGCCTCCGTGGTGATGTTGTACCTGGCCAACCGGCTTCCGTAGCCGACGGGGATTGCTGCGGTTGTCAGTGACTGATCCAGGCTGTTCGAGGAGTCCCAGTCAATAGTCTCTCTGCTCAACACCACTTGGAGGGTCCCGCTATCGCCTTCGATGATGCGCGAGCGCAGGATTGGGGTGTGGTCGACTACTGTCTGCCATGCAGCACGGAAACGATCAATGTCCAAGTCTACAGGCAGTTTGAAAACGTTGCGGAATATATAGGCTCCGGGATGGCGACGGGTGAGAGCCATCAGGCCCTCTTGCAGGGGTGTACAGGGATACGCATCCTCGATCGAGTCGGCGGGCAGCCCATGCGCTGATGCCAGCTGCAGGAGCTGCGAACGAGTTATGCCAGGCGGCAGGAGAGCAAAGGGGCTCCGGTGGTCCATTCGCTTATCATTCGCTACCTGGAGAGGCTTCATCAGCTCCACCATCTCCGACAGAACTGGCGAAGCGAATATTTCGGCGACCCGCAGCCGGAAGCCAGCATCCTGGGCAGCAGCCACAAGACGCATGGCGGCGATGGAGTCTCCACCCAGTCTCATGAAGCTGTCATCGACTCCAACAGCCTCGTCTGGGAGGTTGAGGATCTGTGTCCAGAGCCGGTGCAGTTGCCTTTGAGCGGCCGTCACTGGGGGTCTTTTCTGGGCATCTGCCAGCGAGTACACAGACACTTGGTCGCGGGTCAGACTGCCGGCAATCTCTTGGAGTCTTCGCCTGTCCATTTTGCCAGATGCGCTCTTGGGGAGAGCGTTGAGGCGGATGAAGATCGAGGGCACCATGAAAGATAGGAGACTATTAGCGAGCTTTGCAATCACTGTCTGTAGATCGAGGGAGTTGCTGTCCAGCTCCAGCGGCCGGACGGACTGGCCAGCTGCCGATTCCGTGGCGAAGAACAGAGCCAGTGTCTCGCTGGTGATCTCTGCAGTCGGCTTGATAACATGGGCAGCCACATCGACGATGCGTGTATCTGCCCGCTTGGCTTGGTGCTCGATATCGCCCAGCTCGACTCGCTGGCCGTGGAATTTGACCTGGGAGTCCTTACGAGCCACGTACTCGAGAGTTCCATCAGGGCAGTAGCGGACAAGATCGCCCGTCTTGTACATGCGGCGCGGCGTCTCTTGCCACGAGGCGCCGTCAACAAAGGAAGAGGCCGTCAGTTCCGGGTTATTCAGGTACTCACACGCCAGGAACGGCGATTCGACAAAGAGCTCCCCGATGCAGCCCACAGGCGCCAGCCGGCGGTGGTCCGACGGCTCGACTACCCACAGTGTACCGCCAACGCCACGTCCGATGTTGCTAGGTCGGGAATTGATGCCCAGGGTGGTGTTGACTGCGGCCGCCGAAGTTTCCGTCGGACCGTAGAGGTTCTGCAGGTCGACTGCATCCTTCCATGCGTCGACCACCGCAGGAGTCGGAGCTTCTCCCGCGAGCACCAGCGTCTTCAACGTCGGCGCATCCTGCGGGCGAATCAGTGCGGCAACCGTCGGGGTCAGATCTGCAAAATTGGCGTTGAGCTCGGTGATAGACGCCGCGAGGCGATTGATACGGTCCTGCTCCGCCGGAATGCAGAGGCAGCCTCCGCGGAACAGGGCCAGTCCAGTGTCCATGAAGCTGACGTCAAAGGTGTACGAGGCGAATTGAAAGACTCGAGTCTCGGGAGTGCCTCCCACAACGGGCCCGTGGGTGGCGATGCTGGTGGACAGGCTGGAGTGTGAGATGAGAATGCCCTTGGGAGTCCCAGTCGTGCCCGAGGTGAACATGACCGTTGCGATGTTGTGCGGCTGCACCAGGGGCAGAGATGCTTCTGGAGTAGAGGGCAGCGGTACGTCCACTGCCATTGTCGGCGCCGGACCGTCTGCAAACAGGCTCTCCAGGTCGGTGGTGGTCACGACAAGAGGCGCCTTCACCGCGTCAACAATGCGGTGCAGTCGCGCGCGAGGATGGGCAGGATCCAAGGGTACAACCGCGCCGCCAGCCTTCCAGATGGCAAATTTGACAATCGGCGCCAGCACCGATTTCCGCAAGCACATGGGGATCATGGCATCAGGGCCGCTGACTCCGCGGGCTACCAACTGCAGCGCCAATTCCGTGGATCGTTGGTCCAATTCGCGGTAGGTGAGCTGCCCGTCGTGGGCATGCACCGCTGGGGCATCAGGTCGAAGCTGGACCTGGTTGGCGAGCTCGTCGTGGGTGCACAAAAGGACCGGCTCGTGGTGCTCTTTGTTCCAGTCGCGAATCGCCGCCAGGTCTCTCGCCGTCAGCATGTCTATTTCAGAGAGTTGACCATTGTTCTCGTGGTCGTTGAGCTGCTGCAGCACTTGCTCCAGCTGATACAAGAGGCGTTGCATCTGCACTGGCGGAAGGACGCGGTCGTCGAAGCTGGCCACGAACTCGATGCTCCGCCCGTCCAGCTTGCACTCCAGGACGAGCGGGTAGTTGAAGAAATTGCGTGACTCGATCCTCTCTGCAGGCAGAATGGATGATCTCTCCCTCTCTTGCTTTGGCTGCACGATGAGCAGCGTGCGGAAATCACAGGCCGCCTGCGCAGCCGGGCCCAGACGGCGGATGCCCTGCAGGCCAGTGTGCTCGAACGGGATCATTGAGGCAGCCTGCTGCTGGATTCCCTGTAGGAAGTCAACCACCCTTTGGCCCGGGTCGATGCGGACGCGGATGGGCACTGTGGTGATGGTCGGCCCGATCACCGTGTTGACGTCCACACCAGGAAGAGACACGTTCCGGCCGGTCAAAGTCGCTCCAAACACGACATCATCCACTACATCGCCGTCCGAGTACCGCGCCACTAGCAGCGCCCAGGCAGCTCGGACCATGGTGGAGAGGGTGACCGAAGCCCCAGCGCGACGGGCAAAGTCAAATTGGTAGATGTGTTTTTGGCGTGATACTGGTGAGGGAGATGAGGCAGGGAAAGAGGCCGCCGGCGCATCGCGGAGCTGCTCTCGCCAATACTCTTCCGACGGCGGCAGATGCTCCTCGATATGGTGGATGAGGGCTTGGAAAGGGGGACTACCGACTACAGGCTGGCCCTGGTAGGCCTGTTCGACCATCTGGATCATCTGAGGCATGCTCCATCCATCGTACATGGCATGGTGCACCGTCCAGACAAAGTACCGGTCGCCCTCGGGCTCCTCGATCACGGCATAGCGAGCGAGAGGAGCGCCGTAGAGGAAGGGTGCGTCCCGGTCGTGTTCTACATACTGGTCTACGCTCGAGCCAGTCTGCCATTGGATCGCGTGCGAGACCGCGACTTGGAGACATCCTCCGTATACGTTGGAATGCACGATTCGGGTGCGCAGAATGGGCAGGGTGTCCACCACGGTCTGCCACGCGGCCTGCAGCCGGCCCAGGGCGACTGTTTCTGGCACTCGATAGACATGATGCGCCGTGTAGGCACCTTGCTGCCGGCTCGAGATGGCTATCTGGCCCTCCTGCAGTGCGGTGGCCGGGTAAGCGTCTTGGATCTCGCCTCGTTTGATCTGGCAGCGCGCGGCGACCTCAGCAAGGACTTCGTCTGCCGCGTCGCCCAGGAGCTGAAAGGGAGCTACTGTCGCTGCCACTGGTGCAGTTGTGTGGTCGGCGTGAGCCAGCAGGCTTCCAATCGTCTCCCCTTGAATATATCTTCCACTCGCAGCGCGATCCCTAGCATCTGCGCGCTGGTGGCCAGGCGCATGGCGGCGAGAGAATCCCCGCCCAGCTCGAAGAAGGTCGCGTTGAGGTCGAGGGGCTCGCTGAGGCGCATGCTCTTCCGGAAGAGCTCGCGAAGCCCAGTCGCGGTGAAATTGGAGCCAAGCTCCACGCCGTCGTCGTCGAGCAGGTCGTCGTCGATGGCCACGGTGACGTCGAAGCTGGGAGCCATGGCCTCGATCGCGTCGATGGACAACATAGTTGGTTCCTGGGGGTCGGACATGGCAGTTAGCTGTTGATAGTTACTCTCAGGCTTGTTCAGAGAAGCAGCAGTCATGAGTAAAAGGGTTTTAGGGTTTTGGATGTTCTTGTTTATGTTCTGGTTATGGTTATCGTTGTAGACGCTGGCAGTCAACTCGAGCTCGGGGTGACCTTGAAGCTTGAAGTTCTGAGACAACTGTGTCAAGCGAATCAACAGGGCTCTGTGAGCAGCTCTGGCAGTTGCTCGTCGGGCAGTATGCGAGGACTGAGCTAGGGTCCAGCAACATGCGAGCTCTACTGGTGGGTACGGCCAACGTCCGTTGGAGTACAGCTAGCAGTACTAGTGTATGTATGGTATGACAGGTATCTTTTGTACGTATGGTATGTATGTATCGTGTGTATTTGCGACGAGTCCTCTGTGCGAGTCAGGGCTGGCTAGGTGACCAGTCCCCTGTGAGCGATGTGAAACCGCCCCCAAGGCCCCCACGTCGAGCTGCAAAGCCAAGCGCGAGATAAGCCAACATAAGGCGTGCCATATCGCTGTCTCGGCGCGGGGGATTACAACATATTCCAAGGCCCCCCTCGGGCAGGAAGCCTGATTAGAGAGCCCCACAGCCAAAGCAAGGTGACATCGTGTCCATTGTGCAATATCAGTTGCCTCTACAACTAGGCTGTACTCGTCTGTCCAGCCTCCCTCTTCCTGCAATTCCCTCAACGATGCTTCTTGACAACCCGACCCTGATCCAGTCGGGCCCCGCGGCCGCAGCACCCCTCTTCCTGCTTCACGATGGTGGCGGCACCATCTTCAACTACTTCATGCTCGGCGACCTCGACCGGCCGGTGTACGGGATCCAGGACCCCAAATTCGGGAGCGCGGAGCAGTGGGAGGGCGGCATGGAGGAGATGGCCCGGCTGTACATCTCGTTTATCCGCGCGGCCGTACCTCAGGGGCCCATTCTGCTTGGCGGCTGGTCGCTTGGAGGGCTCACAGCCCTGGAGATTGCGCGCATCCTGGCCGGCGAGGCAACAGGCCTCCAGCTGCGTGGGCTGATCTTGATTGACAGCCCCCAGCCGGAGGAGTGGGCGAATCACCGCGACCGCTTCTGCGATGCCGATGTCTGGGTGACGGAGACGACGTCGGCCAAGACGAAGCAGGCGGTTGACTGGCGCATGGACGAGTGCGACAGGCTGCTGGACGGGTGGAGGGCCCCGCGCTGGCAGCAGCCACGGCCACGTGGCGGCCGGGCCGAGCCGCCCGGAAGCCTGACCCAGCGCGCGCACGGGCTCCTGCGGCACAACATTCTTGGGCGGGCCCCGCCGCCGCCAGAGCTGCTCGTGGCTGGCTCTCCTCCCCCGGTCGTTCTCCTGCGCGCAACCGATCGTGTGCCCGTCCCCGCTGGATCGAAGCCCGGCAGCCTCGTGGACGTCGACCTGCACCGGGACTCGACACAGCTGGGATGGGACCGCCTCGAGTATCCCCTGCTGCACGCGGTCTACGATATCCCTGGCCACCATTTTGACCTCTTCGAGGGGTATGATCGGGTGAGTGGTGACGAGTCGCTATTCTGGCTCAGGCTAACGTGCGTGCTCAGCTGGAGAAGGTTACGGAGCTGCTGGGCCGGATTTATCGTGAGATGGACGTGTAGATTATTAGTCTTGGTACGGAGTAGAAAGCTTGCATCCCAGATTCTGCATAATTAGGGCTCAACCAAGACTTTGGCGCTTGTCTGCTCATAATTCATATCGCAATACAGTAGATTCATATGTAATTATGATCCATGGTCGAGTGGTAATATTTTTGCACAACTGCTCCGCGTTCGAATCCCGCCTGGATCGACTAGCATCCTATTACTTTTTTATCGATCCTGCCACGAAACCATCATTTTTTGTAAATCTAAAGGGCTGTATAAGCTTTCTGTGTACTAGTAGTAATTAATTGATATTAATGCTCTGCAGCCCGCCCAAAGCGCCGTCGTCGCCCGAGTTTGCAGATTCAATGTGTCGAGATATATATCTCGTACTAAACCGCTACCAAGGGGACCACCATTTTCCACTCTCAACTAACAACACTACTGTATTGGAACCCAGCTGAAACGAACTTCTTAAGCTACAGGGGTCACCTAGCACACCTCTTCAATTTAATATTCAATTCGACTCAGTTCCAAGTGCACAACAACCATCTGTTCATGTCTCGAGTACTTCAAGGCGGATGACATGGATCGGATCGCAGCCGCATTACCGAGGCAACAAGGCAACAACACAAAACACGTGATCCCATCATGCCCTAAGAAGAGCATCCCTTCAGTATATACAATGATGTACCGAGAATAAATTCTACCATGGATTACATATGGACAAACGGCTAGAAGTCTCCGCGAAAGAAGAAGTATCGGTGTGCCATACGGCTAACATATGCGTCTCCGGGCTAGTATTACGGCAGTATCAGGTTCCAGATAGCTAGAAAAACCCGTCTTATAGTTGTTAACATCGCACGCGTCCTCGGATTGACAATGCTTCGAGAGATGGCACACAGTAGGCGGCATCTCAGCTGGACAGTCCGAAGATCAAAAGACCCAACACAACATGTCGTTCACATCGAAAGCACAAAGAGCCATCACCGTCTCTTGACACCATCGAAAATGCTACTTTCCCTCCTCCCTCGACCCCAAAGCACTTGTATGAACCGTCTCCACCGGCCAAATGCGCACCGTATTGAGATCCCAGATCCCCTGCGCGTACGGGTGATTGGCAAGTTGCTCGTGAACCGCCTCACGGCTGGCCGCACGGAGGGAAATCACATTCCCAGGTTTGGATGCAGCCTTCCGATGAGATGCAGTCGTCGTGTCCTCTCGAGGGGCATGCAGAATCTGCCCCGCGAACGTCTGATGAGCCAGGGAGATCGGCGCGGTGGGTACGGACGTTCGATCTCCATGTGGGAGATCGCGGATCACCACGAGACTGCATGATGCATCTGTTATCCATGGCTCTGGTAAGAAATAAGGTAGGGTTACATACTACTCGTGGAGCCGAGGACGTGCAGCAGCAGCAGCAGCAGCAGCAGTAGCAGCAGCCGTCTTGGCTACGCGGACAATGGATGGACTCGCCGACATAGTGAAAGGGATCTTGGGAATGAATGAGAAGGAGAGAAAAGATCAAGATAAAGGACGATGAGTAGACGCCTGCCGTTCTTACGAAGCCCGCGGACTGGCTAGGACTCCCTTGGGAAAGGCCTGCGTGATATGGACGACTACAAAAGCTAAAGAAGGGGCCACCCCCCCCAGGCTTACGCCGGACCATCCCTCAACGCTGAAAGACCAGCAGACACTGCTTCTTCAGACTCCCATTGCAGCAGCTCCTCGCGACCATGTCTTCTGTTCGAACCGCTGCCCGCGCTCTCCACACCGTGGTCACCAGCAAGCCGCCTGTGCGCGAATGGCTGGTCATTCTTCCCGACAATACTCAAGTGGCAAGGACCATCCCCAACACAATACCTGCGATACACATCACTAATAAAGTACCAGCTGGCCCGCCGTATCGCAATCCGGCCTCAGCACTCTCCCAATTTCGTGCGCCTCCACAAGGAGGGCTATGTCTCCTGGGCCGGTTCGTTTCCCCGCACTTTCCTATTCTGGTATTCATGGCCCCCATCTGTCTTGATTCTCTCGAGCTTTCAGCTGAAACCAACAAAGGCCCCATCTTCGCCCGGCCATTCGTCAAGGGCGCCGTCGAGAACCGCCCCTTTGTCGGCAGCGTGATGATCGTCAACGACACCGATCCTGAGGCAATCCGCGCGAAGCTCAAATTGGACATATACACGCAGGAAAGGATCTGGGACTGGGAGAATGCGGAAATCCTCCCGTTTCACACGTTGGAGCGCAGTCCTGCCGAGTTGGAGAAGTAAGGATCAAGCCCCCACCCCACCGTTGCTGCAAAATGTCACCCTTTGGCAGTAGTGTGTTCTTGGGCGGTGGGGCTGCTCATTGTTGCTGCCTGAACGCTTGCGCGAGATGGAGTAATCCTGGTGGCTTAAGAAGTTCGTTTCAGCTGGGTTTACAGTAGTGTTGTTAGTTGAGAGTGGAAGATGGTGGTCCCCGTGGTAGCGGTTCAGTACAAGATATATATCTCGACACATTGAATCTGCAAACTCGTCGACGGCGCTTTGGGCGGGCTGCAAAGATTAATTACTACTAGTACCTACACAGACAGCTTATACACCCCGCTCCAAGGTTACATTTACAGAAAATGATGGTTTCGTGGCAGGATCGATGAAAAAGTAACAGGATGCTAGTCTCAAGCTTTAGCGCTCGAGTGCCAAGGCATATAGATTGGCTTCGCCCGCAGTGTTTCTCACTTAGTATCATTTACACCATTTTGATTGGAGCTGCATGGCTAGTGTACTGGCGTAACGATACATAACGAATGTCAGAACCACCGCAGAGACAAATGTACCCAGAAACGAAAAAAAAAATAAAAATTGAAGAACAACAGAAATCACTTTGGAACACCCCAGTCCTTGCCCGGCTCAGGCAAGGCCACCCCCATCGCAACATCCACACGTTCCTCCATGGTGACATTGCCGTGTCTTCTGGCGAGGACAGCGCTTCGCACCGCGTCCCTCCAGCCGGCCCACCAGTCCTGCTCGCTCTGCACAGCACACCGTCGTCCGGCCTCATTGGCTGGCACATTTGCGAACGGCCAGATTACCTCGATGCACTCGTAGCGCTTCGTGGGGTCCCTTTTTGCAGGGGGCTGTGCGCTCCAGTAGAAGAGGTCCTTGAATGAGATCCTGGGCGACCCCTGCTGGACGACCACCTCTGCAAAGGTGGCGGGAAAGCTGATATCCAGGGCGCCCCGGTACCGCGTCGTGGCGATCGTGTTGCGGATCAGGCCCTCCAGGCTGCCTTGGTCGAAGTTGACCACGCGGCGCTTGAGCGAGAAGCTGAGGAAGGCGAGGGCCCGTAAGCGATGGAAGACCATGCCGCCAAGGGGATGAGAAACAACAAACGTACCTTTTCACCGGAGCGGGATCCTCACAGTACTGCACGACCAGCTTCTCCAACTCCGCCGGCGCAGCTCCGGCCGTGGGAACCGGTTCACCGTTGGCAGAGATCCTGCCCCCGTCGAGCTTGCGATACGACCAGCGTTCGCTGTCCGAAACCAGCAGCGGGAGCAGGTTGAGGGTGAGATCGAAGTCGCTCTTGACCTCGCCATAGACGGAATGCGATCCGCGTATCTGCAGGAGTAACTTCGGGGGCAGATGCGCCTGCTCGTGCATCAGCTGCAGGAGGGCGTGTGGATCGCAGCTGAAGCGTTCGTCGCGCGTTACCACCGCCACGCGGTCATCTTGCAGGACGGCACCTGCGATTCGATACTGGGTGTAGTCTATGGCAAGGTGCTGCTGCTGCTGTTGGAAGAGGAGGCCCGGGCTGGATGTGGATGTGGAGGTCGACGGTGGGGGCCGATCGGCCGTCGACGAGTAAACGGGGGGCAGCGGATTGGCGTCCTGCTTCGAGTCTGCCATGACGGGGAGCCTGTTGCTTACGATGTACTGACTGGGTGGGGGCTGATGCGATCTTAATATATCCGATATACTGACTGGGTGGGGGCGTTCGCAGGCCACGCTGCCAGGTGGGGGCTGATGCGACCTTAATATATCCGATAAACTGACTGGGTGGGGGCTGATGCGATCTTAATATATTCGATGTACTGACTGGGTGGGGGCGTTCGCAGGTCACGCTGCCCAGGTGGACACGCCACTGGCGTCAGCCACTGCAGATCAGCCCAGCAAGGTGGGTGGAGCACACGTATCAATACTAGCGTGTATATTTCGATTACAGTACAGACTAGATTACTGAATTACACACGGAAACAACACGACCAACGAATCTGACTCATGCGGAGTGGAGCAGCTGCGCGAATGTAGAACTCCCCTGCAGCAGCAGCTCCTGGGCGTTGCCCAGCTCAACGAGCTGCCCGCCGCCAAACACCGCAACCTGGTCGAAATCCACCAGCGAGGCGACCCGGTGGGCCACCGAGATGACTGTGCAGTGCCGGAGCTCGTTCTGCAGCAGATCCGCTACGAGGGCCTCGGTGTCGCTGTCGCCGCTGCAACCTTGTTAGTTTCGAAACAGCGTGTTGGGGAGACTGGATTCGATGTGGCCTACCTGCTCGTCGCTTCGTCCAGCACAATCACGCGGGACCCATGCATCAACGCCCGTGCCAGACTGAAGAGCTGCTTCTGGCCGTGGGAGAAGGGGACCAGGGCCATCTCCGCGTCCAGGCCGCCGGCCGCGGCAATCGAGTCCCACAGGCTCACTCGCTGGAGGGTCGCCGTGATGTCCGCATCCGACACTGTACCTGTTGGGTCTGCGTTGAAGCGCACCGTGCCAGACAAGGTGTGCGCGTCTTGCGCAACCGCTGTCAGGCGATGGCGCACCACTTCCTTCGGCACAGTCGCCAGATCAACCCCGTCCACGACGATGGAGCCCCCTTCGATCTCCATCATGCAGAACAAGGAGAGGATCAGAGACGTTTTGCCGCTGTTTCCGGGTCAGCGTAGGAACGGGGCTGGAGAGAAAGAGATGCTACGAGTCGTACCTTCCAGTCTTCCCGCAAATGCCGACCTTCTCGCCCGGACGGATGTGTAGATTGATGTCGTGGAGCACTGGCTCTCCGCGGCTGTGCATCACTCGCTGGTTAGTGGATGATCACCGTGAAGAATTAACACAAACGAGGAACCTACGTATAAGACGCCGACAGGTTGCGAATCTCGATTTCACCGCGCGACGGCCAGTCCGCCGGCGGCTCAGAAGCATCCTCGCCCGTATCCTCGCGCTCTGTCGCAGCGGCAAAGGCCTTGACACGTGAGATGGACCCAATAGAAGTTTCCAGCTGAGTCCACGAGGTGACGAGGAACTTCATCGTCTGGTTAAACGACATGATGTTCAAGAGCGCGACGCCCGTATACCCGGGGCTGACCAGCGACTTTGCCTGCATGGCGAGGACGATCAGAACAATGGCCATGATGGCGATGATCATGTCGATGGTAAAGTTGAGCCATCGTTGGATGGAAAGCAGGAGGTAGTACGGCCGCTGCGTGGTGTCGAGGTAGCGGAAGTTGCGCACCGCGTATTGGACTTGCCAGCCGTAGGCACGCAGCGTGACGAGCCCGGAGAGACTCTCTTCGAACTGGGTGTAGAGGGAGGACTTGGACTCGAGGTCGAGGAATCGCAGCTGGCGGGAGGTGCGCAGGTAGTACTTTTGCAGGAAGTAGAAGACGACGAAGAGCAGGGGCACGGCGAGGGCGATGTACTTGGCCGAAACAGCGAGCAAGACAATCTGCCCGACGCAGGTGAGGGCGGCTAGTGGAGATCAGCGTGTGACGGTTAGGGAGACAGATAGACAGAGTCGTATGAAGAGGACTGACCGATTGCTGCACTCAGCGCCGCCGAGGGCAGCTCCATGTCAATAAGCATCAGATCTTGACTGAATCTGTCGTTCTTGGTTAGCACTCTGAGCGGGGGAGAGGACGAGGGGCTGCTAACCGGTTGAGCGTGGTTCCAATGTCGGTAGAGGCGAAGAAATGCATGGTGGCTCTGGTTCAATGGTTAGAGGACATGTTCCCTGCTGGACAGGGGGCACGGGGCTACTCACTGGGAGACCGTATCGGCGAGGACTCCATGGAAATGAAGCGCAGAGTCCGGGACCATGAACAGGAAAGCATCCCTGCGACAACACCGTTAGCGCTGGCAAGCAGTGACTTGTCCTCCAGTAGAGAAACATACCAACAGCCCACGATGAGAGCGAGGACAGAGCCGAACCCGAGCGCGGCATAAACGCCCACATATTTGCCCGTCTCGGCGCCCGCATGCTCGAGCTCGCTCTCGGACCACCATTTGATCCAAATGTCTGTCCTGGTCAGCAGTGCGATGCGGATGAGGATCAGAGGATTTCACTCACTGGGGAACGACGTCCCAAACACAAAGATGACCATGGAAAACAAAAACACGCCCACCGCAAACCAGCCAAAAGCCTTGAAATAGAATCGGTACACGGTCCAGTCACCTGTACTGCGCGCCAGGTCCTCTTCCGAGGGGAGCTGGACATTGAGGCCGGCGTCGGCTTCGTCGACTGACTCTACATCAGGGGCAATCGGTGTCATCCCAAGCCCCTTCTCGACCGAGCCCTGGAGCTGGCTGACGACGCTCTGGGTCTGGGTCTGGGTCTCGGGGGTCTCGATGCCCGCTAGAGATGGGGGGGCTGCTTCCTTCACAGGGGGTAGCGAGAGGCCGAAGACGTATCCCTCCCGCTCCAGGAGCTCCTCATATCCTCCCTGCTCCACAATCCGGCCCTCAGAGCCGAGGACGATAACGTGGTCGGCAGAGGGGAGACGTCGAGCTGCAGTTGTCAGTGACGGATCCAGGATGTAGAGCGCAACAAGGAAGAACAAGAGAGAAACTCACGATTAGAGCTGGTCCAGATGACGGTGCGACCCTGTCCGCGCAGGAGACCATGCGGCCCTAACACACGGTCAAAGACGGCCTTCTCGGTGTCGTTGTCTAGCCCGCTCAGGCAGTCATCCAGGAGCAGGAGTTCGTGCTGGCTGTAGACTGCCCGGGCGAGATCCAGACGCTGCCTCTGCCCGCCGCTGAGAGTCACGCCTTTGCTGCCGACCTGCGTTTGATCGCCCAGCGGCCAGCTCGCAATATCGGGCTCCAGTCCGCATGCCGCCACGACGGTGCGGTACCAGGCGGGCTGGTACTGGTAGACCCCAAGAATACCTTGCTGGACGGTCCCCACCGGGGATCCACGGGGACTGGGCACAGTACGCAAGATCCCAGGAGGACAGGCCGACGAAGCCTTCAGAGACAGGAAGCTCGCCAAGGAGGGCCATCAGGAGGGTCGTTTTGCCCGACGCAACGGGGCCAATGACCATGTTGACCGTTCCCCGTTGGATGCGGAAGCTGATGGCTGGTAGGGTCGGCTCGGCGCCGGGAGCCCAGCCAAAGGCGCCCTCGTGCACGACCACCGTGTGGCGAGCCATTAGAGACCGAGCCATGACCCGGGCCTGTTTCTCGGAGGCGCTGTCTCTGCTAGACAGGGATTCGACGGTGGTCGTGGACGGATTGAGTGCGCCGCAGACTCGGGATTCCTCGCGGTCGGGGAGGCGGAGATACTCCTGCACGCGATCGATGCACGCCCGGGCACCGATCAGGGTCGGAACTGCGGTGTAGAGGGTCGCCAGGGGCCCGGTCAACAGGGCAAAGACGGAGAGCGAGGTGAACGCGCGTGTTGTGCTCAAATCGCCACGGTGCGTCAGCGCATAGACCAGAAAGGTCAGGACCGGGGCGATGACGGGAGTGGCGGTTGCTGGAGAATGGTTAGCACATATGCACAGGGGCGTGATGTAGCGAGCAGAACGCACTGAGCATGATTGTCCCCAGGAAGATCTTGCGCAGTCGCTTCGACGCCTCCACCTCCACTTTCCGAAGATCGCGGATGATCTGCCATGCTGGGCCGGCGAGACCAGACAAGCGCAGCGATTTCATGATGCCCAGCGTCCCGGCGGTGGTGGCGACGCGCTGTTGGATGGCCAGAATCCACGCTGTCTGGCCTTTGGTAACGCGTTTGGCCAGGATGACAGCCAGGATACTCGCCACTGCGGCTGGTTAGCGGGCTGCATCACAGATCAAGATACAAGACGACATACCAATGCCGAATCCGACGGGGATCACGACGGCCACACCCAGCTGCCGCTCCAGCAGCCAGATGGCAATGGCGAGCTCGACCACACTGGCCCACGTCTCGTGAACCTGCGTGACGCCGCCAGCGATCCGCTCGATGTCGGTGCTCATCAGCGTGATGGCGGCGGCAGGGCTGGCGGCGCTGGACGGGAGCAATAGGGTCTTGCGGTAGATGGCGGCGACCAATCCACCACGGATCTCGACGACCAGCCGGTTGGATTTGTGGCTAAACTGGCCGGTGGTGACCTGGCGGGGATGAGCAGGGGAAACCGGGGAGAGGGACAAGGGCAGGACAGGGGCTGACGAACCGCAATTCCAGTGTACACCAGCGCATACGCACCCACCATGGCGTATCCATGGTTCTTGTTGACCGGCGTCGAGGGCGCCGCGCTGAGATTGATCGCCGTCTCGATGAGAAAAGGCTGCACAACCGTCAAGGCGACCAGGCAGGCGCGCGGGACCAGACCAGCCAGCAGCGTCCACTTGAAACAGCCGACGAGCGTCCACAGCAAGGCATTGCGCGAGGTGGACTGTCTATGCCGCTGCCAGTGGTCCGTCACGTTAGCCTGGATCCCCTCCGAGTGTAGTTTGCGGTCGAGCGAGAGGAGGTCGCGCAGCGTGAGGATCTCCCTGGAGCCCCGGAGGAGTAGTGGGTTCACCCAGCCAAAGGCCGCGCGGTTGAAGAAGCCGGCCAGCGCCTCGGGTCCGTAGTGCTGGTAGCTCGGCAGCAGGGTCGCTCGCTTCTTCTCGACGCTCTCGGCGACGAGCAGCGAGGCTTTGAAGGCGAATGCGGTGGTGTAAACGATGGGGATGGCGCGGCTCACGGGGACGAGCCACAGCGTCCGGACGATGGCGAGATCAAACAGGACGTTGAGCGACAGGAAGGCGAGGATGACATTGCCAGGGCGGACGGTGCGGACGTGCTGCAGCCACACCAGGACGGCGAGCAGCAGGCTTGCGAAGAAGGAGACGATCGAGACGGCGATGGTTGCCCGCGTGCGGTATGCGTCCAAGCTGCGCAGGACCACCAGGACGAGCTGCAGCTGGGCCAGCGCAGCAGAAACAGCCTGGCCGATGCGATCGCGTTAGTGTCAGCTCTCCAGCAGCCAGAGGGCGTACCGACCACTTTGCCCGCTAACCACCACCCCTGCTGCACCTTGCGGGCTCTCCCCAGCAGGTGCCAGACATACGGCGGGCCGACGAGCAGGAGCGCAACGGCCGGAATGAGGGTGAGAATGCTCTCCTCGAAGAGCAGGGTGAAGTCGAACTGTCCTCGACAGCCGCCGGCCCAGGGGCCAAAGGAACGGTCGTTGTCCAGCGTGCAGTCCATCGGAGGCTGCGATAAGGACGATAAGCTACGAAGTTGGAGGACGATCGAGCCATCGGCGACGGGGGTGTGTTTTGAAGAAGGGCATCGTTTTCCCCCTGCAGCGCCCCCAAGCGCCCCAAAGCCACTGCAGCGCCCCCAAAGTTCCTGCAGCGCCCCCAAAGCCCCCAAGGGCCCAAGCCCTCTTGGCCGGCATCAGGACAGGCTTCGGCCGGCCTACCCGGTCGTTTTGCGTGATACAGCGTATGGTGTATGTACGGGTTCGGGGAATTTCTGCAGCTAGTCGATCGCTAGTGCAACGTCAGGCTGATCTGGGGGCCGTGGGGGCCATGGGGGCGGTTTCCAACACTCTGCAAGGCTGCAGGCAGGCTGACAGGGATCGGCACCTCCGTATGGAGCAGAGTACAACATACTGTGTAACCACCCTCTCTGCGTTCTATTTAGGTGGAGCACGCGTCCGTCGCTGTGTCTGGCATGATTCCCTGTCAGCCCGTTTGCAAGGCTGGATTGGATAACTGCACGATGGGGCGAACTAAGAAAACCGGGCGGGCAAAGAACCCTCCTTCCCGACCTTGTCCTCCTGCTTCGCCTTCTTCTCTGCCATTGACCAGCGCTGCCGACGAAGCAGAGACGGTCGTCGAGTGTTTCTTCTCCCTCCTTGACGCCTCCGCCCACAGCCCGTCGGCGTTTACCGAAGACCTCATCCACCTGTTCGAGAGTCCAGCGCGGCGGGAACCGTTGCTACGTTCGTGGAAAGCATGGCGTGACAAGAATAATCGCACACTGCAGAAGAGTCTGCCAACTGTACGAATTACAAACATACCCCAGTCTGGGCCTCCGGCGCAGAAGGTTCAATTTAGACGAGCACTCACGCCCGCACCCGCACTCACACCCGCACCCGCACCAGCACCAGCACCAGCAGTTGGTGTGTGGTGCCAGGGGCCGCCAGTCGCTCGTCTCGAGCAGGAGGAAGTGACAGAGGTCGAGGAGGTCTCTGAGCCGGTGCGCGGCCGGAAGAAGAGGGTGGTGGTGGCCTGGGGGTGATCGAGGGAGCTGGGAAGCTGGGAGGCTGGTAGAGAGAGGCGCTTGTAGTAAGCCAGAGAGATATAAATATATCATACTGCAACCAACATCCACGTTTCTGGCTCGAATTTTCCCTTAGTTTTGCCCATGCACGTAAGCAACATGCTGCAGCTGGAGGAGGTCTATATTGTCTCAGCCGCCCGAACCCCCCAGGGCGCCTTTCGCGGGCGAGTCTTGTTGTCGGATGCGTTGCTCTACAGTTCTGACGCCCTTCCAGTTCCTTGCGCGGCCTCTCTGCGATTCAGCTAGGTTCGTGTGCAATCAAGGGTACGTTCGCGATGTGCAGGCTTCTCTGTGTGGCGTGCTGATCCCCACTATTAGGCACAATCGATCGTGCAGAGGGCATTGACCCAAGTGCGGTGGAGGAAGTGTTTATGGGAAATGTTCTCTCTGCTGGGCAAGTGACCTACTCTTTCTGTTGCACACACACATCTATGTGTATATATACCTCTCTCTTGCGCGTACTGACCGACTCTTCGCCTCCTGCAGTCTCGGCCAGAACCCAGCCCGACAATGCGCCCTCGCCGCTGGCCTCCCCAACACCACCGTCTGCACCACCGTCAACAAGGTCTGCTCTTCGGGAATGAAGGCAATTACGCTGGCAGCCCAGACGATTGCCTCCGGCCAGGCAGACATCGTCGTCGCCGGGGGCATGGAGTCCATGTCGAACGCGCCTCTGTACATCCCCCCGAACGCAGGCCGGCAACAGGCGCTGAACGGGCTGCTCGTCGACGGACTGACTGATGCGTACGGCAAGAGACATCACATGGGGATCAAGGCGGAAATCTGCGCGTCGACCCATCGCATCCCGCGGGTCTTGCAGGACGAATACAGTGTGGAGAGCTACGAGAAGGCGCAGACTGCACAACGACAGGGCTGGTTCAACGAGGAGATTGTGCCTGTTACCCTGGATGACCAGCAGGTGGTGGACCACGATGAGCTTCCTGGCAAGGTAAGATTCTCAGAAGCAACAGCAACGGCAACAGCCACAGGATCTGACCGACACAGCTCGATCGAGAGAGGCTGCCGACCGTAAAGCCCGCATTCTCCCCCCAGCGGGGGAACCGTGACGGCGGCGAACTCGTCTCCTCTCAGCGACGGCGCCTCTGCGGTGCTTCTGATGTCTGGGACGAGGCTGCGCGAGCTCTTGATCGAACCGTTGGCCCGTCTGCGAGGCTGGGCCGACGCCGCCACCGACCCTTCCCAGTTTCCCACGGCGCCTGCACTCGCTATCCCCAAGGCTCTCCGTCGGGCGAGCGCGACCCTGGAGGAGATGGATGTAATCGAGATCAACGAAGCGTTTGCGGTTGCGACCCTTGCGAACATCCAGGTCCTGGGGATCAACCGTGCCAAAGTCAACCAGCACGGGGGCGCGGTCGCTCTGGGTCATCCGCTGGGTGCGTCGGGCAGTCGCATTGTGGTGACGCTGCTGTCGGCGATGAAGAGGAAAGGAGGCAAGCTGGGCTGTGCGGCGGTGTGCAATGGAGGAGGAGGCGCGAGCGCACTGGTCGTGGAGATCAGCTGAATGTAGATCAGACAGAGATATTATTAGTGTAGACACTCCCCACCGGGCACAGCTCATCCAATGCTTTTCCTGCAACCGTCCTTTTCCTGTTTTTCTCCCTCTTCTCCTCCGGCACAACTTGTAAGATGCTGAGCCAACGCCTGCTGCATCGCTATCCGCTCCATGCGCAACTGCGTGAGCGCCCTCGCGCTCGCCCTGCGACACCGCTGTCTATCCTGCTCCAGACTCGCTACAGTTCAGCGCAGGCAGGAGCGACCATCGACCTCCGTACGACCGTCCCCGCGCCGCTGGACCTGCCCGCCCGACAGCCCGGACAAGGCGCCGCGAGCCACCTGTATGCGACGGGCAAGGCCTACCTGGCCTTCTACCGCACAGGCCTGCGCCATGTCTGGCTGAACTACCGTAGCGCCCGCGGAATCCAGCGCTCCCTCCGCGACCAAGGCCTGACCGTCCCGCAGGCCATCGCCAAAGGCCGTCTGACGCGCGCGCAATTCCAGCTCCTGCACCGCAATCGCCATGATATCCGGCGAGTGCCCCTTTTCGCCCTCGTCTGTGTGTGCTGCGGCGAGCTGACTCCGCTCGTCGTGCTCCTGCTGGCAAACCAGGTGCCGTGGACGTGCCGGACGCCCTCGCAGGTGAGAAAGTCCCGGCAGCGCCAGGACGCGCTGCGCATCTCCGGCCAGCAGCAACAGAATATCGCGCACAATGGAAACGGCAGAGAGGCATTGGTGCGGGCCTCAGGCGTGCTGGGTTTGCGTGGTCGTTGGTTGCGGCCCCCAAAAGGCGTGCTGCAACACCGTCTCGATCGCCACGTGAACTACTTGGAATGCGACGACAGGCTTATCTTGTCATCGCCCGATAAGGATGGCCCACGCGAGTGGGCTGTGACAGAGGTGGAATCGGCGCTGGTGGATCGAGGGATCAGTGTTTCCGGGAGGTCGGAGAAGGAGCTGAGGGACGCGCTGGACAACTGGCTGTCAGATCGCTCGCAGGCCGACGTGCGGGGTCTGCTGCAGCGCAGGGTAGAGGGCTGTTCAACGGCATAGATCATGGGGTTTTGGAGATTGAGATGGCAGGGGTCGGCAGTAGTGGCAATCCTGGACCCTGTTTTCTTGAGTCGAGCAATACTAGTGCATTACCAGCTGTATCATCCTTGCCTGCTGTATTACCGTTACCGTAGATTGCCCCGGGGTAACCTCCGACTAGCAGTCTTGGACTAGAGATGCTTTGCTTGGAGCTGTTGGAGCTGTTGGAGCTGCTGCTGCTGCTGCTGTTGCGACCGCTGAGAAGACGCGCTGGACATGCAAGAGGAGACACTCAGAGTGAACCGTTGACCATTGCATCGCAGCTAACGCTGTACACTCGCAAAGACAGAAAACAAACTACAAACTACAAACACACACACACACACACACACACACACACACACACACACACACACACACACACACACACAGGCAAGTCCTCCCTTCGCTACGTGCTAACCCTACAACACTGCAACCATGGCGGACAGCAAATCGAAACCCGTCAAGATCCGCAAGGAGCTCATTCAGGACATCTACTCGTGCACCCCTCTCCAAGAGGGCCTCATGGCGCTCTCCATCGGGCGACCTGGCGCCTACGTCGCCCAAAACACCTTTGAACTCGCCGCCGCCGTTGACATGGACCGATTCCGCCGCGCCTGGGACGCCGTCGTCGCCGCGACCGACATCATGCGCACCCGCATCGTCGCCTCGGAGAAGGCGGGCGCTCTGCAGGTGGTGCTCAAGGCCGAGGAGCCGCTGGGATGGCAGACCGGGACCGACCTGCGCACGTACAGCGAGGGTGCGCGCAACCAGCCCGTCCAGTACGGGGCACCGCTCGTGCAGCTGGGCCTGGTGACCGACGAGGCCAGCGGCCGGCGGTACTTCGTGTTGACGACGCACCACGCCGTCTTTGACGCGTGGAGCATGGCCCTGATCCTGCAGCACGCGGAGGAGGCATACCGCACCGGATCGGCCGGCCAGGTGCAGCTGCTGCCGTTCAAGCTCTTCATCCGGGCTCTGCGGGCCGGCCAGAGCTCGACATCGACCGACCAGGCCTTTTGGACGGATTACCTCGAGGGCGCCGATCCCCCGGATTTTCCAATCCTCCCCGCCGCAGGATTCGCTCCGCGTGCAGGGGCCAGATTCGACTATTCGATGCGCATGACAACTGGGGCTTCCCGATCCATCACTGCCGGAACCTGTGTACGCGCAGCCTGGGCGATCCTTCTCGCCCGGTATACCGCAGTCGACGATGTGACGTTTGGAATGACCCTGTCCGGGCGAGACGCCAACGTCCGTGGCATCGAGCAGCTCGTCGGGCCCACCATCACCACCGTCCCCGTCCGGGTCCGCGTCCCTGCTGTGTCCACAGTGGCCCAGTACCTCCAGAAAGTCCAGGGCGAAGTCACCGCCATGATCCCGCACCAGCACGCCGGCCTGCAGCACATTCGCAAGATGAGCCCGTCCGCCCGTGCCGCAGCGCAGTTCCGCACCCTGGTCGTCGTTCAGCCTGCGCTGGCGCGGGGAAAAAGCAGCAGCCAGACTCGCCAAGCAGCCTCGTCGCTGGAGATGACGCACGTCCCTGCTGAGCTGCCGGGCTTCCACACGTATGCGCTGGTGGTCGAGGTGAAGCTCGGCGCCGACCAATGGACGCTCGAGGCTCAGTACGATGAGGCGGTGATTTCGCAGCCGCAGATCCGGCGTATCCTGCACCAGTTCGAGAACATTGTCAGCCAGCTGCTGGTTGGCAAGGAGACTCGGCCGCTGGGCGAGGTCGGCACCGTCAGCCAGTTCGACCAGGACCAGATTGGCGAGTGGAATGCCGCGCTTCCCCCGCGCATCGAAGAGTGCATCCACCAGCGCATCCTGCAGCAAGTCCGCGCACGGGTACCTGAGCGAGCCGTCTGCGCGTGGGATGGAAGCTTCACGTACAGGGAACTTGGGCACTGGTCCGAGCGACTGGCTCAGCTCCTCGCTGGCCATGGTGTTGGGCCGGGAGTCAAGGTGCCTCTGTGCTTTGAAAAGTCCAAGTGGGCTATCGTTGCCATGCTGGCAGTACTTCGAACGGGCGCAGCGATTGTCCCTCTTGACCCAAAACACCCTGAAGGGCGATTACGCACTATCGCCCAGGCTGTTGGTGCCACTATTGCGGTGACAGGGGCGTCGACGGCGTCCACCATAGCGAAAATTGTAGGCCGGGTGGTTACTCTCGACACTAACAGCCCTTGGAATGAGCACCAGGCTCCAAAAAGACCCCTCACATCCCGCGTACGGCCAGACGACCTGGCAGTGGTCATGTTCACTTCTGGAAGCACCGGCGAGCCCAAAGGCGTGCTGCTCCGACACGACAACATCGTCACCAGCGCGCAGGCCCACGGAGAAGTCCTAGGCATCGGCCCGGAATCGCGCGTATTCCAGTTTGCCGCATATACCTTTGATATCAGTCTGCAAGATATTTTTACCACACTCATCCGCGGTGGGTGCGTGTGCGTCCCCTCGGAGGATGATCGCCTGAACAACCTCCCCAGTGCGATCAACCAACTACAGGCCAACCATGCATGCCTCACGCCCACGGTGGCCTCTCTGCTCACACCGGCGGAGGTTCCGACCATGAAGACTCTGACCCTGGCTGGAGAAGCCATCACACAGACCGCCGCCGATATCTGGTCGAGCGCCGTGGATCTGAACAACTGCTACGGACCGGCCGAGTGCACCATCTACTGCGCGTGGCAGGGCCAGATCGGCGAGACAGGCCGAGTCGGAGACATTGGCCGAGCAATCGGAGGCGTACTATGGGTGGTCGACCGTGACGATCCGCAGCGGCTGGCCCCCATCGGCGTCACTGGCGAGCTCGTCGTCGAGGGGCCCATCGTGTCCGACGGCTACCTGAACGACCCAGGCCGCACGGCGCAGAGCCTCCTGGATAACCCAGCCTGGCTGCAGCTGGTACAGCGTAGCGGACGTGTATATCGAACAGGAGATCTAGCACGGTACAACGCCGACGGCAGCCTGCGGTATCTGGGGCGAGGCGACAACCAGATCAAACTGCATGGCCAGCGAATTGAACTCGCCGAAATCGAAGCGAATATCCTGCACAATGCATCGGTGCAGGCGGCGCTTGTGATGCTTCCACGCAAGGGACACTGCTCCAACAAGATTGTGGCCCTGCTCTCGTTCCCAGGCAGGACACCGCGAGCAAAGCGATTCGGGTGCTGGAAAGGGCAGCGAAAGAGGCGGCCATGGCGCAGATTTCGCGCGTCCGCCAGCACCTGTCGTCCCAGCTGCCCGAGTACATGGTGCCGACGCTGTGGCTCCCGCTGGCTGCGCTTCCACTCAACACGTCTGGGAAGATCGACCGGGCGGGGCTGCTGAACTGGGTTGAAGCCCTCGACGAGACGCTGTACCAGCAGGCACTGGATGCCGTGGGCGACGATGACACGGAGGATATTGTCGCGACCGAGCTGGATGTGGCGCTGCAGGCCGCTGTTGCGAAGACGCTGAATCTCACCGAGTCAACACCCTCCATGGGCAAGTCCTTTGTCCGTCTGGGCGGCGACTCAATCACGGCGATGCAGCTGGTGACGCGGTGCAGGGCCGAAGGCATCCTGATCAAGGTGTCTGACGTGCTGCAAAGTCCTTCCATCAGCCAGCTGGCCCTTGCGGCCCGCAAACTCGATGTGGCCGAGACGACGCACTATGAAGAGGTGCTGGACCAGTGGTTCACACTCTCGCCAGTGCAGCTATTCTACTTTGGCCTGGCTGGAAACCATGTCAACCACACCAACCAGAGCTTCTTCCTGCGGCTTGACCAGCCAGCCTCAATTGCCGACCTCAGCAGCGACATTGAGAGCGTAGTGCGCCGCCACTCCATGCTGCGAGCCCGATTTGGACTGGAACATGGAGGGTGGAGGCAGAAAATCACCACCGACATCTCAGGATCGTACCGATTTCAGGCACACGACGTCGACTCGCGCACTGCCATCGCCTCCCACATGGCCAGCAGCCAGGCTGCCATTGATCCCGTCCATGGTCCCCTCCTGGCGGCGGATGTCTTCAACATCAAGGGCGACGGCCAGCTGTTGTATATCGTCGTGCACCACCTGGTGATTGACCTGATTTCATGGCGGGCGATCCTCACCGACCTCGAGTCGCTCCGCAAGGCTCGCCAGACTAGCCCCCCTACAGCCCGTCTCCTTCCAGGCCTGGGTCTCTGCGCAGGCGCGGCACGCCCGCGACCACCTCCTGCTGGACCGCGTGCTACCGTACGAGGTGCCCCAGGCCGACTACGCCTTCTGGGAGATGCAAGAGCAGCCCAACGTGCAGGCAGACATCACGACCCAGAGCTTTGTGCTGGACCAGGTGATAACCCAAAAGCTGCTCGAGGAGTGCAACACTCCCCTTGGAACAGAACCCGTCGAGCTCTTCCTAGCGGCGCTGAACTACTCGTTCAAAGCCACCTTCCCCGACCGTAGTTTGCCAGCCGTGTATATAGAGGGCCACGGCCGTGAGAGCTGGGATCAAGCGAAATGGGACCTCGGAGGCACTGTTGGGTGGTTCACCACCATCTCGCCTCTGCATATCTCACACGCAAACTCCCTCTTTGAAGCGGCTCGACAAACCAAAGATCGGCGTCGCAGCCTCCCCCAGCACGGCGGACCGTACTTTGCCGCCCGCTACCTCACCCCAGAAGGCCGCGAGCGCTACGGAAATCACGCGCAGATGGAAGTCTTGTTTAATTACATGGGCCAGTTCCAGCAGCTCGAGGCCGTGGACGCGGTCTTGAAGCCAGAACCCAAGCAGGGTGACGAGATTGCCGTGTCCGATGTCGGTTCGACGGTGACTCGCATGGCGCTGATCGACGTCTCGATCGTGATCCTACAGGGCGTCGCTCGCTTTGACTTTGCCTTCAGCAAGCGGATGGCCAAGCAGCATCTGGTCCGCAGCTGGGCACAGAACTACAGGCACGCCCTGGTGGAAATGTGCACTGTCCTATCGTCAACGCCGCCTCAGCGGACACTCGCGGATTTCCCACTCTGGAAAACGTCGCACGACGACTTCGATCAGGTGCGCGCACTCGCCTTCCCGGGGGGCAACTTCGAGGAGGCAGTCGAAGACATCTATCCCACTTCTCCCATGCAGCAGGCGCTGTTCCTCAGCCAGAGCCGCCAGGATGGACTGTATGAGACGGCCTTCACTTTCCGGCTCACCGCAGCCTCCGGACCAGTGGATGTCGATCGTCTGCTTGCCGCCTGGAACCACGTTGTCGACCGGCATGCGATGCTTCGAACAGTCTTTGTCGAGCGTGCCCGGGGAGATGGGCTCTTTGACCAGGTGGTGCTGCGACGTGTCTCGCCGTCGACAATCTGCATTCGGCCCGACTCTGTGTCTGCCTGAGACACCCTCGAGCAATGCCCTCGAAGCTCACACGGCGGCGACGAGAACACTCTTCGTCCACTGCACCGTCTTGTTGTCTGCGAGGCACCCTCGAAGGAGCTTCTGGTCCGCCTTGAAGCCAGCCACGCCATCCTCGACGCAGCATCCATCGGCTTGATGGTGCGAGATCTGCAGCTCGCCTACCAGAACCTTCTCCCCCTCGACACGCGCGGCTCCCTACAGCGAGTATATCCGGTATACCCAGGACAAGCCCGAGGGTGCTGCAGTCCAGTACTGGACGACCCACCTCGCCAACGCACAGCCCTGCATCTTCCCCTCGACCTGGAGCAACGAGCCTCCAGTGCTAGAGTCCACAGATGTCGAGCTCACCGTCTCCCTCGCCCAGCTTGCCCAGCTCGGCGAGACCATTTCCGCCACGGTTCCGAACATCCTACGTGCTGCATGGATCCTTGTCCTACGAGCATACACTCTAAGTGAAGATGTCTGCTTTGGTTCTCTTGCGTACGGTCGAGATGTACCAGTGAGGGGAATCCAGGAGATTGTCGGACCCTTTATCAATATGCTGGTCTGTAGACTCGCCATTGAGCCATCGGAGACTCTCGCCACGCTCGTGCAAAAGGTGCAGGGAGACTACGCCGCCGCGCTGGAGCACCAGCACTTCTCGCTCGCGCAGATCCAGCATGAACTGGGCCAAGCTGGCCAGAAGTTGTTTAACACGATTTTATCAATTCAGCAAGGCCCATCGGGCAGCTCCCAGGATGCAGAATTGAACTTTGAGAACGTGGACGCATATGACCCCACCGAGGTAAGATCTCTGAACCATGAGCGCAAAAACGTCTAGGGACACTGACATAAATATCCCTGAACAGTTCGACCTCACAGTCAACGTAACCACGATGGAGGATTCCATCCGCATATCCCTCAGCTATCTTTCCCCCGCGGTCTCGCCATGGCAGGCGCAGAACGTGGCCGGCACGTACGCGCAGGTGCTGCAGAGCATGGTCGACGGCCCATACCAGCCAGTTGCCGACATCGCCACGTTCAGCCCCGCAAACGAGCAGCAGCTTACCGCGTGGACCAGCGCGATGCCTACAGCTATCGAAGACTGCATCTACGACTTGTTTTCTCGAATTGCTGCCGCGCAGCCGTCTGCCCCTGCGGTGGCCGCGTGGGATGGCTCGCTGTCGTACACGGAGCTTGACGACCTCTCGACGCGAGTCGCCATGAAGCTGGTGTCGCTGGGAGTAGGACCGGGTGATCTGGTCTTGCTCTGTTTTGAAAAATCTATGTGGGCGGTTGTGTCCATGCTTGGGGTGTTGAAGGCTGGAGGAGCCTGCGTCCACCTCGATCCTGCACATCCGGCCGATCGCTTGAGTCAGATTACCGCAGACACCAACGCAAAGGTCCTCTTAACCTCATCCGAGACCAAACACAAAGTCATGAGTGCAAAGCATCAAACCTTTGTGGTCGACGCGGCTGCAACCGAGTCCATGCCAACGGCATATCCCCTCAACCGCCAGCTTCCGCAGCCTACGACACCGGCATTCGTCATCTACACCTCTGGCAGCACCGGGGTCCCCAAAGGCGTGGTACTGGAGCATCGGACAGTCTGCTCTTCAATGCACGCACATGGAACAGCACTGGGGATCCAACCTGGCACCCGCGTGCTCCAGTTCGCCGCGTACGTCTTCGACATCAGCATCCAGGACGTGTTCACCTCGCTCACGCGCGGAGCCTGCGTCTGCGTGCCCTCGGAGCAACAGCGCATGGATATGAGTGAGCTTGCCGCTTTTATCCGCGAGAAGCAGGTGAACTGGATGGGGCTCACACCGACGGTGGCTCGCCTGCTGGACCCTGCAACGATCCCAACCGTCAAGACATTAACCTTGGCTGGTGAAGCTGTAGACCAGGCGACTGTGGATCGCTGGAGCAACGCTGGATTGACTGGGTTCCACAACTGCTATGGGCCTGCAGAGTGCACCGTCTACTGTGCGCACAATGCAGCTGTTGGGGCTCGTGGCCAGAGCGCGGCGAATATCGGACGCGGCCTGAACAGTTTGCTCTGGGTGGTGAGTCCACAGGCGCACGACCAGCTGGTGCCGATCGGGGCGATCGGTGAGCTTGTCGTTGAAGGGCCTCTTGTTGCCCGGGGCTACTATAACGATACCGCAAAGACAGAAGCCTCATTTATTGTTAATCCGCGGTGGGCGGACCGTTTCCGCCCTCAGGGCTGCGGTGACGAGCGGAGGATGTACAGGACGGGGGATCTGGTGCGATACAATCCGGATGGGTCGCTGGACTACCTGGGGCGGAAGGACACCCAGGTCAAGATCCGTGGCCAACGCGTCGAGCTTGGAGATATCGAGCAGCGGATCCTGCCTGCTCCGGACGTGCAGAATGGGCTGGTCGTGGTGCCCAAGGCCGGTCCAGGCAAGGGCCAGCTCGTCGCGGTCGTCGCATTCAAGAACAGCCCATCCACCGGGGGAGTATTGGAGATCGTAGCGAGAGACGAGGACACCAACGCAGCCTTGGCTCGACTCGGCGAGAACATTGCAGACAGCCTTCCTGCCCACATGGTTCCTCGCTTCTGGCTGCCTGTGGCGGAGATCCCCCTGAATCTGTCTCGCAAAGTCGACCGCGCCCGCATCGCCCGCTGGGTCGAGGAGCTCGGCGAGGCGTCCTTCCGCGACGAGTCGGCCGACTCTGCGCCAGCAACGGCGATGGAAGGCCGGATCCAGCAACTCGTGGCTAGGGTTCTGGGGATTCCGCTGGACAGCGTCAGCATGAGCAAATCCTTTATCAGACTAGGCGGCGACTCGATTACCGCGATGCAAGTGGTGGCCAGAGCCCGGGAAGAACGAGGGATCCGGCTGCGCGTCCGCGACATCATGAGGAGCAAGTCGCTCGTGCATCTGGTCTCGCTGGCTGGTCGCCACACTGCATCGGACGAAGCCTACACGGAGTCTGGGGAGCCTGTCTTCGGGCTCTCCCCCATGCAGCAGTTCTACTTCGACTTGGCAGACCAGACGCCTTCCCACTACAACCAGAGCTTTCTCGTGCAGCTTTCGCGGACCGTCAAAGGTTCGGCCGTTGCAGCGGCCCTGGATTCAGTGGTGCAGCGACATGCGATGCTGCGGACCTTGTTCTTCCAGGCTGATGGACAATGGCAGCATCGTGTGCACTCTCCGTCCTCCGCATATCGTTTCCGAATTCACACCATAAACACACAGGATGAGGCCGACGATGCTATCCTCGCCAGCCAGAGCAGCATCGACATTCACAAGGGCCCGATCTTTGCAGCCGACCTGCTCAACCACACCGAGGGCGACGAGCAGCAGCTCTTCCTGACGGCACACCACCTGGCCATCGACCTTGTCTCTTGGAGAATTGTCCTTGCGGACTTGCAGGATATTCTTATGACGGCAAAGCCCCTCCCCCAGCCCCCGGTGCAATATGCAGCTTGGGTTCGGCTGCAAGCGGCCCAGGCAGGGACTGCCACTCTGCTCCCCGAGCGCGTCCTTCCCTTTGAGGTCGCCGGGGCGGACTATGCGTACTGGGGCATGCAGAGCAAGTCAAACCGCTACGGGGATGTTGCGCACGCAGTGTGCGAGATCGACAAGGAGATCATGAGCACAGTCCTGTCGAGGGCCTACGAGGTCTTCCGAGCAGAAGCCACCGATATCTTCCTGGCTGCCGTGCTCTTCTCGTTCAACCAGACCTTCTGCGACCGCAAACCACCCACAATATTCACCGAAACGCACGGTAGAGATCTCCCCGATGAATGGGATGCCGACATGGATCTGACCGGGACCGTCGGGTGGTTTACTGCGCTGGGCCCTTCTTTCCTTGCCCGCGACGAGGCGCAGGACATCGTCGAGGCCCTCCGGCTCATCAAGGACCAGAGACGCAAGCTACCGGCCAGCGGAACAGCCTACTTCATGTCGCGATTCGGCGACCAGCGGGGACGCACCGCGTTCAAGAACCACATGCCCATGGAGCTGCTATTCAACTACCTCGGCCAGTATCAGCAGCTGGAGCACGATGACAGCCTGTTCCGCATGGTCTCCAAAAGCCCCAGAACGGCACTGAGTGATGTACATCCGCAGAGCACGCGCATGGCGCTGATCGAAGTGTCTGTCGTCGTGACTGCAGGCTCGACTGTTTTCGACTTTGCGTACAATGCCAACTCCAACCGCAAGGACCAGATCCAGACCTGGCTGCGAAACTGCGAGAGCTGCCTGCGGAACATGGCGCGGGATTTTGCGGATCTCGCACCCCAAAGGACACTTAGCGACTTTCCTTTATTGGATTTCTCCTACCCAGATCTGCAAAGCATCGTACAGACCCGCCTCCAACCCATGGGCATCGCGAGTCTGACCCAGGTCGATGCAATATACCCAACCTCGCCCATCCAGGACGGAATCCTTCTGGCACAAGATCGCTCCGAGGAGGTCTACAACGTGCACTTTCAATATGAAGTCTCTCACTTCCGCACGGGCGTCTTGACCCTGGTTGACCAGAATCGCCTTGTGCAGGCCTGGCACCAGGTGGCGGCCAAGCACGAGATCCTGCGAACCGTCTTCGTTGACGCAGTCGCGGAAGGCGCAGTCTTCACCCAGCTGGTGTTGCAGGAGCCTCAAATCAGCATCGAGCTCGTGCCCGCCTGCGATGACGACGAAGCGTTGGCCATCCTGTCCCAGCCTGCCCAGCACACCGCGGGCGACAAGGGATCGCCGGCGCACTGTTTGCGAATCTGCCAGACGAAATCCGCTCGGACGCTGTGGAAGCTCGAAATCAGCCACGCGCTCATCGATGCGCAGTCGATGGCCATCGTGCTGCAGGACCTCAAGGCCGCATACGAAACCGGCACCCTCGACGGGGACAATTCGGTGTATTCCGCGTACATTCGCTACTTGCAGCGTTGTCCGGCCCACGCTGCTTTAAACTACTGGAAAGCATATGTCCGAGGGCTGGAGCCATCACATCTTCCTACAAACAGCAGCAGTGACGATGAGCCGAAACATGAGCAGCAACATGTGGAGATCAACCTGTCGACAGTCGCAGCCCGACTCAGTGCTTTCTGCCGCGAAAACGAAGTCACCATGTCGACCGTCTTCCAGGCCGCGTGGGCGCTGGTCCTGAGCTGCTACAGCGGTGATTCAGCCGACGTGAGCTTCGGGTATCTCTCGTCTGGCAGAGACATCCCTGTCGAGGGGATCGAGTCTGCAGTGGGCCCCTTTATCAACATGCTCGTCTGCCGCGCGGCGACAGGTGCAGACGTCCGTGTCAACCAGCTGTTGAAGCAGATCAAGGACGACTATCTCGCCGGCATTGAACATCAGCACTGCTCGCTGGCGGAGATCCAGCACTCTCTGGGGCTGGCGGGCCGACGCCTATTCAACTCCATCATGACCGTCCGACACGATACCAGCGATGAGTCTGCGGGCAATCCCGATGGTCTCACATTCACCTCCATCGGCAGCCACGATCCGACCGAGTACGAGATGGTGGTTGGGGTGGTCATCTCCGAGACAAATCCGCGCTTCTCGCTCACGCACCAGAGCCCCGTCATCTCGTCGTGGCAAGCCCAGAATATCGCACAAGCCATGCAGACAGCGCTCGAATCCTTCCTGACCAACCCATACGCGGAGCTACAGACCATTGATCTCGTTGGAGGAGCCGCGCAGCATCTCATCGAAGGGTGGAATAGCCATCTGCCCACAACGAACCGCGCGTGCGTCCACGATCTGATTGAACAAACGGCACAGAAGCAGCCTTCTGCGATTGCACTGTGCTCTGCCACGGAGCAGATGACCTACCGCGAGGTGAGCGAGCTGTCCACCCGTTTGGCGAGACACCTCCAATCGCTTGGCGTGGCCCCGGGCACATTGGTTCCAATCTGCATGGACAAGTCGGTATGGGCCGTTGTCTCTATGCTGGCAGTCATCAAGGCAGGGGGCGCGTACGTCCCAATCGACCCTGAATTGCCTGTCAAGAGGCACGAAGGGATTTTAACCCAGTTGCCGTCGCAGGCTGTCTTGCTTACTTGCCCACACACATCCTTCCACGCCCGGTTCAGGGGAATTAAACTCGAAGTCACACCGGAGATGCTGCACGGTATCAGAATATATAACCAGCAGCCGCTCCCCTCCGTACATCCGACCGATTCAATGTATGTGCTGTTTACGTCTGGCAGTACCGGAGAACCCAAAGGCGTGGTCGTCGAGCACCAATCGGCAGCGACCAGTCTGGTCAATCACGGCGCAGCGATGAACCTGAGCGCTGATTCTCGAGCCTTGCAGTTCTGCGCCTTCTGGTTCGACGTCAGCGTTTGCGAAATCTTCGGAACTCTGCTCCACGGCGGAAGCGTGTGTATCCCTCGCGACCAGGACCGGAACCTGGACATTGTGCAGTTCATGGATGAGATGAAAGTCAACTGGGCCTTCTTCACTCCCTCATTCGCCTCGCTCATCCAGCCAACGCAGGCGAAGCATCTGAAAACACTGGTTCTGGGCGGCGAGGCGATTCGACCGTCGAATATCAGAGAGAACGCGGACAAGGTGGAACTGATCAACGGATACGGGCCCACCGAGGCAACGATTTTCAGCCTCGTCCACCATATCAGGTCGTCCACCGAGGATCCCAAGGTCGTTGGTCGGGCCGTCGGCTGTCGCGTGTGGCTGACCAGAGTCAACAACCCGCACTGCCTCGCCCCCCTGGGAAGTGCCGGAGAGCTCCTGATCGAAGGTCCGCAGCTTGCGCGTGAGTATTTGGGCAGTCCGAGCAAGACCAAGGAAGCATTTGTCGAGGAGCTCCAGTGGTGCCAGCGAGTCGATGTTCATCCTCGCCCACAGAGGCTGTATCGAACTGGGGACCTCGTGCGATACCGTCCCGACGGCGCTCTGGAGTTTATCGGAAGAAGGGATAAGCAGGCCAAGGTCAACGGGCAACGGCTTGAGCTCGGTGAGGTGGAGCAGCATCTCAGCGCGCATGTTCATGCAGGGATTGCTCTGATTCCCTCCCAAGGCCGCCACGCAAAGCAGCTGGTTGCCCTCGTCTCTCTGCCTGGGCTGACGAGGAAGCACAATGAGCTTCGCCTGGTCGACATCAGCCATCGTGAGACTGTGGCATCCGCTATAACAAGGCTGCAGGATACGCTACTGGAGCAGCTCCCTCGGTACATGGTGCCCACGGCCTGGCTAGTGGTGCAAGACATCCCTCTCGGTTCAGCGGGCAAGCTGGATGTGAGGCGGGCCAGCGAGTGGGCTGAAGCACTTTCCGAACTGGATCTCCAGCATGCCGAGGCCCTGGCGACCCCAGAAGACTCCGCAGCCCCAGTGTCAGATCTCCAGCTGCAGATCATGCAGGTCCTCGCGCGCGTCCTCGGGATTCAGTCCGATAAGGTAATGCTGCACCGATCGTTCATCAGCCACGGAGGAGACTCCATTACCGCGATGCAGGTGTCTGCCCAATGTAGGGCCGAGGGAATCCTTGTGCGCGTTCAGGATATCATCAAGAGCAGATCCGTTGCTCAACTATCTTCAACCGCTCGCCTTGTTACGGAGACTGACGCGTCAATCTCGCCGATTTCGACGGCTGATCCAACCGAGACCGTCTTCGCGCTCTCGCCCATTCAACAATTCTTCGTTGACTTGTCTGGACACCCGGCCTCGCGCTTCAACCAAAGCACATTCGTTCGACTCCGCGATGCTATCGACCCAGACCGCGTGGCCAAGGCTGTCCGAGATCTAGTTCAGCGGCACTCCATCCTGCGCGCACGCTATGTTCGTCGTCAACATGAATGGGCCCAGATTGTATCCAAGGACATTGGATATTCATTCCAATTTCAGCACCACCTCGTGCCTCGCAGCAGGCTGGCAGAGATTATGCACGCAAGCCAACTAAGCCTGGACGTCGAGAGAGGCCCGGTGTTCAGCGTCGACCTGGTGCACACAGACGACGGCGCCGAATTTCTCTACATGGTCGCCCACCATCTGGTCATTGATCTGGTCTCCTGGCGCGTTATCCTGCAGGACATCGAGCATCTGCTCACGGTCAAAACACCGCTGGCCACAGTCCCCTTCCCCTTCCAGGCCTGGCTCAAAGCACAGGCTGCTCATGTCGCTGAAGTCTACACTGTCGATGATGTTTTGCAGCACAGTGTGGTGCCGGCTGATTTCGAATACTGGGGCTTCAACGAGCCCAAGCACAACGTCTATGGCAACACGGTCAGCGGTCATTTTAGCCTAAGTGCAGAATCCACCTCGGTGCTTCTGGGGACCGGCAACGATGTGTTTGGAACAGACCCCGTTGACATCTACCTTGCTGCGCTCTTCTGCTCTTTCCAAGAGACGTTTCCTGCCCGGCGGACCCCGAGTATCTTCATCGAGGGCCACGGAAGAGAGTCGTGGGACGATACAATCGACCTCGCATCGACCATTGGCTGGTTCACAACTCTGTTCCCCGTCTCCGCTGCGGAAGGAGCACAGCCGGAAATCTTGGATCTGATCCGGCACACCAAGGACACCCGACGACGCGTGCCCAAGAACGGGTGGCCGTACTTCAACCTCCGATATCTGCAGGCGGCAGCGTTCAAAGACCACGCACCAATGGAAATCCTCTTCAACTACTTCGGCCAATACCAGCAGCTCGAGCGCAGCGACGCCTTCCTGACGCCCGCCGAGAAGCTGCCCGACGAGGCGCGCATTTTTGAAGTCGATCTCCAGCAGCCCCGGCTTGCCCTGATTGAAATCTCCGCCACCGTGGCCCAGGGAGAGGCTCGCTTTGACTTTGTGTATCCTGGACAAATTTCCCACCAGGGAAAGCTGACCAAGTGGATCAGCGCGTGTCAGCGCATTCTCACATCGATCGCGCGCCAGCTGCCCACGATGCGCGAGCAGCGGACACTGGTTGACTTCCCGCTGCTTTCGATGAGTTACGCGGGCTTGGATAAACTCGCGAATGCAGTATTTCCTGCTCTTCGAGTTGGTGGCTTCGACCAGGTTGAAGACATTTATCCATGTACCCCTCTGCAGCTGGGTATTCTCCTCAGCCACACCCAAGAGGAGCAGGCCTATGCCGTCCAATCCATGTGGGAGGTCAAGGGTCAGATCGATGTCACTCGGTTGGCTGATGCGTGGAGTCAAGTAGTGGATCGCCATGCGATTCTGCGGACCGTATTCATTGAAAGCGTTGCAGAGCAGGGGGCCTTTGACCAGGTGGTGCTCAAAACGGTTGACAACCGGGCCGATGTTCGCCAGTGCAGAGACGGAGACGCAGTCCGCGTGGTCGGCGAATACTGCACGACAATATCTCCCTTTGGAGGCATTCCCCACCGCTTCACCATCTGGGTGACCGAGGGCCGCCAGCGGGTCTTCTGCAAACTCGAGGTGAATCACGCCATTATCGATGCAGTTTCTTTCTCACTCATCCTGCGTGACCTGACCGAGGCGTATGACAACAAGCCCACCTTCCTCGAGATGGAGAGGCCTCTGTACCGGTCGTACGTCGAGTACATCCAGAGCAAGCCCAAGCAGGCCGGCATCGACTACTGGAAGACTCACCTGCAAGGCATCGAGCCATGTTACTTCCCAGCCGACTGTGACCGCCACGCGCAGATTGGCCAGCTGAACTCGGTGGATGTCGAGATCGCCGACTACAACTCCCGCGTGAAGCAGTTCTGTGCCCAGCACGGAGTGACCCTGGCCAATCTGCTCCGGACTGCCTGGGGCCTGGTACTTCGCGCGTACACGGGATCCAACGATGTCTGCTTTGGATATATCAACTCTGGCCGAGACATTCCCGTCCATGACGCTGTCCATGCGGTGGGGCCGTTTATCAACATGCTGGTGTCGCGGGTTACGTCTGCATCAAGCGATAGGATTTCAACGGTGTTGGAGAGCGTGCAGTCTGCGTATGCCGAGGGACTCGAGCACCAACATACATCGCTGGCTGATATACAGCATGCTCTGGGCTTGTCGGGGAAGCCGCTGTTTAACACCATCATGTCCATTCAGAGCTCTTCTGGCTCTGCTTGGGTAGATCCCAACACCCCTGCGATTCGGTTTGAAAATATCGGCGCGCACGATCCAACCGAGGTAAGTTGCCCAATACAATCTCTGAACTTCAGACACTGATCGAGGGAAACAGTATGAAATTGTGGTCAATGCCTCTCTCTCCGATGCTCAGGTGCATGGAGTATCGCTCAGCTACCAAGCATCGCGCATCTCGCAGTGGCAAGCGGCGAATGTTGCGAATACCTTCAGGGCTGCGCTCTGCAGCATGATTGACCGACCAGACATTCTCGCTGCTCAGCTCGACCTCACCACCGATAAAACTCTGCGCCAGATTAACCAGTGGAGCCCAATGTCTCTACAAACAATTGCTCGCTGCGTTCACGAGGTGTTTGAAGAGCGCGCTGTCCAGACGCCTTCGGCGCCCGCTGTCAGCGCATGGGACCTAAGCTTGACGTACGCGGAATTGAACCAATGGGCAAATCGCCTCGCACACTATCTCCAAACTCTCGGTGTTGGACCGGAGGTGCTGGTTCCGCTGTGCTTCGACAAATCTGCGTTCAATGTGGTTTCCATGCTCGCCGTGTTGAAGGCAGGGGGTGCCTTTGTCCCTCTGGATCCCACTCACCCAGCTGAACGTCACAGGGCCATTATTACTGATACAAACGCACGCGTCGTACTCACGAGTCCTTTGTATAGCACGCATTTCAGTGTTTTGGTCTTGGGTGTTGTCATGGTCGACCTGCAAAACCTCTCTCAGCTGCCTTCCAGCGAGGTCTCAGCATCAACAGTGAGCCCGTCGAGTGCAGCGGTGGTGATATACACCTCTGGAAGCACCGGTAAGGCCAAGGGAGTAGTTTTGGAACATCGCAATCTGTGCACGAGTATGGAAGCCCACGGATCTGCCTTGAAGATCGGACCCTCCAGTCGGGTCCTGCAATTCGCAGCACATATCTTCGATATTAGCTTGCAGGATATCCTGACCACCATTACGAGGGGAGGCTGTGTCTGTATCCCCTCACTGCAGCAGCGGGACAACGATCTGCCCGGCGCCATCACCAAGTATCAGGTCAACTGGGCCTGCATCACCCCGACCGTTGCGGGCCACTTGCTGGAGCCCAAGCTGGTCCCCACGCTCAAGACCTTGACCTTGGCAGGCGAAGCAGTCTCGCAGCGCGTTGTAGATATCTGGTCTCCAGCAGGCGAGACGAAGCTCGAAAGCTTCCATAATTGCTATGGCCCCGCCGAATGTACCGTCTACTGCTCATGGAATGGCCGCGTCGGCCAGGAGAGCAAACCGTTCAACATCGGCCACAGCCTGGCGAGCCGACATTGGGTAGTCAACGCCGATAATCACAACATCCTTCAGCCCATCGGAAGTGTGGGCGAGCTGGTGGTGGAAGGGCCGCTGGTTGCGCGAGGTTACCTGAACGACGCTGCCAAAACAGAGGCCTCGTTCATCACAAACCCTGCCTGGGCCGCGGCGGGTAACGAGACCAATCGGAGAATGTACCGCACTGGCGACCTGGTCCGGTATACGAGCGATGGGTCGCTCGATTATCTGGGCCGCAAGGACTTCCAGGTGAAGCTGCACGGTCAGCGCATCGAGCTAGGAGAAGTTGAGCATGCGCTCTTGCGCAACGAGCGAGTTCAGGATGGCGTCGTTCTCTTTCCTCGCTCTGGCAGTGAGCAGCAGCGCCTCGTTGCCATTGTCTCTATCCATTCCAGTGCTGGATCAGGTTCCAAGACAGCGACTGGCACGACTCGCGTCTTGCAGCCTGTTCATGCTGACCAAAAGAGAGCCGCTTGCAGGCAGGTTACGGAGGTCAAGGAAGGCCTGATGAGCCGGCTACCGAACTACATGGTGCCCTCCGTCTGGATTGCCGTGCAGGATATTCCCATCAATGCATCTGGCAAGATCGACCGCGCTCAGATCACAAAGTGGATCGAGAGCCTGCAGGGAGCGAAGCGCAGTGAGTGGGTCATCGACACAGAAGAAGAGCACCTTCCTGCCCAGAGCGGCGCCGCACTGCAGACCTCGAAACAGTGCCAGCTGCGCAATATCGTTTCCCAGACCCTCAACTTGTCACCAGAGAGAGTGCGCTTCAGCCGTTCATTCCTGGGATTGGGCGGAGACTCTATCACCGCCATGCAGCTGGTCGCCGTGGCTCGTGGACAGGGGCTTGCCGTCAAGGTGAAAGATGTACTACGCAGCAGATCGCTCACTGCCTTGCTGGATCGGGTTCTGGAGGCCTCGCCAACAGCAGAGGCCGGGCAGATATCCGAGAGCATAGATTTGCCCTTCCCCCTGGCACCAATGCAGCGCCTGTTTATGGACATGTCTCAAGAGCCCGAGACACACTTCAACCAGAGCTTCTTCCTCCAGCTTCAATGCCGCATATCGGAGTCGGAAATGCTGCACGCAGTCAACGAGATCGCTCACCGTCACAGCATGCTCCGAGTGCGCTTCAACTACAAGAATGATACCTGGGAACAGCGAATTCTTGCGCCAACTCGCGAGGCTTATCGGTTTACTACACATCACGGGGTGACCTCGGAGGAGATTGCGACAATCCTATGCACAAGCCAGAAGTCTCTTGATCTCGTTCAAGGCCCGGTGTTTGCAGTAGATTTCATTGATAATGGCAATGAGCGACTTCTATACCTGGTGGCGCACCATCTGGCCATTGATCTTGTTTCCTGGCGTGTCATCCTGGGTGAGCTGGAATTACTCTTGGGTGGGAAATCCCTGCCATCTCACCGACCCTTCCCCTTCCAGACATGGGTTCGACGCCAGATCGAGCGCGCTGAGCAGTTGGAAGTGGCCAAAGAACTTGGATTTTCCATCCCCGCAGCCGACTTTGCGTACTGGGGAATGGACAACCGGCCCAACACGTATGGAGACACAATTCGCGAGGGATTCACCCTCGACCCCTCCGTCACTCAATCCATTCTCCAGGACTCCAATAGAGCATGGAACACGGAACCCGACGACATCTTCCTGGCCGCATTCTTATCATCTATGGCTCAGACCTTCCCCAGTCGTCTCGAGTCTTTGCCGGCCATCTTTGTGGAGAACCATGGACGAAAGGCCTGGGACGACACCATTGATCTCGCCCAGACTGTTGGCTGGTTTACGACCAAGTCGCCTGTCTCCGCGCGTCATAGCGACCTGCAGAGCCCGGCTGAGTCGGTCTACAAGGTTAAAGACCTGCGCAGGAGAGTTTCGCACGGGGGCCTGATGTACTTTATGTCGCGCTTCCTGACTTCAGGCGGCCAAGAGGCATTCGGCCATCACTGGCCCATGGAGATCCTGTTCAACAACCTGGGCCAGTACCAGCAGTTGGAGCGTACCGACACTCTCCTCAAGCCCCACGCACCTGTTGCTGGAGTTTCGGATGTGAGCCCCCGCGCCACACGGCTTGCCCTGATCGAAGTATCCGTGGTGGTGGTGCAGGGGGCTGCGCGGTTCGACTTTGTCCTCAACAAGCACATGAAACATCTGGATCTATTTGCCCGCTTTGTCCAGAACTACGAAAAGTGTCTGACTTCACTCGCCAGCGAGCTGCCTACGATGCAGCCCCAGCGGAGTCTCTCCGACTTCCCCCTGCTGCCCTCGCTCACCTACCGCGGACTGGATCGGTTAAACCAGGCACTCGGCGACCTGCAGCCCCTCGTCGAGGACATTTACCCTTGCTCTCCCATGCAGGATGGCCTTCTGCTGAGCCAGAGCCAGTCGCCGGGAAATTACCAGATAAGCTTCACCTACGCTTTGCATGCCCCAGAGGGTGCTCCCGTCCACGTCGATCGCCTTCAAAAGGCCTGGCAGCAGGTCGTCAGCCGGCACGCCATCATGCGCACAATCTTTGTCGACAGCGTGTCGGATGAGAGTGCGTATCTGCAGGTGGTTCTCAAGAATATGGATGCGTTTGCTCTTCCAGAAAACCGAGGCTTTGCTCAACCAGACCACAGCCTGGTCATCTCCAACAGCGGTGCAGCGCAGACGATTGTCGAGCTGAGGGTGAACCACGCCCTGATCGACGCAGTATCCGTCGGCCTCTTGCTGCATGAACTACAGGCCGCTTACGATGAAGCTTTTCTGTCTACGGAAGCCCCTGGATATCAGAACTACATTCGCTTCCTTCAGGCAAAGGATCGGAATGCGGCGGATGAGTACTGGGCCAGGTATGTCTCTGGCGTCGAGCCCTGCATACTGCCCCCAATGCCAGACGCGTCAAGTCAGGAGAAACAACTGCGCTCCTTGGAAATCCCACTAGACGAGATCACCCAGAGCCTCCGCCACTTCTGCGAGCTGCACGAAACGACCGTCGCCAACTTCTTCCATGCAGTCTGGGCCCTCGTCCTCCGCACTTTCGCCGCATCAAACAATGTCTGCTTTGGCTACCTCGCCGCAGGCCGAGAGGCCGCAGTACCGGGCATCGAGAGCATTGCTGGCCCCTTTATTAACCTTCTTGTTGGCCGCTTTGATATGGATGAAGCCAATACCGTTTTGGATGTGGTGAAGCGTGCCCAGTTGGACTATGCGGCAGGCCTCGAGCACCAGCATTACCCACTGGCGAGCCTGCACCATTATCTGAAACTCGAAGGGGCTCCCCTGTTCAATACTATCATTTCCGTGCAGCGTAGTGCTTCGCAAGCGACAGATATCGCTTCCCATCAGCCGTCTTTGACCTTTGAGAGCGTCAAGTCTCATGATCCCACCGAGGTAAGGGCTGCTCCCATCGAGAATATATAACCAAGATATTGACTCCTTGTAGTACGACCTGACAGTCAATGTCATGTCTTCCGCCGCCCACACTTCTATATCGCTCACATACTGGAATTCTGTCCTCTGTGACTGGCAGGTCCGTAACGTGGTGGACGCGATGAAAACCGCCATCTCGACCCTGCTCGATGCCCCGTCCACGCAGGTCCAGAATCTCAGGCTGGTTGGGCCACGCAGCCAAACTCTACTCAGAGAATGGAACAGAGGCTACGAAACCACCCTTTCAGTTCGCTCCACAGTTCATCGCGAATTTATCAAGGAGGTACAGAGGCAGCCGCAAGCCCCCGCGCTTGCCGCATGGGATGGGTCCATGACCTACGAGGAGTTGAACACTGCGGCGGTCCGGCTTGCTACCAGACTGAGCGTACTGGGCGCCTGCGGTGCGTTGGTTCCCTGCTGTTTCGAAAAGTCCATGTGGGCGGTCGTCTCGATGATGGCGGTGCTCATGGCAGGAGGTACGGTGGTGCCGATGGATCCGTCTCACCCTGATCATCGCTTGGAGGCGATTCTGCGCAATGTGGATGCGAAGCTGATCCTCACGAGCGATGCTCTGGCCCATCGATTTAAACCTCTCGTTGACGCCGCTCTGCCGGTTGGAAAGGACTATGTGGATGCCCTTCCTACCGTCACTGATGCGCTTCCGGATGTCGAGCCGGAAACGTTGGCCTTTATCATCCACACTTCTGGAAGTACTGGAGTCCCCAAGGGCGTCATGCTAGACCACAAAACTGTTTGCACGAGCATGGAAGCGCACGGCAGCCGCCTCAATATCCAAGCCGGACAGCGTGTGCTCCAATTCGCTTCGTATGCATTCGACATAAGCCTGCAAGACATGTTCACCAGCCTGACACGCGGTGCCTGCGTCTGCATTCCTTCCGAGGAGCAGCGACTAAACAGCCTAACCAGTTTTGTCCAAGAATTTGGCGTCACCTGGGCGGGTATTACACCAACAGTCGCTGCTCTCTTGGAGCCGGCCCAGGTTCCCTCGCTCAAGACGTTGACCTTGGCCGGTGAGGCGATTACCCAGCGGACGATCGATGTCTGGTCAAACGCGGGTCTGCAGAGCTTCAATAACTGCTACGGCCCTGCCGAATGTACTATCTACTGCTCATGGCACGGCAAAGTTGGGGCAGACCCTGCGCACTCCGCCTCGAATATCGGCTGGCCGCTGGCGAGCTCTTTCTGGCTGGTTGATCCGTCGAATCCGGAGATTCTGCTCCCCGTGGGCTGCGCGGGTGAACTTCTTGTTGAGGGTCCTCTGGTCTCCCGAGGATATTTAAACGACCCGGATCGAACTCAGGCGTTGTTCATCACAGACCCGGCGTGGACACCCCTGGTTGGAGGGGGCTCAGGTCGCAGAATGTATCGCACCGGTGATCTGGTCCAGTACAATCCTGACGGTTCTCTCAGCTACCTTGGCCGGAAAGATACGCAAGTTAAAGTGCATGGTCAGCGGCTGGAATTGGGAGAAATTGAGTCGCACATTCGGTCCAGCGCCCTGGAAGACTCCCAGGTGGCGGTGGAGATGGTCAAAGACTGGGGCCTCGTTGCATTCGTGGCCCTACCACAACACGCCGCGAGCGACACGACGATTCTCCAGTTGGACACCCAAACGAGAAAGACGCTCGTCTCCCTCCGTACCTCACTGGACGCTCTCCTGCCGCTTTACATGATCCCCGCGCTCTGGATCCCCGTATCCCACATCCCTCTCAATGCGTCGAGGAAAGTGGACCGACGTGCCCTGGCCCTGATGGCGTCAAGCCTGTCTGGGGAAGAATCTGCACTGTATTCTCTCGACGCGGCTACTGGCGAGGATGGCGACAATGGCCTGATAATGACACCCGGCGAGCGACGGCTGCGCTCCCTCTGGTGCAGCATCCTCCAGCTTCCCGAGGACAAGGTGGGCGTCAACAGCAACTACCTGCGGCTCGGAGGTGATTCCCTCGCTGCAATGCGCATGGTCGCCCTGGCCCGGCAGGCCGACGCCCACATCACGGTAGCGGATATCCTGCGCCATCCAGTCCTGAAGGTCATGGCCACCAAGCTTGAGCTTGATTCCGCTGTTGCAGAGGCTATTGCGCCGTTTGCGCTTCTAGATGATGGAACCCGATCAAAGGTAACAAAGGAGCTTGCGGCACTCTGTGGGGTTGAGGTCGCCAAGGTCGAAGATATATATCCCACCACGCCGCTGCAGGATGGACTGATGGCGCTGTCTCAAACTCAGACAGGCGCCTACCTGAACGACATGGCCTTTGCCATCTCTCCGGAAATCGACATTGCCACATTAAAAATGGCATGGGAGCATGTCGTGCGATCTGTGGAGATCCTGCGGACTCGCGTTGGCTTCTCCGAGATCGCCTCGCGCGCCTACCAAATCGTCATCGCCGATGAACTCCAGTGGCACGACAGCTCTTCCCTGCAGGCCTATCTCCGTGAGAGACAAGCACTCCCAGTCGAGTACGGTAGCCCTCTGAACCGGTACGCAGTCATAGACGAAGGGGCTGGCCGACGGTTCTTCGTCTGGTCCGCGCACCACGCAGTCTACGATGGCTGGAGCACAGGGCTGATCATGGCCGACCTCCAACGCGCGTACCAGAGCACAACCCCCGTCGAGATTTGCCATTCGCCGTATAATCAGTTCATCCGCCACCTGCTGGAGGTTGATTCTGCGGTCGAAGAGCGCTTCTGGCGGTCCCAGCTCCAGGGAGCCGTAGCCCCCAGCTTCCCTCCACCGCCAGCAGCTGACGCCACACCTGCTCCAAGAACACTCACACGCACGGTGCCTCTTCTTCAGACTTCCGCGAGCGACGCTACGGAGCCCTCCATTATCCGCGCCGCCTGGGCGCTCCTCCTCGCTCGATACGCCAACTCCGACCAGGCTGTCTTTGGAATCACCCTCTCCGGCCGAGACGCCCCTGTCGGCGGCGTCGAGGACATGGTTGGCCCTATAATCACGACTGTTCCGCTATGCATTCCCGTATCGCAGACCCAGCCAGTCGCCCAGTTCCTGCACGATGTACACCAGCAAGCGACGGAGATGATCCCCTACGCGCACAAAGGGCTCCAGAACATTCGGCAATTCGGCGCGGATGCAGAAGCAGCCTGTAACTTCCAAGCCCTCCTCGTGATCCAGCCAGCTGGAGAGACGGACGACAATGCGGCATCTGGAATGGGCGTCGAAGCAGTCTCACTGGCGTCTGAGGCGGAGGGAACACCCCGCGGCGCGTTCCACACGTACAGTCTGGTGGTGGAATGCGTCGTCCGCAAGGATTTCGTCGATATCTCCGCCTTGTTTGACGAGAATGCCATTCCAGCTGCCCAGATGGAACGCATGCTGGCACACTTTGCTCGCATCTTAGGCCAACTGCGCGATACGAGTAATATCGATAGCCTCATTGGCCAGCTTGAGATGATCTCTGAGGACGATCTCGCCCAGATCAGGGCCTGGAACTCTGAAGTACCACTGAACCGCGTGGAATCATGCGTGCACCATCTCTTCCAACAGCGGGCCCTCGAGCAGCCCAATGCACTGGCAATATGTGCATGGGACGGGGAATTCACCTATCGCCAGCTGGAGGAGCTTTCGAGCCTGCTGGCATTACAGCTGGTTGGGAAGGGCGTCATGGCGGAGACAAAGGTGCCGCTCTGCTTCGACAAGTCCAGCTACGCGATCATCGCCATGCTCGCGGTTCTCAAGGCTGGAGGGGCGTGTGTGCCCCTCGATCCAGCGCATCCCGTCACCCGCCACGAGACCGTCATTGCCGACACGGGAGCGGCTGTCGTCCTTGTTGGGGAAGAGTACAAAGATAGGTTCCCTCGTACGGGAGTGGAGAGCCTTGTGGTCTCCGAGCGGTCACTCAAGGAAACGACCGTGATGCCAGGCCTGTTCCTGGCTCTCCAGAAGGCTACAGTGGCCACCCCGTCCAGCGCGGCGTTTGTGATATACACATCCGGCAGTACCGGTGTACCCAAAGGAGTGGTTCTACAACACGATAACGTCTGCAGCAGTCTGGAAGCCCATGGATGCGCGTCAGCACTGAACATTGGACCCGGAACGAGGGTTCTGCAATTCGCCTCGTACGCCTTCGACATTAGCATTCAGGACATCTTCACCTCGCTCACCAGAGGCGCGTGCATCTGCGTGCCGTCCGAAGAACAGCGTGTCAACTCTCTTGCAGATGTGATCAACGAAATGCAGATCAACTTTGCGGGCATTACGCCAACGGTGGCCAATCTGCTGCAACCTTCCGATGTTCCATGCCTAAAGACCATCGCATTGGCTGGCGAAGCAGTGACCCAGAAGACCATTGAGATCTGGAACAAGACTGACGTGCAGCTGTTCAACTGCTACGGCCCTGCAGAATGCACCATCTACTGCGCGTTGGCCAAAAATGTTGGCCAGGCGCAGCGCCAGCCGGCAAACATAGGATTGGGCTTGAATTCCAGGCCCTGGGTTGTGGAAGCCTCGAATCACCAGCAACTCACCCCACTTGGGCTCGTTGGAGAGCTGGTAGTTGAAGGCCCTCTAGTGTCGCGAGGGTATTTGAACGACCCAGAAAAGACCGCCGCCTCCTTTATCATCAACCCGGAGTGGGCAGACATAGCCCAAGGCCAGGAAAGGCGCATGTATGTCACTGGCGATCTGGTGCGATGCAATCCCGATGGTTCACTGGACTATCTGGGGCGAAAGGACTCGCAAGTCAAACTTCGTGGCCAGCGCCTGGAGCTTGGGGACATTGAGCACCACGTCTCCTCGCGCCCTGGCATTCAAAGAGCAGTGGCCCTTGTGCGCAGCCAAGAAGACGGCCAGCAGACTCTCGTGACTGTTCTGCAGCTCAGCTCAGTCAATCAGGCGGACACCGAGGAAGAGCTGACTCTGCTTTCCCCTCAGTCTCTTGCTTCTGCTCGGGCAACCATTTCGTCGCTCAGAGAGTACCTGTCCAGCGTTCTGCCGGGGTACATGGTCCCAACGGACTTCCTGGTTGTGAGCTCAATCCCCCTCAACATGTCCAGGAAGATCGATCGGGCCAGAATGACAAGATGGATTCAGAATCTGAGCCTGGATGCGTTCAAAGACATACGTTCCGCCTTGGAAGATGCCCCCGCCGAGCTTTCACGCCCTACCACAACCAAGGAGAAGCAGATCCAGCACCTCATTGCCCTGACTCTCAACAAACCGGAGACTAGCCTGCCTCTCAGCGGGTCCTTTGTCTCCCTCGGAGGCGATTCCATCACGGCGATGCAGCTCGTTGCCCGCTCTCGCAGCCTGGGCATCGCCCTGAGCGTCAAGGAGATCCTCCGCAGCAAGACGATTGCCGATGTGGCCCAGCGTGCGACAATGCTTGATTCCTCGCTGGATCTGGTGGAGGAAGAGACCGGCGAGCCGTTTGATCTGTCCCCGATCCAACAAATGTACTTTGACATGTCGAACCAGGCAGCCACTCATTTCAACCAGAGCTTCTTCTTGAAGCTGACGAGGTGGATTGACCCGAATGAGCTGCGCGCTGCGATTGCACGACTCGTGCAGACTCACTCCATGCTGCGGACCCGACTCACCCGTGCCGGAAGCATCTGGCGCCAGTTCGTGCCGCAAGAGGCTGTGTATCACTTCGAAGCGCACAGCGGATGCTCTGATGGCCAGCGGGAGCAAATCATTGCCGCTCGGCAACAGGAGACCTTGGATATCGAGAAGGGACCGGTCTTCGCCGTGGATGTTTTCGAGTCGGTGGAGACGAGCAGGGCACAGTCGGTATTCCTCGTCGCCCATCACCTCGTCATCGACCTGGTTTCTTGGCGCGTCATTCTGCAGGATATCGAGGATATTCTTGAGGGTCGTGAAGCTGCACTTTCGAAGCCACTGCCCTTCCAGACGTGGCTTCGGCTCCAGCACGAGTATGCGGCTGGCCTCCATGCCGAGAAGGTTCTTCCTTTCCCAATCGAACCAGCTAATATTGGTTACTGGGCCATGGCAGATAAACCGAATGCTCACGGAGATTCGCTCCAGGGAGGCTTTGTCCTGGATAGCGAACTCACTGCCCAGCTTCTGAGCGACCGCTGCCACCAGACCCTGGACACTGATGTCACGGATCTGATGCTGACAGGGCTGCTGTACGCGTTCTCCACAGTATTCACCGATCGTGTGATCCCCACCGTTTTCAGTGAAGGACACGGACGTGAGCCCTGGGACTCCCAGATAGACCTGTCGCGCACGGTGGGCTGGTTCACGACCATGGTGCCCCTTCACGTCCCGACGGCAGAAGATATCCTGAGTTTGCTGCGACAAGTCAAGGACCGCCGGCGTCAAGTGCCTGGAAAGGGCTGGCCGTATTTTACCGCTCGTTATAGCAACCCGGACGCACGCCAGAGTTTTGCTGACCACCTGCCGATGGAGATTCTGTTCAACTACCTCGGCCAGTACCAACAGCTGGAGCGGGACGCCGCCTTGATGAAGCCTGAGCCACGACCAGCCAGCGCTTCGGACATTGGGAGCTCGACGCCCCGATTGGCTCTCTTTGACATCTCCGTCGTCGTCGGCCAGGGAATGACCAGCTTCAGCCTCGGTTACAACAAGCAGATGCAGCACCAGGAGAAGATCGGTCTGTGGATCGCAGAGACAGAGCGGTCTATCAAGGAGCTGGTCCAGAGCCTTGTGGTCTCGCCGAAGCAATACACCCTGAACGACTTCCCGCTCAGCCGGAGCATCGGCTACGAGGGCCTCACCCGACTACAGGACGCCTGCGTGGGCGAATTCGCCATCCGAGGGATGCAAGACCTCGAAGACTTCTATCCGTGCTCTTCAATTCAGGCGGGACTTCTTTTGGGCCAGCGTCTCTCTCCGGGCGCATACGAGGTGCACTTTATGTTCGAGGTTCTCCCTCGGAGCGGCGAGGCTGTCGACCTCGACCGTCTGCAGGCCTCGTGGCAGTCTGTCGTCAACCGCCATGCAATGCTCCGCGCAATCTTTACAGATAGCCTGTCTTCCGACGGCTCATTCCACCAAGCCATCCTCAAGCATCTGGACGCTCCTGTACCCATTATCCCATGCGATACGGATATCATGACGGAGGAAGCGCTGTCTGAAGAGGCAAGCCAGATCGCCCTCGACCCAAACCGGCCTCTGCAGAGACTCGTCCTGTACACCACACGCAGCGGACGGGTGTATGGGAATCTTGTCATCAACCATGCCATAATGGATGGAGCTTCGCTGGGGATTTTGTTGCAGGACTGGACTCGAGCGTACACCGACCAGCTTCCAGAGAACCGCCCACTGTACAGCGGCTACATCGAGTACACGCAGTCCGTTTCGCAGGACGAGATGAGCCGGTACTGGATGGAATATCTTGCAGGCGTGCAGCCATGCCATATCCCCGTGGATAAGCCCGGTTCCCCACGGGGCACACAACTGAAAAAAATCAACGTGGACCTGAGCTCGACCCTGGAGGCGATGAAACAGTTCTGCGACGCCTACTCTGTCACTACGGCCAATATCCTCGAGACTGCATGGGCGCTGGTCCTCCGGGCGTATACCGGATCCAGCGACGTGTGCTTTGGCCATCTGGTTGCCGGGCGCGATTGCCCTGTCGAGGATGTCGGGGAGGTCATTGGGCCATTTATCCACACCCTCGTCTGCAGGCTGGCGTTTGAGGACGATGCTGATGTTGTGGCCGCGGTCCAGAGGGTCCAGACGGAGTACACCTCCAGCCTCGAATACCAGCACTGCTCGCTGGCGGAGATCCAACATGGTCTCAACATGCGTGGAAGAGCCTTGTTTAATACCATGATGTCAATCCAGCGCACCGTTTCTGCCTCCGTGGACGCACCGCTATCATTCAAGACCGTTGGTGCCCATGATCCGACGGAGTACGACATTGCGGTCAGTGTAGACCTTTCCAACGAGGGGGTCAAGACGACCATCAGCTACTACCAGTCAGCTCTGAGTGACTGGCAGGCGGGCAACATCGCGAGCACCTTTGCAGCTGCCATCCGTGGCGTCGTCGAGCATCCCTCGCTTCCGATCAAGGCAATCGACCTGTTCAGTGAGGCCAACCACGCCCAGCTGCAGACCTGGAACTCCGACAAGGAGGAGGCAGTCCTGGTCCGCGAGTGCGTGCACGACCAGTTTACGGCACAGGCAGCCGCGCAGCCGCAGAGCCCAGCAGTGTCGGCCTGGGACGGCTCGTTCACATACGCAGAGCTGGACCAGTATTCCAGCATCCTGGCCTCGGACCTTGTTGAAGCTGAGATCACCCCCGGCACAATTGTCCCGCTTTCTTTTGAAAAGTCGTGCTGGTACGTTGTCGCCATCCTAGCCGTGCTCAAGGCTGGGGCAGCCCTGGTGCCGCTGGACCCGGCCTGGCCGCCCACTCGACTCTCCCATATCCTCAAGGACGTCGCCGCCCGGACGGTGCTCACATCCTCCAAGCTAGAAGCCAAGTTCCGCAACCAAGGGGTCGACGTCATCCGCGTCGAGAGCACAATCGTGGCCCGGCCGATGAAGCCCTGGACTGCCCGGCCGTGCAAACCCGAGGATGTCGCGTCTCTCATCTACACCTCAGGAAGCACCGGAACCCCCAAGGGGGTAGTGCTTCAACACCGCAATATCTGCTCCAGTCTGGGTGCACGTATTCCGGCCCTGGCCATCGGACCTGGCACTCGGGGTCTGCAGTTTGCCGCACACGTTTTCGACATGAGTCTTGACGACATCCTCGCCGCTGTCACGCGCGGCGGCTGCGTGTGCATCCCGTCTGAGGAGCAGCGGATGGACATTGACGCCCTGTCTGCATTTATGCGGGAGCACGAGGTCACTTTCGCGACTCTGACGCCTACATTCGCCAGCCTGCTGCGGTCCCACGACATCCCCACGCTCCGCACCCTGGCTCTCGGTGGCGAAGCCGTTACTCAGAAAGTGCTGGACATTTGGACCCGCGCAGACCCGCCGCTCACGGGGCTGCACAACTGCTACGGACCAGCGGAGTGCACTTTCTACTGTGCCCGGAACGGAAACTCGGGCAAGCCGGATGTTCGGCCATTCAATATCGGGCGTGCAGTTGGTAGTTCACTCTGGGTGACCGAGATTGATTCTCACGAGCGACTCGCGCCGATTGGGAGCATGGGCGAGCTGGTCGTTGAAGGCCCGTCCGTCTCTGCAGGGTACCTCAACGATCCCAAGCGAACAGACACCTCGTTCATCATGGATCCACCATGGAGACGTCTGTTTGGAAAACCACAACAGGGACGCCGGATGTACAAGACCGGCGATTTGGTCCGCTACAACGAAGACGGCACACTGGACTACCTCGGCCGACACGATTCCCAGGTCAAGCTGCACGGACAGCGCCTGGAACTGGGAGAGATCGAGGCGGCGCTGCAGACCCAGGACGGGGTCCAGAGCTCGGTCGTCCTCCTGCCGCGCCAGGGCAACTGCGAGGGCCGCATCACCGCGGTACTGGCACTGGGTCGGGCTGTCGAGCAGCCGGAAGCCCACAGGGTTCCAATGCGTCTCCTGACAGCCGAAGAGCGACGAGAAACCAGGGACCTCATAGCCGCTGCTCGTAATAACCTCTCCGCGGCGCTCCCACCGTACATGGTCCCGGATGTGTGGCTGCCTGTGACGGACATTCCTTTCAACCAGTCCGGCAAGCTGGACCGGAAAATGGTCGGCCAATGGATCGAGAACCTAGAGGCGTCTGGACTGGAAGCTGTCCTCGATGATGAGAATGCAACGACCGGGATAGAAGACAAGGGAGAGTAGCAGAGTTGGCGACCCAGCTGCGAGCCCTCTGCGCGCATATCCTCAATCGCCCCGAAAAGGAAGTGCACCTGCATCGCTCATTTGTCTCGATGGGCGGGGACTCGATCACGGCCATGCAGCTGACGGCGGCGGTCCGAGCACTGGGTCTCCGGGTGTCGGTGGGCGAGGTGCTGAAGAGCAAGACGCTGGCTGAACTGGCCGCGCGCCTCAGTCCCAACCAGCCTGTCGCCCCCAGGGCTGTGGAGGACCCCGCTGACCAGACCTTTGCGCTTTCGCCCATCCAGCAGCTGTACTTTGCCGTCTCACACCAGCGCCCGACCCGATTTCACCAGAGCTTCTTCCTCCGCCTGTCGCAGCCAGTCGCTGCAGAGAAGATGGCTCGCGCAGTCGACGCCATTGTACAGCGGCATTCGATGCTTCGCGCCCGCTTCGTAGAGCAGTCGTCCGACGAGGGCTGGGCGCAGCAGATCTCCACCTCCCAACGGCCCTTCTCTACCTACGCTGGTCTCGCACGTGAGCAGGTTTGGGAAAAGATGGAGTCTGTACAGAACAAACTGGATATCGTTCAAGGCCCTGTCTTTGCAGTAGACATGTACCATTTGTCCACAGGCGAGCAACTCGTCTACGCGGTGGCTCACCATCTTGTGATCGATCTTGTCTCCTGGCGAGTGATCTTGAGTGATCTGGAACAGCTCATGCGCGGCCTCGAGCTGACACTCGACACTCCCCTTCCCTTCCAGGCCTGGAGCAGGATGCAGGCACAGTATGCCGAGACCCATTTGGACGCGAGTTATATCCCTTCAACCCTAGGAAATGGAGATCCGAGCTACTGGGGCATGGCCGACACCGCCAACACATTCGCAGATGCGAAGCTTGAATCGTTCGCCCTGGATACGGAAACCTCAGCCCTTCTCCTCACGGGCTGCCACCAGGCACTGCGAACAGAACCCACCGATATCCTGATGGCATGCCTCCTGACCTCCTTCGGAAGCGTCTTTACGGATCGATCACTGCCCACCTTATTCTCAGAAGGCCATGGCCGCGAACCGTGGGACCAGGGGATCGATCTCGCCGGCACGGTTGGGTGGTTCACGACCATGGCTCCCTTGCAGGCTCACCTTGGGCAGTATGCCCCGCTGGTCGATTCTGTTCGTCACGTCAAAGACCAGAGACGCTCAATCCCGGGCAACGGGTGGCCGTACTTTGCCTGCTCTTTCCTCAACGAGCAGGGCCGGAAGAAGGCTGTCGACCACACCAAGGTCGAAGTCATGTTCAACTATCTCGGGCAATACCAACAGCTCGAGCGAGAGGACGCTCTATTCCGACAGGAAGAGAAACTCCCCAAGGAGCTGGCCGTGTCCGACGTGGCTTCTGGCACGGCGAGGATGGCTTGGGTTGACGTGTCTGCAGTGCTCGTACACGGAGTCTTCAGCTTCAATTTCATCTTCAACCAGAAGATGCGTCATGCCGAGAAACTGGCCCGCTGGATGCAGCAGTTCGAACACGATCTCCGCGCGGTGGTAAGCTCCTTGGCCGATCACCGTCCTCGCCTAACCTTGAGCGATTACCCGCTCTTGCAAACAACGTACAGTGGCCTGGACGACCTCCAGAACGAGCGGCTGCCAGAGATTGGTGTGGCCGAGATTGAAGAGGTGGAAGAGGTCTATCCCTGCTCGCCGATGCAGCAAGGCCTGCTCCTTAGCCAGAGCCGCGAGTCGAGCCTGTATCAGACGCAGTTCCGCAGCGAAGTGACGGCCCTTGCTGGGGCCCCCGTCGCCGCCGATCGTCTGGCCGAGGCCTGGCAGAGCGTCGTTCGCCGCCACTCGCTCCTTCGGGCGGTTTTTGTCAATGCTGTTTCCACCGAGGGTATCTATGACCAGGTGATCCTGAAGGATGCCCGCGGCCAAGTTCATCGCGTGGTGTGCGATGAAGATGCCGATGCACTGGAGGTCCTGTCCCAGCCGCGAGTGGCCGCCGAGGACTACCAGCTGGCCCATTCTCTGACGTTGTGCGAGACGCCGACTGGAAGGCTACTGTGCAAGTTTGAGTTCTCCCACGCTATCGTCGATGCCGCCTCGCTCGGCATCCTTGTACGTGACCTGGCCGCTGCGTATGAAGGCCGTCTGGATCCGCTGCCCGGGCCCGCCTACAGCGAATACATCCGGTACCTCCAGGATCGCCCGCTTGCAGAGGGCATTGTGTACTGGAAAGCCCATCTTCACGGCATCGAGCCCTGCCTGTTCCCGACCCTTCACAGCAGCTCCCTTGTGAACCGCACGATCCTCAAGACCACCTCGCTGAGCCTTAACGTGGACCCCGAGCTTCTGCGCACCTTCTGCGCAAGCCACGGAGTGACTGCAGCGGTAGTTTTCATGGTCGCCTGGGGGCTGGTCCTGCGCACGTATGCGGGGACTGCGGACAGCACCTTTGGATACGTAGTGATGGGGCGAGACATCCCTGTGCCGCGCATCGGGGACACCGTCGGGCCCTTTATCAACATGCTGCCGTGCCGCGTGCGCACCGCCAGCGGGGCAGGAACGGTATCAGACCTCTTGGGCGAAGCTCAGGACGCCTATGTCAACGGCATCGAGCGCCAGCACGTCTCCCTGGCGCAGATTCTCCACGCCCTGGGCCGCTCCATGGAAGGGCCACTGTTCAACACGATGCTGTCGGTGCAAAAGACGACGGAGCGTGCAGCAGCACCGGAGGCACTCTCGTTTAGGAATCTGGGCGCTCATGATCCGACTGAGGTTAGTTGCACATCCGTATTCGACAATTTATATGTTCCAAGGCTAACATTCCACAGTACGATCTGACAGTGCAGATCAACACGTCGGACACTGGAAACACCGTTTCCATCAGCTACTATCCTCCGCAGGTAACGGACTGGCAGGCTGCCAATGTGACGCACGCCTTTGAAGAGACCCTGTGGCAGATGATCCGCCACCCCAACCGCCCAGTCGCCGCGGTCGACATCCTCAGTCTGCGCGACGAGCAGCAGATCCAGAAGTGGCGTGTTGCACAAGAAGAATTGATCGAGGATCTCGTCCACGAGCGCGTGTCGATGCAGGCTGCGCTGACTCCCTCGGCGCCTGGTGTCTCGTCCTGGGACGGCGACCTCACGTATGAACAGCTGGATGCGAAATCGACAGAGCTGGCCGAGCATTTCCGAACACTTGTCCCCGCAGAAAAGGCTGAACCATTCGTCGCACTGTGTTTTCAAAAGTCCAAGTGGGCGGTCGTTTTTATGCTGGCAGTTCTGAAGGCAGGTGCAGCATGCGTCTCGCTCGACCCTGCCCACCCTGCCAGTCGTCACCAGGCCATTTTGGAAGACTGCAATCCATCTTTAATCCTGGCGTCGACACTGCATGAGGCAAAGATGAAATCTGCTGCTCCTTCTATCCCAGTACTAACGATCGACGACTCGACGGTCCTCCGCACACCCCATCAGCCGACGTCTCCACTGCAGCCCGTTGTCCCAAGCAGCGCCGCGTTTGTTATTTACACATCGGGCAGTACTGGAACACCCAAAGGCGTCGTATTACCCCATTCCGCGGTCTGCAGCAGTATGGCAGCCCATAACAGGAGCCTCAAGATTGGCCCTGGAGCCCGGGTCTTCCAGTTTGCCTCCTACGTCTTTGATATAAGCATTGGAGATATCTTTACCTCACTTACCAATGGAGGGTGTGTTTGCATTCCGTCTGAGCAGCAGCGACTGGACAGTGTGAGCGACGCCATCACCAGCCTCGCCGCCAACTGGGCGTGCCTGACACCGACTGTGGCGAGCCTGCTTGACCCCTCTGCACTCTCGGGCCTGAAGACACTTGTGCTGGCTGGTGAAGCTGTCAATCAGCAAGCCATTGACACCTGGACCGGCGAAGCCTCTCCACTCGATCGCTTCTTCAATTGCTACGGTCCTGCCGAGTGTACGATCTACAGCACGTGCAGAGATCTGACTGCCTCTGCGTCGCACCACGCCGCCAACATTGGCCAGCCCCTGCTGGGCCAAGTGTGGGTTGTTGATCCGCAAGATCACAATCGCCTCCTTCCCCTGGGCTGCGTGGGAGAGCTGTTAATCTCGGGCCCACTGCTGTCGCGAGGATATCTCAACGACGAGGCAAAGACCCAGGGCGCGTTTATTCGCCGTCCAGGCTGGGCCTCCCGACTCGACCTGAGCAGCGAAGAACGGCTATACAAAACCGGCGACCTAGTCCGATACACGCCAGACGGCAGCCTGGATTACCTCGGCCGCAAGGATTCGCAGGTTAAACTGCACGGACAGCGCATGGAGCTGGCCGAAATCGAGTACCATCTCCTGAAGCATCGCGAGGTCACCCAGGCCGTCGTGGGGATCCCTGCAGCGGGTGCTTGCAAGTCTCGCCTGGTCGCTGTGCTTGCGCTTACAGGAGCGCCGGAGACTGCGGGCGAGCTGGAAATCAACCCAGATCAGCATCCTCGCTGCAGTGCCATCCAAGGAAATCTGACCAGCGAGCTCCCAGCGTATATGGTTCCGTCCGTGTCCATCGTGGTCCGATCGATTCCCCTCAACTTGTCCGGCAAGGTTGATCGCGTAAAGGTGGCGCGCTGGGTGGAAGGGCTGACCGATCCAGGCGTGCTCGGGGAGATGGAGACGGTGTCTGAGGACGAGCTCGAGACGAGCCAGGAGAAGGAGGGCACCATTGAGTCCTCATTCCGGGAGATCGTTGCCTACGTGCTCAACGTCGACCGCTCTTGCTTGATCTCCTCGCGATCCTTCGTGGGCCTCGGCGGGGACTCGATCAGTGCGATGCAGGTGTCCTCTCGCGCCCGTGCCCAGGGCTTGGTTGTCCATGTGCGCGACATCCTGCGCAGCAAAACGTTCCGCGAGGTGATTGAGTCAGTTCGGGCGGCTCGATCGCAGCAAGTCGACCAGGCTGCTAGAGAGGACGACTACGACACCCCCTTCGGCCTCTCGCCCGTGCAGCAGCTCTACATCGACGGCGCAAGGAATGAGATCAACCGCTTCAACCAAAGCATGCAGTTGCGATTCAACCGGCCAGTATCTGTCCAAGAGGTTGAGGCTGCCGTTCATGCAGTGGTGCTGAAGCATGCGATGCTGCGGGCGCAGTTCAGCAAGACACGCGACGGCCGCTGGAGTCAGTCGATCCCGCGAGAGGCGACTGGCTCCTACACGATGAGGTCCCACAGCATCACAGGCAGCAAAGGGCAAGACCTGGCCAGTCTGCTTCAGCATGCTCAGCAGGCGATCGACCCCACGAGCGGACAGGCCTTCTCAGCCGACCTGATCGAGATCAGCAACGACGGACAGCTCCTGTACCTCGTTGCGCACCACCTGGTCATCGACGTGGTTTCGTGGCGTGTCATTATGGAAGACCTTTCCAACCACATCCAGGACGGGCAGCTTGCCCACCGTGAGCCGCACTCGTACTCGTTCCAGCAATGGCTCCGTGCTCAGCGCGAGTACGCCCTGACTCTCCCGGCCCCAACGGTGGTTCTGCCGTTCGAGGTGCCGCCAGCTGACCTTGCGTACTGGGGCATGGCCGATGCGTCAAATCGCTATGGGCAGGTCCTGTCGGAGCGCTTTGTCCTCGATGCCAGGACGACCAGCACGCTGCTTCACGACTGCCACGTCTCCCTCCGCACGGAACCCATGGATGTTCTGATCGGAGCCCTCTTTGCCTCCTTCAAGCAGGTCTTTTCCGACCGCCGCATGCCTTCCGTGGTCACTGAAGGCCACGGACGCGAGCCGTGGTCGCCTGGCATGGATCTGTCGACAACAGTTGGCTGGTTTACGACGATGCTGCCTCTGGCCGTCGACGATACAATCACCGAGCTCAGCGAGATCATTCGGCAGACCAAGGATCGGCGTCGCCAGGTCCCCCACCGCGGATTCGACTATTTCACATCACGCTACCTGAGCGAGGAGGGTAAAGAGGCCTTTACACACCACGAACCCGTCGAGATCCTCTTCAACTACCTGGGCCAATTCCAGCAGCTCGAGAGGACCGACAGCCTGCTGCAGATGGAGCGAACAGTAGCGGTGTCAGACGTTGCAGACAATACCTCCCGGCTGGCATTGATCGAGATATCGGCGGTGGTCAGCGACGGCCTGCTGCAGGTCAACTTCGTGCTTAGCAAGAGGATGCGGAAGCTGCCCTACATGCGCAAGTGGGTGCGCGCGTACGAGCAGACTCTGCGCGCCGCTGTAGCTCAGCTGGCAGTGATGCCGCCCCGGCCCACGCTCAGCGACTATCCCCTGCTGGCTCTGACATACGAGGATCTGGATCGGCTGCAGGACGAGGTGCTGCCGCAGTGGAACGTGTGGAGCTTCGAGGATGTTGAAGACATGTACCCTTGTTCTCCCATGCAGCTGGGCCTCCTCCTCAGTCATCGCCGCTCGACGGGCGCCTATGAAGACAAGTTTACCTACGAGGTTACCCTGCCCGGCCCTGGGACCCCAGATCCCTCCCGGCTACTGGCCGTGTGGCAGAAGCTCATTGACCGTCACGCAATGCTGCGGACAGTCTTTGTCGAAAGTGCCGACGCGCGGACCCTCTACGACCAGCTGGTCCTCAGGGAGGGCGAGGCCAACACAGTCTTGCTGACCTGCGCTGATGACGCCGTCGCAGCTACGCTTGCCGCACAGAAGCCCCTCAGCCACGAGGAGCGCCGAAATCGACATCGCGTGACAGTGGTCCAGACGGAGAGTGGCCGGGTTCTTCTTCAGCTGGAGGCCAGCCATGCGATCCTCGATGCCAGCTCCATGACGAATCTGCTGCACGATCTTACGCGAGGCTACACAGACGACCTGTCTGCAGCCCCTGCACCATCATACCGCAACTATGTCGAGTACCTCACGTCCAAACCCGTAGAGGACTCGATCGAGTTCTGGAAACAGTCCCTGGGTGAAGTGACCCCCTGCCACCTCCCCCTCCCAGATGCACTAGCCGACACGCCCCGCGAGTATGCAGCGTTGAAAATCGACCTCGACTGGGCCGCCCCTTCGCTCTCGACTTTCTGCCGTGCCCAAGGCGTCACGGCCGGCAGCGTCTTCCAATCCGTATGGGGTCTGCTGCTGCAGCGGTATACAGGCATGGCCCAGGTCTGCTTCGGCAACATCACCTCCGGCCGCGATGCCGATATCGCGGGGATTGACGAGATTGTTGGCCCCCCTGATCAATATCCTGATATCACAGATCTCGATCGACCGAGAAATGCGGCCGGTGGATCTCGTTTCCCAGGTGCAGGCGCGCTACGCGGAAGGTCTGTCGCACCAGCACGTCTCTCTGGCCAGCGTCCAGCATGCACTCGGCACCGCAGAGCAGGCGCTGTTCAACACCATCATGTCTATTCATTGGTCCCCCTCTACCTCCGCTGCTTCGTCATCCCCGGAGAGTCTGCGCTTTGCGCCGGTTGCCTCGCATGATCCTACAGAGGTAAGCCACGCACCCAATTTCCTCCCCAGCAGAAGCACAAGCTGACCTTGCTTAATTTCTAGTTTGACATGACCGTCACCGTTGTTGCTTCGCCAGTAAGTGTCCATGTCTCGCTCAACTACTGGCAATCAAGCCTCTCCGCCTGGCACGTCGAGAACATCGCCGCCACCTTCACCACCATCCTCCGCACCCTCCTCGCAGCCCCTGATGCCCGCTTGTCGGAACTATCGATGCTCAGCGAGCGGGACCTCCAGCAGATCCTCGACTGGAACCCCGTGCGTGGCGAAAGACGGGAAATCTCAGTTCCTCAAATGTTCCAGCACGAAGTCCAGGCCCGCCCGGATGCCGCTGCAGTCGCGGGCTGGGATCGCAGTCTGAGTTACCGCGAACTCGACCAGTTGAGCGACATCTTTGCTGCGCACCTCGCACGCCTCGGAGTCGGACGGGGCGTCTTTGTCCCCACCTGCTTTGAAAAGTCGACCTGGGCGATCGTCGCTATGCTTGCGATTCTAAAAGCTGGCGGCACATGTGTACCCCTCAGCCCAGCCTACCCCTTTGCGCGCAATGCTCTCATCACCAGAGAGGTCAGTGCCTCCGTCGTGGTCACTTCCGCAGCAAGTGCCCAGCACGTAGAGGACCTCGAGGTTGAGCACGTTGTTGAATTGTCCGAACTGATACTCGACGGCGTGTCCGCAACGCTGGAGACGCCACCAATCCATCCGGACGATCCTGCGTTCGTCATCTATACATCCGGCAGCACGGGCAATCCCAAGGGCGTCATCCAAGCGCACGGAGAGGTGTGCACGAGCGTCACAGCGCAGGCATCCGCATTGGGCTATACTTCAACTTCGAGGGTGCTGCAGTTCGCCGCGTATACGTTCGATGTCAGCATTGGCGATATCCTAGGAGCATTCTCACAGGGCGGCTGTGTCTGCGTGATATCCGACTCGGATCGCGTAGGCGACTTGAGCAGCGCGATCCAAGCCATGCAGGCAGACCATGCGTGTCTTACTCCCACAGTAGCCCGTACCCTTCGCCCAGCTGATATCCCATGCCTGCGGACACTCGCCCTCGGCGGCGAAGAGCTCGCCCGAACTGACGTGGCCATGTGGGAAGACCACGTTCGGCTAGTCAACATCTACGGTGTAACCGAGACGACCGTATGGTGTACCACAGCGGACATTGCGGGCGGCGATTCGGTCGATCCCAGAAATATTGGGCGCCCCTACGTGGGCCGCGTCTGGATCGTGGACCCGGCCCATTCCAGCCACCTGGCGGCCGTGGGCGCCGTCGGCGAGCTGATCATCGAAGGGTCGACGCTGGCTACTGGTTACTTGAATGACGAAGTGAAAACCACCTCTGTTTTCAGGTTGTTTATCCTGCCGGGCGTCGACGAGGAGCCTACTCGCCGCTACCATTCTGGCGATCTTGCGCGGTACAACGCCGACGGCACGATCACGTACATGGGCCGGCAGGGCTCGCAGGCTAAGATCAGAGGCCAGCGAGTGGATCTGGGCGAGGTGGAATACCAGTTGCGCCGCGCCCTCCCCGCTGTCGACGACCTTGCAGTCGAGCTGGTTAAGCCCTCTAGCCGCGATGGGCAGGAGATGCTCGCAGCCTTTATGTGTCTGGAAGGCCAGCAGGAACTCGAGCATGTACCGGGCGTCGAGCATCTGCTACAAGTGTCAGATGGGCTACGCGAGACGTTTCTCAAGACAATTGACGTGCTGTCCGAGCATCTCCCCTCCTACATGGTGCCCTCGCTGTTCATCCCCACCGCCAGCATGCCCCGGACCGTCTCCGGCAAAACCAGCCGCAAGACCCTGCGCGAGCTTGCAGCGGCCTTTGGCGCCGAGCAGGTAGCGCACTACGGTCTGGCTGACCGGACGAGGCAGCAGCCGACGACCAGCACGGAGAAGGCACTGCAGGCTCTGTGGGCACAGGCTCTGAATATCCCCGCGGAGTCTATCGGTGTTGACGACAGCTTCCTGCGCCTGGGCGGCGATTCGGTCAACGCTGTGTGGCTGGCGAGTCTTGCGCGAGGGCAGGACCTGCCTCTGGCCGTCGAGATGGTCTTCCAGAAGCCCAAGCTGCGCGATATGGCGCTGTTGGTCGACCAGGCCCGCAATGCTGAAGACAAACAGACCCAGGGTTCAGAGTCGGCGGCGCTGATAGAGGAGATCCGGAACAACTATCAGCTTCCGTCAGGGGCGATCGAAGAGGCCCACCCTTGCTCCCCATCGCAGGAGGCGGTGATGCTCGCCACTGCGCGAGACCCTTCAGCGTACGTGCTACAGAACGTGTTCAACCTCCCTGGACACATCGACCGGAAGCGGCTGCAAACCGCCTGGATGACTGTTATCAGCAAACATTCCATCCTGCGCACTCGCATCTTCCATTTGTCACGACATGAAAAGGCATTCCAGGCGGTGATGAAGGAGGAAATGACGCTCGTCACGTTTGTCGAGCTGGATGGATATCTGGAGAAGGACATGGCCATCTCCTTTACATACGGCCAGCCTCTAATGCGCCTTGCCTTTTCGGAGCCTTCCTCCCTGGTCTGGACCGTACACCAGGCGATCTGTGACTCGACCTCCCTATCGCTGGTTCTGCAGCTCGTCCAAAGAGCGTACCAGGGTCTATCTCTGCCTTCCACACTTCCCTTTGCGACTTTGGCGCACCGGGTGCAGGATCTCAACAGCGATGATCGCGCAGCTTTGTTTTGGAAGTCGCAGATGGCCAACCTCCAGACAACACATTTCCCCTCGGGGCTCGTTGGCACGCAACGAGACCCGGCTGAGTCGGAGCTCGGCCACCTCATTACCCTCCCAAGTCAGGACAACCACCACTTCCTCCCGACTGCGGTGCAGGGCGCATGGGCGATCGTCATGAGCCGCTGGGCAGATTCACCCGACGTCGTCTTCGGCGAGGTGCTGCCCGGGCGCGAGATGCAGCTGTCAGGGATCCAGCGCATGATCGGGTTCACTACATCGCTGGTGCCGGTGCGAATGGTAATCACCGCAGACCAGACGGTGCACCAGTTCCTCACTGCCATCGACGATCAGCGAAGGCAAGTTGCCGAGTTCCAGCACATGGGCCTGCATAACATTGCGCGACTGAGCGAGGAGGCAGACGCCGCCTGCCACTTTGACACGGTGCTGCAGATGGACCTTGCCTCCTATCGCCCACCCCTCGACGAGGCCTTCTGGAACCGCCGCGAGCATGAGCGCTTCCGAGCGAACCCCAACTCGTACGGCCTGCTTCTCGAATTAGAGCAGTCGGGCGCCGAAGGCGATCTCCACGTCCTCGCCCGCTATGCCTCGACGACCCTGTCGGAGGCCCAGATGCAGCGCATCTTGTATCAGTTTGAGAGCATCCTCCTCCAGCTGATCAGCTTGTCCAAAGATTCGCGCAGGACCATTGGATCGCTCGAGCTTGTCAGTGAAGAGGACACCATGGACATCGAGCTCTGGAGCGGTACTCCTCCGCCGCGTCGAAGCATCTGTATCCACGAGCAGATCTCAACCTACGCCACTGAATATCCAGATTCTCCGGCGATCGATGCATGGGATGGATCTCTGACATATCGCGAACTGGACAAGCTCTCATCCCGCTTTGCCACCGCTCTAGTTCAGATGGGAGTTGGCCCCGACGTGTTCGTGCCCCTTTGCTTTGACAAGTCTCTCTGGGTAGTTGTTGCACAGCTAGCCGTGCTGAAAGCAGGCGGTGCATTCGTCTTCGTAGACCCCACGCGTCCACGTGAGAGACTTCAGGGAATCGTGACAGCGGCCAAAGCCCAGCTCATGCTCTGCTGCGCGCGGCATCGCGGCATGTGCGAGTCGTTTGTACACAACGTTCTCGTCATCGACGACGAGTTGGTCCAGTCCCTCCCCGCGACAACATCAGACAATTACGTCTCCCCTAACGCTAGCCCCGACCATTCCGCGTACGTGATCTTCACCTCTGGCAGCACCGGAAAACCCAAGGGAGTGGTGATGGAGCACGCATCCTTCGTCACCGCGGCTCTGGTCCACAGCGAGATGATGAACCTCGACCGCAGCTCGCGCATGCTCCACTTTGCCTCGTACGCTTTCGAGGCGAGTATCCTCGAAACAATTGTTGCGCTGGTCAATGGTGCCTGTGTGTGTATTGTCTCGGAAGAGCAGCGCCTGAACCACCTGCCACAAGCACTCGATGAGTTCCAGGCGACGTGGGTGTTTTTGACCCCCTCGCTGGTTCGAACGATCTCACCGAGCCAGGTGCCCAGTCTGAAGACACTGGTGCTTGGAGGCGAAGCTCTTGGCCGCGACAACATTGAAACCTGGGTAGACAAGGTACACCTGATCAACGGCTATGGGCCATCAGAGACCTGTGTCTTTTCCATCATCAACCGGGCGGTGGACCTCAACACCCACCCACTGGACATTGGCACCCCCGTCGGTTCGTCCTGCTGGATTGTTGATACGGCGAACCACGACCGGCTGGCCGCAGTCGGCTGTGTCGGTGAGCTGCTCATCGAGGGACCGACGCTTGCCAGAGGCTACCTCGACGACCCCGTCCGGACAAGCGCCAGCTTCATCGTGGATCCCAAATGGGCCGTCACGCCCGGTGGCGCCCCGCGACGCATGTACAAGACCGGCGATGTAGTCAAATACAGCCTCGACGGATCCATCACCTTTGTCGGGCGGCGGGATGCACAGGTCAAGGTGCACGGGCAGCAGGTCAATCTCCTCGACGTGGAAGACCACATCCGACGTGAACTACCTAGCCTGACTGATGTCGTCGTCTGTTTTGTGCCTCTCGAGGCGCAGAGCCAGCGCAAGGCGCTCGTCGTGTGTCTGCAACTCTCCCCCTCACAGGGAAGCATGACCGACGCGCTCCGCCAGATGCTCCGCGGGCTACAGGCCTCGCTGACCTCTCATCTGCCGTCATATGCAGTCCCGTCAATCTACCTGCCCATGGTGGCTCTCCCACAACTGCCCTCAGGCAAGGCCGATCGGAGAAAGCTGGCGGATATTGCATCTCGCCTATCGGCCGACGATATCCGGCAGAGCTCTCTGGCGGCCGAGAAGAAAGAGGCCCCAGTCACGGAGATGGAAGAGACCATTCAAACCCTGTGGGCCGACGCGCTGCATCTGGATCGGGCCTCGATTGGAGTGGACGACACGTTCATCCAGCTCGGCGGCGACTCCCTGGCCGCCATCAACCTGGCGGCTGCTGCGCGCGAGCGTGGACTATCCTTGAGCGTGGCACAGGTCTTCCAATATCCTCAGCTGAGGGAGCTGGCTGCTTCGCTCGAAGTACAGACGACCGGGAATGTAACCAAGGCGTCTGATCAACAATACAAGCTACTCCAGTCGACTGAGCCAGTCGAGGAGATATTGCAGCGCATCGAAACGCAGCACGGCATCCGCAGAGAAGATGTGGAGGAGATTATGCCGTGCTCCTCGCTGCAGGAAGGCCTCATGTTCCTCTCGATCCGACAGCCGGGTTCGTACATGTTCCAAAGCGTCTTCAAACTGCCGGAGGACATCGACCTCAGTAGGTTCAAGCGCGCGTGGGATCTGACGGCCCAGCGCAACGCCATCTTGAGGACTCGCATCATACACACCGAGTCCTCTGGCTCGCTCCAGGTCGTCATGAAGCAGACCATGCCTTGGGTTTCTGTCGACACGGTGGTCAGCGAGTACATCACGCAGGACCGCAAGCAGGAGATGGTGCTTGGAGTTGCCCTTGCGCGCTATGCAATCGTCCGGCCAAACCACGCAAATAGACGCTTCGTCTGGACCGCGCATCACTCGCTGTACGACGGCTGGTCGCTGCCGTTGATCCTGTTCGAGGTTGAGCGCGCATACATCGCCGACGGCCCTCCCGGGCCCGCACCGCCGCCGTTCAGCCGCTTCATCGAGTACGTGCAGGGCATTGACTGGGCCGAGCTGGATGCATACTGGCGCGGCCAATTCGCTACGGGGACCCCGACGTCGTTCCCCGCCCCGCAGTCGGAGCGCTTCATGCCCTGGGCGGATACCAGCGTGACTAGAACGGTCCGCATTGGCTCATTGATCGGACAGGGCATCATGTCCGGGACCCTGATCCGCGCGGCGTGGGCTCTGGTTCTCTCTCACTACTCGGGGTCGGACGACATTGTCTTCGGTGCCCTGCTCTCTGGCCGCAATGCTCCCATCGAGCGCATCGCCGAGCTCACAGGTCCGACCATTACTACTGTCCCGGTGCGCCTGGGCGTCAAGATGGACCAAACCGTCATGGAGTTCCTGCGCTACGTTCAGAACCACAGTACTAAGATGATCCCCTACGAACACGCCGGCCTCCAGCGGATCAAGACGCTGAGTCCGCAGCACGAAGAGATGACCAATTTCCAGAACCTGCTCGTCATCCAGCCCGCGCAAAAGGTCGGCAGTGGCAGTAGTGGCGGAGGCAAGGGGCTCTGGAAGCTGGAGGATGTAGCTTCAGCCGGCCTGGAGGAGTTCCTCACGTACCCGATCGTGCTTGAATGCCGACTGGGACCGCAGCAGCTGGATCTTACAGCCAAGGTCGATCGCCGGCTGGTCTCTGAGGGCCAGATGGACCGGATGCTGCAGCATTTCGAAGCCGCCCTGGATCAGCTCACACACAGCCCCGACGTGCCGTTGGGCCAGGTCAGTCTCGTTGGTCACCAGGACCTGACTGACATGCTCGCCTGGAATGGCGAGGCGCCCGAACGCCTCGAGCAGTGTATCCACGAGAATATCATGCAAGTAGCGGCACAGTATCCGTCGCACCCCGCGGTGAGTGCCGCCGACAAGCAGCTCACGTATGCCGAGCTCAACGTGCTCACCTCCCGGTTGGGCCACTACCTGACTACACTGGGCGTCGGACCTGAATCTCTAGTCCCCATCTGTTTCCACAAGTCCGCCTGGGCGGTCGTGGCCATGATTGCGATCCTCAAGGCCGGCGGTGGGTATCTTGCCCTGGACCCCGCGTATCCGGCGGCCCGCAAGAAGCTCCTGACTGAAACGGCCTCGGCGCGTGTCGCTCTTACGAGTGCTGCGCACCAGGAGGGGCTTGCGTCGTTGGTAGAGCATGCAGTCGTGGTTGACGAAGGTCTCATCGCGTCCCTCGCCATGCACGACCGCTTCACCCACGCAAACGTCACCTCGTCCAATGTAGCCTTTGTCGTCTTCACCTCGGGGAGCACAGGAACCCCAAAGGGGATCGTCATGGAGCACGGCGCCTTCTGCTCCGGCGCCCGCCAACACGCCGCAGCGCTACGCATCAACCGCGAGGCACGGGTGATGCAGTTCGCAGCCTACACGTACGACGTCAGCATGGGCGAGATCTTCACGACACTAATGCACGGCGGCTGCGTGTGCGTGCCGACGGAGGACGAACGTATGAGTAACCTGGCCGCCGCCATCACTCGCACGCAGGCAACCTGGCTCTTCCTCACCCCGACCGTTGCCAGTCTCCTACAGCCCGATCAAGTGCCTTCGCTGCGCTACCTCGTCCTGGGCGGCGAGCACGCCACCACGGAGAACCTCGACCGGTGGGGAAACAGGCTGTGCCTCATTAATAGCTACGGACCTGCAGAGTGCGCGGTCTGGACTAACTGCGCCTTTGGAATTACAGCGCAGTCCAGTCCGGCCAATATCGGGAAGCGCATTGGAGCCAGGCTCTGGGTGGTAGATCGCGATGACCACCACCAGCTTGTCCCTGTGGGATTCGTTGGCGAGCTGCTAGTTGAAGGTCCAGGGCTCGCGCGTGGCTACCTCAAGGAACCCAGCAAGACAGCAGCGGCGTTCATCACAGACCCCGAATGGGCACGCAAGGGGAAGGCTCAGGGCCGGGGCTCCCCCCCCCGCCGCATGTACAAGACCGGAGATCTGGTTCGGTACAACACCGATGGAACATTGAGTATCGTTGGAAGGAAAGGCACGCAGGTGAAGCTCAACGGACAGCGCCTGGAGCTGGGCGAGGTTGAACATCATCTATTCCGTGATGCCCAGATCCAGCATGCCATGGTCACCATGCCACGCGCAGGCCGGTGTGCCAGGCGCCTCGTCGCCCTGCTGGCTCTCAAGCAGTTCGCCCCAAGGAAGAAACAGAAGGGGAAGATCAAGACATCCACCATCCACCTCGTCGACGTCCAGCACCACGAGGGCATCGTCCTCAACGTTTCCCGCCTTCGCGGCGTGCTTGCGGACCGGCTCCCGAGCTTTATGGTCCCCACGGTGTGGCTCGCGGTCGAGGAGCTCCCCCTCAACCTCTCGGGCAAGCTCGACCGCCCACAAATCTCCGCATGGGTCGATGCACTGGACGAGGCTGCGTACAACCGCGCTTTGGACGTCAGCAGCGCAGCCTCGCTGAGGCGCGAACCCACGACCGAGATGGAGCTCCGGCTGCGCAGCCTGTGGGCTCGCGCTCTCCGCGTATCCCCGACCACGATCGGCGCCGACTTCGACTTCTTCCGCATCGGAGGCGATTCCATCGCAGCGATGCGGCTGACGGCGGCAGCGAGGGCCGCGGATATTAAGCTCGACGTCGCGACCATCTTTCGGTACCCTCGCCTCAGCGAAATGGCCCTGTCTGCCTCTCAAGGCGAGCCCGCACCCGTGGTGGGCGAGTACCAGCCGCTTTCGATGCTGGGCACCGTCAGCCTCGGCGAATTCCTCGAGACGTGCACCCCGCCGCAGCATGCGCGCGCCGAAGCCCAGGTCGAGGACGTCCTCCCGGCCACCGACCACCAGTCGTGGAACCTGGCCCGCGGCCACCTACGCACACGCGGCTACAACTGCTACTTTGCCATCCCCTTCACTGGACCCCTCGATGCGTCTCGCCTGAGCAAGAGCTGTGCGCAGGTGGTGCAACATCACGCCATCCTCCGGACCGTCTTTGTTGCCCGCCAGGGCCAGCTATACCAGCTCGTGCTGCGCGCCTACAACCCCGAGTTCCTCCACTACGACTGCGATGACTGCCCCAGGCAAGAACTCGTCGCCTCAGCTATCCAAGAGGACATGCTCCGCCCCGTGCGCCTGGGGGCCGGCAGCATCCGGTTCATCCTGACCAAGCAGGGGCGCCACCAGCACACTCTCATCATCCGCATCCAGCACGCCCAGTATGACGGGGTCTCGGTCCCGACCATCCTCAACGACATCAAGCTCGCCTACGCGGGCACGCCGCTGGCCCCAGCCCCCGACTTCTCTCTGTTCATCCACTACCAGCAGCAGGCCAATCTGACCCAGGAACGCGCATTCTGGCGGCAGTTGCTGCAGAATGCGCCCAGCACGCAGCTCGTCGTCCACGACCGACCCGCCTTCCAGAGCCCGGTCAACCGCTCCATCATCCGCACCGTCGAGCCTCACTCGCTCAGCACTCAGGGCATCACCTTTGCAACTCTGACCAAGGCCGCCTGGTCGCTCGTCCTCGGGCAGCTGCTCTCCACCACCGACGTGGTCTTCGGGCAGGTGACCGCCGGGCGCAACTCTCGCCACGACTGCATCGAGGAGATTTCCGGCCCCTGTGTCAACATGATTCCCGTGCGGGTGCGCATGGCCGCCGGCTGGACCGTGGGAGACCTCCTCCACGCGGTGCAAGACCAGCATCGCTCGACGATCCCGCACGAGACACTGGGCTTCCAGGACATCATCGAGAACTGCACCAACTGGCCGCGCTGGACGCGCTTCAGCTCCATCCTACAGCATACAAACCTAGGCCATGGGGTCGGAGAAGCATCTGCAGCAACCATTACTTCCGTCCAGCTTGCAGCCTTCTCCCCACCCACAGACTGCGCCGACGTATGGATCTGGTCGGCTCCTGCTGCCGACGAGGGCCAGTACACCTTGGACTTTACCTACTCGGACCGCACATTCCCGCCCGCGCTGGCTGATCAGCTCGCGGACATGCTGGCAGACTCGATCCAAACGCTTTCATCCAACGTCGAAGCTCCTCTCTCCACATACCTCCTCTCCAGCCCCTGCCACACTCCATTCCCTCTAAACCGCCCACCCATCGCCCGCACCCGCACCTACCAAGCGCACAGAGACGAGCACTCTGAATCCCCCCCTCTCCTCTCTTGCCTCCTGGTCCCAAGTCGAGAATGCCTGGCGCCAGGCCCTCCCCAACATCGCACCAGACACCTACACCGCGGATACCCCCTTCTTCGACATATGGGGCGACCTCATCTTCGCCGTGCAGCTCTGTGCCCTCTACAGCACAGGCAGCCCCCAGGCACTCGACATCCAAGTCGAAGAAATAATCCAAAACCCGACGATGCGCGATCAAGCTCTGCTACTAGCCTACAAGGCGCAGCACCACCGAAGACGCAGTTCGCTCGTGCGGTACCCGACGCCTTCTGTGCGCCAGTCCATAGCTGACTCCCAGGACAAGCGGACGATCGTACATCCGTACGGAACCACGCGGACGGTTAGTGCGGGGAGTGATGCGAGGAGTGAGACGAGGGTTTCCCGGGGGGAATTCCCGGCCGTCGGCGGATGATACTACCTCAGCGGGGATTCGGGCGTTGACAAATTCGTTGACAGCGGTTTATGGGCTTATGCGGTTGCGGTGAAGGGTAGGCAGGCCCTGTGCTTTTTGTGTTTTTTGTGTTTTTTGTGTTTTTTGTGTTTTTTGTGTTTTTTGTGTTTTTTGTGTTTTTTGTGTTTTTTGTGTTTTTCTTTTTTCGTCTTGATTCTCTCCTATCTTTCTGTCTTTCTTTCTTTCTTCTGTTCCATCTCTTTGCATCCTTTCTATACTACTCTCTTATGTTTCGTTGTGCCTCCTTTTGTTGATTCCATGATTTGCCGTTTAAATAAGCCGTGAAATAGTCCTATATCATTTTATCTATCCATTTTTTTTACCACAAAGTTCGCCGCGCGTAGAGCAGGGGAATTTATATCTATCTCACAGCTCATCGAACCAGAAGAGAACATTTGCTCGACGTATTCTTCCTGCCAAGTATCAGCATGCAATGTGGCTGGATCACGCCTGATCCGGTCCGGTCGCTGCTCAAAAAGACACTTCTTTAGTTTGTGCGTCGGGTCCGCACCGAGCCTGACGAGCATTTGGAACAGGTTGACTGCCCATGTTTCGCATCAGCATGGCTCGCATCCTCAAGGCGCCAGTTACGTTTCTCCGAATACGGTATGCGCTGCGAGCGCCGATGCAAGACGAGGTCGATGACAACATCCGCCTGGTTGTGCTTCGCGGTTTCCTTGGCGGTGCTGGCCCAGACATAGCTGTTGACGAGGGGCTCTCCGGGGTATTGCTGTTTGCACAGGAGATCCGCGATCAGGGCCCTGTCCCCTTAGAGTTATGACGAACGCCGCAGCAGCGCCTTCCCCCTTTGGGCCCAGTCCCGCAGCCTTCACGTTTATGATTGGCCAGAACCCATGCTGATAGGATTCCTTTATTTAAGTGTACAGTTCTACGTCAAAAGTTTCCGTCAACCCCACCACAACCGAAAAATATATAATCGATCGCTCTACTTTAAATTCGAACCACGCAACCAAACTGACCCTATCCCATGGGGGTAATTGCAGTCCGGCGGGCTGCAATTTAGTCAGCATTTTTTTGTATGGAGTTAGGGTTTCCGAAGCGGGTGGACTGCAATTACGTTCCCATGTAGTAGTAGTTTTCCGGTCCAAATTTCGACCAATATGAATTCTGCCATTGATTTAGTATACCCCCCCCCCCGATTTAGGCCCATCCGACGATCTTTAGAGGTGGTTGCAAGGGTTCAAATTTGGGCAATAATTTTGATGGGGTACGGTCGGCCGCGCGACGTCACGGACTTCGTGTCAAAGACTGGTGAGACTTAGGTCTAGGCAATTACCCTACTCTGGCGAATCGAATCCTGTGCCTATTGACCTCGTTTCGGTCACGACATCTGCCCGATTCTGGCCCGATTCCCACGTGATTACTGGGATGAATGACTTGACGTGACTGCCCCTCTGTTCTTGAAGTTTCCTCAAGAATCAGTCTCTGTTACTATTCTGGATATATAATATGCCACCGGATGGTTTCGAGCCCGAAGTCTCTGCGGCCAGAAGACCCCGAGACAAAGGTTCCCAGCAGGAAAACCACGTGACTAAAACAAGCTATACCCAAAGCGGTTTAGGTCACCCGCCGGTGCCACCAAACCTTATATTGACAGCGCATTTACTACAAGCAAGCATGTCAACCATACAAATTGCTTAAGCCATATAAGCCTAGACTTATAGCACCTATGGCTCGATCACTTAGGCCCAATGGTCCCTATAAGCCTAGGCCTAATAGCTTCAAAGCCTAAGGCGTGGCCCCCGTAGTCTAGGCTCGGCTGCGAGCCTAGGCCTGAGACATCGGCATAACCCGCAAAAACCCGAACCCGAACCCGAACCCGACCCAACCTAACCCATTATGGGTTATAGCCTCAAACCCAAAACCCATTTGGGAACCCAATGGGCTCCCGTTGTAGTGTAAACATATCAAATATGACTTAGTAATCTGATTTATACATGCTAAGATCTCTATTTTATGTAAAAATAGGTTAAAATAGGTTGAAATAGGTTACCCTCTATAACCCATGATAGGTTATGGGTTGGGTTGGGTTATAAATTTATAGCCCATAACCCATGCGGGTTGGGCTTTGACCCAAAATGGATTGTGCCGATGTCTATGTAGAACATAAAGACATTAACACAAATATTAATATACTTAAAGAGAGTAAGTACTATAAAATAAAGATACTATGTATCAGAAAGAATACTGTTAACTAATAGCTATAAGAGGTCAATACGTAAAGGAGTTACTATACTATGTTAGAGCAAATACAGGAGAAACTAGGGCATAGCTAAGATTATATTCACAGTAACAAGGATAGAGGAGAAAGTATGAGTGGCCATAGGGTACTAAGCAAACTAGCAGTAGCTAATTATATTCTTTGTAGGGGTTTTCTTACCGTTATAAGGGTTTGATTACTTATTTTACTATGACTATACACCGTATCTCCTTTGTTTTTGTTACTACGGGTGTGGTGTTAGGATAGTTCTGGTTCCCGATGGAGGGAACGCCTACATAGCCACGGCACTTACTAGCTAGGCCGTATTAGGTTAATAGAATCTTGAATTGAATTGAACTGAATTGAATACACAGAACGCTTGGTTATTGCGGACCTTGACACGTATACATAACTACGCAAGCGAATGTTCGTTGAAGCTAATCTAGAAACGGAAAGGAAAGGGTGGAGGAAAGCTTTTTCGTAGGATGGCAGGCGCATTGACCAAGAGCCTAGGCAACTTTGTTCCTACTGTCCTTAAAGGCATAACTCCTAACATCCTACTTAGTTTGTCTGAAGGATTACGCAATCCCCCTCGATGCTACAGTGAAGCGCATCGAGATCACGGCCCATTTTCTGACATTAAGAGCGGATTTACTGTCGCTAGAAAAGGATTTGCATAGGGAATAGCAGACGTCGTCTTTGTCTCTTCAAGAAGACGGAACTGACTACCATCTGGTGCTATTTCAGCCATGGTGCCAATGTGATGGCCTGGCTGTCTTCTTTCGCAGAGGGGAAAGGCACGCAAGTCACTGAGAATTTTTCGAAGCTAATTTAATTCAGGTCAAAACACCGAAAATCAGCTGTTTGCTAGTCAGGCCGTGATCCAATCGAGGTTCGGTTCGTGGGGGGCCGTGGACCCTGTTGGGTGCCGGCATCGTCGCGAATAATTTCTCCCACTGAGTTGTGCGGTGTTGACCTTTACTGTTATTGTCGAATAGAATTTCCTCATTTAATCCTAAGAAGGTAGTGAGTGCGAAGGGGTATAGCGGCAAAGGCTGTTCGAGTATTATTCGATAATTCTCCACAATCCAGTTATGTCAACCTCCTAGTAGTTCCCCGTGGATAATCAAGAAAATCCTCCTAGGCGAAAGCTTATTTATCTCTATAAGGCAGGTAGAAGCCGGCGCTAGTATATAGCTTTGCTTTGGGCTTAGCTAAGGCTTTAACCAGTGAATTATTTTGTCTCGATTAATATTTATAAGTAATAAAACTTAGTCCCACCTATTTCGCGATAAGTGCTCCGTCATAGTAACTCTATTCCTACAAACAAGATCTTCCGTAATAATCTTTTCTTTATATCCAGTCTAGCTAAAATTATAAGAAGAATATCACTAACCTTGTTTCCTAGCCTAACATAGTACCCTACACAGACACATATACTCATAAGCTCCAGGTATAATCTACGTAAGACTCTTTGGCCAGAAGTTTAAATTATATAACATAAGCTACTATATATGTACAGATAGTAGTACAACTTCAAATTATATAGAAGTTATTAGTCTTTGATAACAGATAGCTAGTGATATAATATAATAATAAGGTATTTTAACAGTGCTCACAACTTAGGTATAAAGCCCGTAACATAAAGATTCTAAAATCCGAGCTAATTACTACTAAATCCTTTGATACACAAAAGAGGAAAGACATAGTTACCTAGATCAAAATTTCCTGCAAAAATCTTCAATAATTTGGTATTCTTAAAATCCTTTTAGGTATATTCAAAAGAGCTATAGTTACCACCGTCTATAAACCTAGTACAGTAGGCGTATTCTGGGACCTTACCATCCAGCTAGGTACACATGCCTAAGAACTCCTTACCTGTATAAGTAACCTATATTTTGAATTACTAGATTTTTTATTAGTCCTAAAGCAAAGAATTTATTAGACTCTTTGAGAAAACAGTAAGGTTATTTATGAGGGAAGGGGTTCCTACATAGGAGCCTCCGTTCTGGCCACAATTCTTATTTTCGTAGAACGTGATATCCCACGCGAGTGTTGTGGTACATAGTGCGAGGGTAGTACCAATTGCGGCGGGGACATACATTTTGATGAAAATCCGATAAAACTATCGGGACGTGTTGGAATATACTGAGAGAACTGAACAATAATAATTTGGTTTAGGTCTTCAGGGAGGAGTATTGATAATGGTACAGAAACCTGGCTTTCATCCGACTGTATGTACCATCGGTCATGTACACATTAGCATAATTTCGAATTGGCAACCAACGTTGATTGCGTCAACCTCTATCTCATAGTCGAATTCTTTCGGAAAAGAATACATATACAATCTATTGAATACACTGCAGTTGCATTTAATGTACTACCATATCGAAGCATATGTAAACATCATCATTTCGCACTGATTATCAACTTTTGAAATCGTGAGGGAAACGAAGATTTCCACTATCACGGCGATGGGTAGTTATACCGCCGTTGTTGACAGCCACTTCACCGCTCGGTTGTTACGCCGCACCGCACATCAACATGTTGATTCACTGTTCTCGCCCCCATCATCGCCGTCATCACCACCCCTCAACCCTCACCCCAATCCCCACTCTCAATGCTCACCCTCAACCCTCAACCTCCGCGCCTTCGCCGCTGATAGCGGTCCCGACGGGCGGCATTCTTCTCGGCCCTCGTGGCGTATCTTGCCGGTGGTCCTCTTCGGCCCATCTTGGGCGAGCTTGTGTGAAAAGAAGGGGTTAAAGATTTTCTTTCCGTTCCTCTTGAGATTTATGACTTGTTAACTTCGAAGTTTCAAAGCAGCCTGGGCAATTCCAGACAGTCTTATTGGATGGAGTATTCACTCGCGCTATCAATGATTAGCGATAAGCAATGCGCCCAGCATCTGTCTATCTTCGTATTCTGTCAAAAATGTACGCTTGGCATCGTGTTGTGTTTTTACTGGATATGTCCGGCAGCAGGGTCAATACGCACTTTTATTCACTTTTTTTTTTGAAATATTAGTAACTTAATAGCCCTACTTATTTTCTCTTATTTCTTAATATAGAATGATAGAGCTATCGTGGGGGGCAGAGGGAAACACAAAAAGAAAGAAATTTTCTGTTGCGCTCACCCCGTCTTGATCCGCTTTCTTTGGGAGAGACTGCCAAAAAAAACCTTGTAGATGTTCTTTGCGCTTTTATATCAATCCCCGTATGGCAGGAAAAAAAAGCTACCCCGACCTCCTATTTCTTCACCTTTTTACTGCTATAAGGGCTTACTAGTCCAATTTCTGTTATTCACTAGGATGGCTGTATTCTTGACATAACCTACTTAGGCCGTAGTATAGCACGTGATTTCGTCCGAGTTTCTATTGGCTGGGAGCATTTCGTCTTTCCTGCCACCAATTTTCAATATTTTGGAAAGACAAAAACGAATTAAGGGTGAGATGGATGGCAGATTTTTAATCAGTATATAAAATCTTCCACTTGAGGGGTGTGGTGTTGTGGTCACTTGCTATATTTTGCCTGTTGGATGGGCCCACAGCTGCTCCCACA